TTAAATCCCAGTACTCTTTAAGATGTGGCAATCAATTAGCCGGCTCGTCTTTCTACAATGTCGACAATGAGGCGCTTTGTGAAGCTGATTATCAAGTGAGTGAAAAAGAAATATAAACTAGAAACTAGTACTTAGTACTTTTAGAGTCACAGTACTACTCTAAACATACTTGAAAGTTTACTCTGCGCTCAGAAATATGGACACACTCTTTGTAGGAACTAAATACGAACTATCGTACTAGTACTTTTAGTATTGCATTCGGTTTCTTTTTCTTTGGAAAAATGTCGTTGAACAATGAGAAATTTAGTGCATCAGAAGGATGCGTTTTCATTTTTGACCAAAAACCGACAAAACATTGTTTTCAACCAGCACATTAGTACTTTAAAAGTACACTGTAAAGTAAACAAAAGTAATATTTCGATATCGATAATCGATATAGATAATCGATATCATTATCTTTATCGTTCTTGATCATTTAGGCAAGCCTTGAGCGATGCACGAAATGCGGTCAATCGATCGCCGATCGTTTGCTTCGCGCTTGTGGCGGCACTTTCCACACGAGTTGCTTCACATGCTCTGTTTGCGATGTTTGCCTTGATGGGGTGAGGTTTTTAAAAAAAGCTTTAAAAAGTCTTAACCTATTTTCTATGCACCCAAAACTATCAGCATCAAATTGCCAGTTTATCAGCCCAATTTTGGTGGCATTGACATCGATCTTTTGGCTTAGGCCAAATTAGGTTGAATGAAGTCTTTTCAATCTTTTCAAATAAAAACTAGCAGCCTGCTTATGGTAGCTTTTTAGAAATAGATAGAAAACAGCTGTAGATTGGATTTAAAACTCGAAAAGTTCAGGTTCCATTCACGGTCGATCCGGAAAATCACGTTCATTGTGTGCCTTGCTATCATCAGTGAGTCTTTTTAAGCTATGAAATCTTTTTTTGTAAATGTAATTTGATTGAATATCTATTGAAGTATCTATTGAGATATCTTTAAATAAATAATTTTAGACGTTACGCTCCTCGTTGTGCCGTTTGCACAGCTCCAATCGTGCCTCGAGAAGGAGAAAAGGTTGGTGGCTGGGGATCTAGTGACAAAAACAATAATATTATTATGTATTCAAGATAGAAATCTTTTAAAAAAAATTATAAAGTTCATCAAATAAAATTTCCAGGAAAGCGTTCGCGTTGTGGCCATGGAGAAATCTTTCCACCCGGAGTGCTATCGGTGCGAGGATTGTGGATTGCAACTCTCGAGCAAGGTAGTACTCTCGTACTCTCTCGTACTCCCTCGTACTCTCTCGTACTCTCTCGTACTCTCTCGTACTCTAGTACTCCCGAGCATCATTGTAGCAAAGATTCAGAGTTGTTTAACTCTAAATTGAATAGTCGACTTGGTTATCGGACATTTGATGCACGCCCTGCTCTTTTGCCATTGGCTAATCTTTGAGCTCAAATTTCTTGGTGTTCGGCTGTCCAATTGAAATATTTTTGGTATCATTAGATTTGCCAAGTCTTTCTCTATCGATTGGTACAAAAACTATTTCAATTGAACAACCAAACACCAAGAAATTTGAGCTCAAAGTTAGGCCAATGGCAAAAGAGCGGGGCGCGTATCAAATGTCCCACAATCAATTCTATCCATATCTTTAGCTAGTCTAGATTGTCATTCTAGGTTAACGGTACCGGAATCCAAGAGCTTACCGGTTATTAGTACTACAGTGCTCGTCCGTAGCACTACAATAACCTGGAATATAGTACTGGACTGAAGTACAGTCAAGTCTGGAATACAATTCCTAAAGTCACAAGAGTTAAAGTTTAAAAGATTTAAACCCGCCACTGTTCTTTGCACGCATTCAAAATGTAAACGCATCCTTTCTGGCGTACTCGATTTCTTTCAATTCTCATCCTTTCTTTGAACGAAAAAATCATTTAGATCGAAGGTCAAGGCTGCTATCCAATCGATCAACATCTCCTCTGCCGTACCTGCAATTCAAATCGACTGCGACTTCTTTCCAGCACCTAATCAATATCGGCTTACTGCAGCTTTTCCCATAAATTAGACACATCTCTCTCTCTGAATACAATACCGTAAGATCACTTATCGGATTTTTATATTTTTATGCGCTTTTTTTTGTGTTTCGCTGAGAATTTCGCTGAAAATCTTGTAGTTTTTTCTTTGAAAATGGAGAAAGATTAGAGAATTTTAGAACTTTTTACATAAAATCTGACTCCATTTTCCTTACAAATTCCCCCTATTTATAGAACGGTGAGGCGTTTTTTTTGACCGTAGTTTTTCCCAAGAAAATATTAAAGCTTGCAATACTAAAATACAATACTACAATTCTTTTTTTTTCTCTTCTCAATATGCCTATAGAAATTTTGATTTCTTTTGTTTACAATTAGCTGAGAATTTCCCCCCGCTTAGACACCCCCTAAATGCTGCCATGTTTTTTTTTGTTTTGTATCGTAATTTGTCAAGAATTTTTTCTCTTCGTAGATTTTTCTTATGAATTTCTTTCTCTCTTTTCTGGCAATAAATAATCGATCGAAGTGCTTAAAAAGATGAAAAAAGCACAAAGGCAAAAGCAAAGCGCCAAAAAATGGCTTCTTAACGAATTTTGGCAAAAGCACAAAGGAAAAAAGAAATAAATGAAAATTTGCAATGTAAAAAAATGAAATGCCAATTCGCATATAATTTTAACGTTAACGATAACGTTAAAGACGTTAACGTTTAAAAATTCGTTAAGAAGCCATTTTTTGACGTTTGGCCAGATTGCATTACTGCTTTCAGAAAGTTTCAGAAGTTTTCAACAAATAAAAACAGAAACAAATACCGTAAATACTCTAATAGAAGCTTCTATTTGCTTAACAATCAACAAAACAACATTGATTTAAACATAAAAACAGATCAATGACCAATGACAGGCCAGTGATCAATCAGTCAAAGAGTTGCATCAAACAAAGACGGAAATCTATTTACGTGAGGATAAAACTCAACGGGTACTTGGAGGAAGGATGGGAGCATCTTCGTGAGAATGGATCCAGTGATCAATCAGTGAAGGAGTTGCATCGAGCAAAGACGGAAATCGATCGACGTGAGCATAAAGCTCAACGGATACTTGGAGGAAAGATGGGATCATCTTCGTAAGAATGGATCCAGTGATCAATCGATCAATCAGTGAAAGAGTTGCATCAAGCAAAGACAGAAATCGATAAAACTCGAGACAGCAAAAATGGCAAAGGAACTCTTCATCAGCTCTGCTGCTGCAAAGCAAACGGCGAAGAAGACGATTTGATTCAATGTTTCAAGGCCGACGGCGCAATTCCTAAAGCGATGCGTCTGAATCAATAAATTCATCGACTCCTTCTTGATTATCAAGTTCGCAGAATTCCAGGAGTCGTGTTTTTGGATTGGAGTGGCCCCAGAAGATCATTGATTTCTTTCTCCACTCGAGCGTCTTTTAGCAGCTGCAGCCCAGCTTGAAACACTGAAACAAATCGTCTTCTTCACCGTTTGCTTTGCAGCAGCAGAGCTGATGAAGACTTCTTTTGCCATTTTTGCTGTCTCGAGTTTTATCCTCACGTCGATCGATTTCTGTCTTTGCTTGATCGTGTTCAACTCCTTCACTGATTGATCACTGGATCCATTCTCACGAAGATGCTTCCTCCAAGTACCCGTTGAGTTCGCGTTCGCTTCGATCTCGAAATTCTTTAAATCCATCTAAGCTTTCTCGATCGTTCATCGTATCTAAAAAATAAGATTATAATTCGAAAATAAGTATGAAATCTAAAAGAAACTGACAAAAAAAAAGAAAAAGGGTGTGGCGTGGTTATTCAATAAATTTTATGTTTAAATTTAAGTTTAGAGATTACGATTAGTATATATAAGAAAAATTCAGTTGAAAAAAAGGCATATAAAGTAGCAAAATGTTAGAAAGATGTCTAAGGGTAGAAAAAGAAGAAAAAAAGTTAAACAAAATGAGGGTTTTTGCGTAAGGAACAAACTACAAAACGGAAGAATGAATATAATATAAATGAGCTTTCTCATGAGCATGATATTCAGTCAAAGGATGTGCTTTTATTAGAGTATTCACGGTAAGTGGTATTTACGGGAGTGGGACAAATGCTACCTTTTTTTGCGCACCTTTTTTTCCGCACCTTGCCCATTAGCGCACCTTTTTTCGCGTTTTAAAAAAGCTCTAAAAAGCTAATATTAACCAATTTCCATTCCAAAAGTTGTTTTTCTAGGTAATTTTAGGGCGTAGAATCGAAATTTTGACATATCAGAGCTTGTGGAAACAAACGGACGGAGTTATACAAAGAGAAAAATTGACAATTTGTAATTTTCTGTAATTTGATCTAGCCGTTTTGTCTTTCAAATTGGTTCCACACACTCTGATATGTCAAAATTTCGATTCTACGCCCTAAAATTACCTAGAAAAACAACTTTTGGAATGGAAATTGGTTAATATTAGCTTTTTAGAGCTTTTTTAAAACGCGAAAAAAGGTGCGCTAATGGGCAAGGTGCGGAAAAAAAGGTGCGCAAATGTCCAGGTGCGCAAAAAAAAGGTCGCATTTGTTTGGTCGCATTCTCCCGGTATTTACGGTTCTATTTTTGTGAAAATTTAGAAACTTTTTTAATGAGCTAGCTTTAGAAAAGTGTTTGAGATCGCTGTATACATAGATGTCAACAATCAAAGGATAATCAGAGGCTAAATGACTTGACGAAGTGCGACGAAACGGGATTTGTGGCTGTTTTAATTTCCCGCACAGGTGTCCTGGGGATAAATGGTTAATTGGTGGGTGATCGAGAATTTCGAATAAAGAGAGGAAATGGATCTCTGGGGAAAAGAAAGAGGAATACCAAGAGAGAAGCGGGAAAATGCAAATGGGGACACCATGGTGACACTCTCGCTATTTAAAGCTCCAATTGAGCAGAACTTTTTCTAAGATATCTTTTGATATTCAAGTTTTACTTTATATTTTAAAGTTTATTTTATAATGTGGTCGATTCAAGACCCGAAAGACCCGTGGGCATGGAGGAATACGTGGACTGGAGAGGTGAGACAGACAGACAGAGTAGAGTCTTTTCTAAATGTTCTAAGTGTCTAACTTTAAGCGCTTCGTTCTTAGCACCATTTTATGCTATAGTATTCATTTGTATTTTAAAAGATAGCCCTGAATCTCAGCTATATTTTGACACTAAAGAAAAATATGAGAAAATATAAGCGAAAATAAGAAATTTGAAATAAATATGAGTGCATGGGGAATTTCAGATTCGGAACAGTTATGATGATTTATGGATCGTGATTCCAATCATAGGTGAGTTGAAAGGTTTAGATTATCATTTAATTTCGATTTTGATTTTGATTCCAGTTTTGGTTACCGTATTCGCAATGCTTTTCCTTATTCCGATTCTTATTCATCGCTATTGTCCGCATTGTTTTCCGGGAAGGGTATGTGAAAGTTTTATGAGTTATTTTCATTACAACAAAGTTGATCAAGTTCAAGTTCAAGTTCAAGTTCAAGTTCTCCAAATTCTGTTTCAGGTGTGGTGTCGTTGGTTTGAGAGTCTACTCTTTGTACTCGGACAGATCAGTCGGGAAAAAGAGGAGAAACGAATCGAAAGGAAAAGGTTTGAGGAAATGAAAGAACCTATTTTCACTATTTTAGCTATTCTTTTGCTCAAATCTTTATCTTTATCTATAAATCGTTGTTTCAGACCAACGAGAGCTCATCCGAGAGCCCACTCAGCACCGAATTTCCATGATCATGTTGAATACGGTGTTCCACACTCAATCCCGATCAAAACTGAGTCACCGCCACAATATCAAAGGTGATTTGAAAATTTTGAATGATTTAGTAACTATAACAGAGATTTGAAAAGAAAGCCAAACGTATTACTACTGTAATTTTTCAAAACTGTAAAACTATAGCGTACTGTAGCGCTGTAGTCAACGTGTCGATTAGACTTGTGTTTCGGTTGGCTCTTTTCAGTTCGGTTTCGGTTTCGGTTCAACCCAAGTCAACCAAAAGATGAGTCAGACGAAAAGATGAGTCTTTCGGTTTGGTTCGGTTAACCGAAACCGAAACCGAACCGAAAAAGAACGTTTCCGGTTCAACCGAAACACAAGTCTAGTGTCGATGTCGAACAGTTGAGCAAAACTATAGGATGACGAATTATAGCGATAACTTTTTAGAAAAGTAGCTCGGAAATGTCGAATTTATTTCAAAAGCGGCAAATGTTATGTAGAAAATTGTTAGCTCTAATTCTCGGTAACATTTATCTATCTCGATTGGACTTATATAACTGAATGAGCGCTAGTCGACATCTCTCTGGCGAATCTGTCATTTGACCGTTTTTCTCTATTCAAAAAAATAGAAGACTGGTCTTCTAGTAAAAACGGTAAAGCAAATCGGGTTTTTGGTAGATAAATATTGCCGAGAATTAAGGCTATAATTCTCTATATAACACTGGACACTTCAGTTAGAAATTTGCCAGATACTTTTCTAAAAATTTGTCACTATAAGTCGCGGTGTATAAAAAACATTTCATTTAGCTTATCCTCCGTCCGACCGTCACTCTATCAAGAGCCATTTGAAGTGATTAAGAGATATTCACAGAGACGACCAAGGAAAAGAGCACGATCGGAGAATCGACGAGGGAAATCGAGAAGAAGGATCGACAAACATCACTCGATTCCACCATTGCATTTCAAATAGCTGCCATGGCTGATATATATGGCTGACTGGCTAACAGTTCTGTATCTTAGTCGAAAGGTCAAGGGTTCAATCCTGCCGGTTCTTTTTCCCATATACCGTATTCTCTCTAATAGTAGTGCACCCCGCCGAGCTGATGACTATTTTACAGTTTCCAAGTTTTCACAGAAGCTAAGCACCCTAATCCCCCACTAGATCTCATTGTCAGCTACATTTTCCGACCCCACATCAATAGATTCTGATAAGCGGTTCTCGAGATTTCGAGGAATTAAGACAAAGCTCATAGTGCACTACGATTAGAGAATCCCGTATATGGATTCTTCTACATTTAGCGGCTGTGCTTGTGTATTGTTTGTACCAAATTATTCGTGTAAATAAATGTATTTTTATTTATAGAAATAGATTAAAAAAAAAACATTTAATGCATAGCCAGTATCCAGAAATACTCCGTTTCCTTTCCACTCATAAATTTACTGTCCACTAATAAGAAAGCAATGAATTTAAAGAAGTACAAGTACAGGAATGAAAAAGTACATAAAAAGTTTCCAAAAATTTCAAAATTCCCTTGAAATTCTTTAAATTCATTGCTTTCTTATGAGTGAGCAGTAAATTAATGAGTGGAAAGGAAACGGAGTATTTCTGGATTCGAGATAAGAAATGGGAAAGAGAAGAGAAAAAGAAGAAAAAAGAAGAATTCCCCTTTTCCTCCAAGCCTTCTTTATTAATCGATTATCACAGCTTAGCCACTTTTCCGGATACTACTGAAATTTTATTAGAAATTTTTTTTGTGCTTTTTTATTTCTCCGATTGAATGTCCAGATTTGCGGACAGCTCTTCGGAGGGATCGATGTGAGTTTTCTTTTCAAATCTCGAATAGATTCTCTTCCTTTAAACTATACATCAACTTTAAATTTAAACTATAAAGGGACTATAAAGGAACTATGAAGGAACTATGAAGGAACTATGAAGGAACTATGAAGGAACTATGAAGGAACTATGAAGGAACTATAAAGGAACTTTAAAGAACCAAATAGGAACTATAAAGGAACTAAATAGGAACTTTAAAGGAACCAAATAGGAACTATAAAGGAACTATAAAGGAACTTTCAAAGGAACTAAATAGGAACTTTAAAGAACCAAATAGGAACTATAAAGGAACTTTAAAGGAACTATAAAGGAACTAAATAGGAACTATAAAGGAACTTTCAAAGGAACTAAATAGGAACTTTAAAGAACCAAATAGGAACTATAAAGAAACTTTCAAAGGAACTATAAAGGAACTATAAAGGAATTCATAGCATTCAGCATTTTCATAAAATATTTTTCTGTTTTTTTGACTGACTGATTAACATCTCCTTAGAAAATCGATTCGATTAGAGGAGGATTTCGGGGATGACGTCTCGATTTTGGACGGTGATGCGGAGAAAAACTGGCGGATTACGATATTTAAGGTTTAGGCTGTTCAATTGAAATGTTCTTGGTGTCATTAGATTCGTCAAGTCTTTCTCTATCGATTGGTACAAAAACTATTTCAATTGAATAGACAGACGCCAAGAAAATTGAGCTCAAAGTTGAGCTGCCGATGGGAAAATGGTATCAAATGTCCCACAATCCGCAAGCTAGTGAGGCGAGAATAGCCGAGTCAAAAAGAAGCCAAGCTTCTCGAAGGCCAAGCCAAGCTTCTCGCAGGCTAAGCCAAGCTTCTCGCAGGCCAAGCCAAGCTTCTCGAAGACCAAGCCAAGCTTCACGCAGGCCAAGCCAAGCTTCTCGAAGGCCAAGCCAAGCTTCTCGAAGGCCAAGCCAAGCTTCTCGCAGGCCAAAAAGCCACAATCCGGCTTGCAGTAAAGCCAGAACAGACAGGACCAGAAATCAGGAATTTACTTCTAAACAGCGATCTTTCATTTGGATTCTAGCGTCTGTAAGTCCAGACTAGAATAGCCGGCCCAGAGCCAGGTCAGGCTTCTCGCAAGCTCAGCCACTTTTTTGTAAACCAATTTGCAGCAATATCAAGCCAAAAAGCAAGAACCTTGTTTGGTCAGGAAAACTGTTTTAGGAAAGCTTATAACTTATAACCAGGTTACAAGTGATAACCAGTCAATCCTAGTTCGCATTGGGTTTAATCTTCATCGGCGCGTGCACAGCGGCGATCATTTACTCAATTAATAAATGTGAGTTTGAGAAAACGACGAAAAAAAAACTGTAAAGTTTTTAGCGGAAATGGTGAAAACGTCAAAACATACCGAGAATCACACACTCGGATTTTTGCCGGTCGATTTAAATCAAATGGGAAACGGAACGCTGAGTGTTTACATCAGAGATCGGATGAACGATACGATAAAAGTACGATAAAATATTAAAAACTTGAACTCTTTGAGTTCTTGATTCAATGATTCAAAAAAACACTTCAATTCAATGATTCACAAAAAAAATTCAGCCAACCTTCTCAGTGCCTATTCGATGGATTCAAGAAGCTGATAATAAACGATTGATGTACAGGTGCAAAAAAAGATCAGCTTTTAAAGCTTTAAGGCTTTAAAGCTTTTAAATCTTTTAAATCTAATACTTTGATCGAAAAGCTCTTCTAAGTATTACATAATATATTGAATAGCCGATAATAGGTACAAAAAAGATCATCTTTTAAAGCTTTTAAATCTTTTAAAGCCCTTAAATCTTTTAAATCTTTTAAATCTAATACTTTGATCGAAAAGCTCTTCTATCTATTAGATAATATCTTGAAAAAAAACTTGAAAATGCTCAATCGATTGATTGAACAAAGTTCTTTCTTAGAGTGGGTGAAGCTGGGCATCCAAACGCGTACACTCTCTATGCCGAGGCTGATGTCGGCTACAATGAGACTGCGACGGTTAGTCTTGAAGTTTCATTTGAAGGAAGAAATTTCAGGGATGCGCGAAAGTAGCCGGGTTAACCTATGATTCGTTTATGGATCAGTGAGTGAAAAACCATAAATACACTAGATATTGCTTTCAGATTGGGCTTTCGATTTGTTCAATTGCGATGGTCAGAGCAAGTGAAGAATAGCGCAAGTGAAGAATATGAGGATGTTTGTTTTTTTAAAAGTTCAGCTGCTAGTTTTCTAGTTTTTTTGTAAACATTGTAAGGCTTTTGATCTTGAAAAATTGATTGTCTATTGAGCTTGAGCTATTGAGCTTGAGCTATTGAGCTTGAGCCATTGATCTTGATCCATTGATCTTGATCCATTGATCTTGATCTATTGATCTTGATCCATTGATCTTGAGCCATTGATCTTGATCCATTGATCTTGATCCATTGTTCTTAGCTATTGATCTTGATCTATTGCTCAGAGAGCTATGGCTAGATCTTGGTGCTTTCATTGACTACAATTGACTACAATCTACAGTATTCAAGCACCAAAATAGAAATTTGACTCCAAATGAAATAGATGACTACAGACAGAGTACGGTAACTCTAAGCATTCTTTTCGGTAACACCAATATCCGCCAGCTTTAGGTATTCGTTTACGAGGGAGAACCGAATCCAACTGCTCTTTACTATGGAGAGAAACCGGGTCTCATTCGAGCCTACACACCAACAAGCCAAAGTAAACAAGAATCGACTTTTTGAAACAATAGAATCCAAACCTATTTCAAAAGAAAGCAATTTCCAGATTTTGTCATGGGTTTCGAGTTGTTCTTCCTCTCCAAATCGAGTCTATTCAAGTGAGTGCAGTGAAAAGCACTATTTCCTTAAAGCTTATGTAAATTAGAGTCTGTAGTGCTTAGGTGTCAATGCTATGTTTATGCCTCAAAGCTATTTTGCTTTCAGTTTATGCCTTCAAGAACTACTAGTCCGTTTCCTTTTTGAGCTATTTTTTTGCATTTTTCGGTTAGAATTAGACTAATCTTGATATTAGGTTGGAAAGAAAGTTTAAAAACTTGAAGAAAGTTCAAAGAAGTTCAAGACTTCGAAGTACTCTTTGAACCACTCTTTGAACGAATAACTTCAAGCCAATCTTTGAACCGAATCCCCGACTTCTTTATCCATATTTTTTTATATTTACATACGATAATTCTAAAGCTAGATTATATGATATTAGGTTGGAAAGAAAGTTTGTAGAAAAAAGTTTGCACAGATTTGCACAGATTTCTCAAAAAACCAAGCCATCAATTCTTCCCAAATTTACATTATTCTAGATTCTAGATTGCTGTTTACTAAATTTGATACTCCAAAAATCGATTTATCAGAACTCGATCATCAAATTACGCCAAAGTCAGATCCTATTAGGTTAGAAAGAAAGTTCGTTAGTTTAGAAAAGAGTTTGCACAATGATTTCTCAAAAAACCAACTCATCAATTCTTCCCAAATTTTTTGTTAAACTTGACTATATTTCAAAAAGTTTTGCACAAAAAAAATAAGATTTTCTTCAGCTGAGTTTCACTTTTTGAGCGGTCAGCCTTTAGACAAGTTTTTAATGGGTTAATGAATAGGCAATTGGTCTCATTCAAAACCTAAAATCAAATACTTAAAATAGGGAAAATTTATGTTAAGACGAATTTTATCTAATGCTTTTCAAACTTTTCAGAATCACCTATTTTAGCAAACACTCAGTGACAAGAAGATGACACGAAACAATGATTTTTTTGAAATACAGCTTCTCTGTAAGAGGACTTTTGGTCAATAATAGAGATTATAGAGAGTATTGCTCATTTATACTAGTATTTCCGAGTACTTTCTTTCCAACTTTATATAAATAAGTACATTGTACAAATACGAGATACTAACAACGAGACTCTACAGTAGTTTTCTGTTAAATAATTTGCAAGGAATGATCTAGAGCTAGTGATCTAGAGCTAGTGATCTAGAGCTAGTGATCTAGAGCTAGTGATCTAGAGCTAGTGATCTAGAGCTAGTGATCTAGAGCTAGTGATCTAGATCTAATGATCTAATAGGTTGATGCATAAGTGTTTTTGTTCCTTTTCGTCTGCCGTTTCAAGCCAACAAATGCACCAATTAAACTACGGTTGATTTCATTAGAAAAACCAATTATTTTTCTGCAAAATAACATTAAAACGGGTTTAAAAATATTTTATGTCTGGACTTTCTTGAGAGTATGAAGTCGGGTAGTCAAAAAGGGCTAACTCGATGATGCGGTTTAGACACCTTAGCTAAAGAAAACCTATCTTCGTGTCAATAGATAAAAGATAGAGAAAAAAAAGTTTGATATTTCGCCAAAATTTCAGAGAAATTCATTCAGCCAATTTTTCCGTAGAGTTTTTTATAGATTTTTACGAAAAAGGCGTTTTTCACTCTCGAATTTGCTTGAAAGTTAACCGAAATTGATTTAAAAAGATGCAAATTGAACAAAAAAACACTTTTTTTATAGAGCAAACTATAGATTAATTGGTGAATTTGTTACTTTTTAACAGAAGTACGAAAAAAACGAAAAGACTTATGCATCAACCTAATAGATCTAATGCTCTAGATCTAATGTTCTAGATCTAATGTTCTAGATCTAATGTTCTAGATCTAATGTTCTAGATCTAATGTTCTAGATCTAATGATCTAGATCTAATGATCTAGAACTAATGATCTAGTAAGTGCAAATTTTAACCCCGAGAAACCTTTTGCAACTTGCAGAGTTGAGCACTGGATTCCGCACATGACACACAACACAGAAAGTGTTCTCGATTTCATTCCCAACTCTTGTTCGACGAATTGATTCATTGAAATTGATCCGAATTTTTATATGTTTTTTTTAATTAGGTTAAAAATAAAGAATTCTCTTTATTCACACAAAAATCCACTACCCGAAAAGTGAACCTCACAAATGAAAATAAAGAAAGAAAGAAAGAAAAAAGAAGAAAAAAAGTTTGCACATAAAAATGACTAAAAAAAAATCTCATTGCCTATACCCATTCTCCAAAAATGAACGTTTTTGTGAAAATTTGAAAACTTTTTTTTTTTTGGGGATCACGTACTAAATGACACGTCGGAAATGGGAATGCGCAAAGAAAAGAAAAAAAAGGAAAAATTCTATACAGTACTATACAGAATAACACAAATTTCGGCCTAGATTGATGCATAGAAATTGGGGATCTTTTTTTTGTACAAGAGAGAAGAAATCACGATTTGGTAAAGAAATTTCAAAATCCTAATGTGAATGCGAACCATTTTGGCCACACGAATCGCCGGAGCTAGTCACGAAGCCGTCAGTAGTCCTGGAATGGAAATCGTTTTATTTTCATTTAACTACATATGAGAAGTTCGGCTGTAATTTGGGCTTGAAAAATTGAAAACATTTACTTAATGGCGTAGTAAATCTTTTCTTTTAAATGACTGTGCCAGAAAGGTGGATTTCATACTTTTTTGAGGAAAAAGTACACAAAGAGATGCACAAAGTAAAACAGAGCCGTTTACTGTAGTTGAGCTATAGTTAAGTTGGTTAAAAGTCGACCTAGCAAAGCAAAGCGTAATAGAAATCGATTTCCTTCTTTTATTCTTTTGATTACAGTAAAATTTGCTTCTTTATTCTTTAGATTTATTAGATTCCTTTAGATTCCTTTAGTTTCCTTTAGATTCCTTTAGTTTCCTTTAGTTTCCTTTAGTTCCCTCTAGTTTCCTTTAGTTTCCTTTAGTTTCCTTTAGATTCCTTTAGTTTCCTTTAGTTTCCTTTAGTTCCCTCTAGTTTCCTTTAGTTCCCTCTAGTTTCCTTTAGATTCCTTTAGATTCCTTTAGTTTCCTTTAGTTCCCTCTAGTTTCCTTTAGATTCCTTTAGTTTCCTTTAGTTTCCTTTAGATTTCTATTACACTTTGCTTTGCTAGGTCGACTTTTAACCAACTTAACTATAGCTCAACTACAGTGAACCGCTGTTTTACTGTGTTTCACTTTGTGCATCTCTTTGTGTACTTTTTCCTCAAAAAAGTATGAAATCCACCTTTCTGGCACATTCATTTAGAAGAAAAAGATTTACTACGCCATTAAGTAAATGTTTTCAATTTTTTAAGCCCAAATTACAGTCGAACTTCTCTACAACGACCTTCTAGATAACGATTTTTGAAATTCTAAAAGGTGTCCCTAATTTCTGCGTAGTTGACCAGTTAGGTCCAATCGTTGCCCGCACAGGGTAGCTACGCAGAAAATGTAGCTTTAGAAATCGCTTTTTAGAATCGTTATATAGAAATTTTTGGTCCCTTTGATATCGTTATCGAGAAGTTCAGCTGTACACTTCATAAACTCATTCAAAAAAAAAACTCAAAAACTTTATAAATCTAGTTCTAAACATTAGCCATCTTTATAGACTTTAGATTTAAAAATTCGAAATGGAAACTATTTTAATTACTTTGCTTGCTTGCTTGCTTGCTTGCTTGCTTGCTTGCTTGCTTGCTACTTAATCGCTTGTACTTGTACTATCTTCAAACAATCAAGTTTAGATCATTGCTACTTAAAATGAATTACTTACTGGTTCCGCCTCGGGAGCGCAAAACGATTGGAGATATTGTAGAGTGCATCTTTCTTCACAACATTTCGTCGCCACGCCGATTCGATTCTCCGAGTTGTGCGCTAGAAAAAAAAGAAATGAATGGATCAGTTACCGTAATCTTATAGTAATTAAGCTTTAGTTTTATTGATATAAAAAGTTAATGGAAAAGTTACAGAAAGCCTACCGTAATCTCATATGTTTAAGCTATTGTTACTGCTATTGTTACTGCTATTGTTACTGCTTTAGCTATTGTTAAAAAGTTACTGCAGTTTATCTTTGCATTGTAAGCTTTATGGATCTCTTATATGGAGCTCTTATAAACTATTCTCCAAGGATTCGTCTAGGCTACTTCTTCATCAAAAAATTCATAGTTCAAATAATCTCATTTTTCTGCGAGCCTTTCTTTTTTTCCAACATTTTACAATCCTTATCAAAAAGGCGGAATTGAAAAACGTAGAATCGATGCAAAGCCACGTGCTGTGTGGCTTTTTGTTTAAAAGAAATGATTTAAGAATTCAGATATCTTCAAGAATCCAGATATCTTCAAGAATTCAAATATCTTACTGGCTCAAGAGTTGCTCTCATTGCCAATCACTAGCCTTATCAGTCAATCCTCTAGTACTAGGGTTTCCTTTGCTCACCATCAGTTGGTGGATTCAATCGGTTCTTGCAAATCTCTTGGAGAAGCTTGGTGAGCTTTCGGCCGCAAAGTCGCTGCTCACGAGCGGCGGCGGGAGAGATCAACGCTGATAACACCAACAACACAACGAAAAACCACATCAATGAGGTGAAAAAGGGCAAGAGATTTCCTGAAATTGAGGTTATCGAGATGTTGGATAAAATGAAAGCTAAATGATCTAAATGAGCTAAATGATGTCATACATATATTCGAAAGTTTAACATATCTGCTTACTGCAGCTTGCTTGCTATGTTTAGCTTGTTGGATGAGCTTGTTATGTTTACTGTGGATTACTGTAGCTTGTAGTCCTGTTGCTTGTACTACTGTAGCTTCTAGTATTTAGCTTGTAGTCCTGTCGCTTGTACTACTGTAGCTTCTAATATCGTAGCTTCTAGTAGCTTGCAGCTTATTCTAGCTCTCAATACAGTAAAACTGTAGCTTAAGTCTTATTTTTAATGTTGATCTTATTAAATCAAGTAGCCAACTTTGAAATCTTTACCTCGAGAAGCTGGTGTCGATCGCTTTTCATTTGAATTCACTGGAGAAGCACTGAAATTGTTTATCATTAAAATAATAGATAATAAAATGGGAATTAATTTAATCTAATAAGATTATCTAATCAATTTAATCTAATAAGCTTTAAATGTTTACTTTCGCCTTCGCTGAATGGGCAAGACTCGCTGGATGAGCTCGAGAACTGAGGGGATCACCGTCATTTGACTTAGATTCAAAAGTTGAAGAATGGGAGAAATAAAATGAATAAATGGCCGTAAAATGTGGAATGTCTGAGGGAAAGGGAAATGAAAGACCGGGTGGAATTCAAATCTGAGACCCTCAAAGGGGACAAGGGGGGAGGACAGGGGGGGACAAGGGAGGGACGAGGGGGGACAACGAAGGGACAAGGGAGGGGCGGAGCCCATAGAAAAGAAAAAAAAATCATAATGCGAAGACCTTTGAGCATCTTTTCTTGCAAAAAAATTCATGGAGAAAATATTTTATGAAAGATCCATTCATTTGCTTATAAATCAAAACACAATGCTGATGATTGCAGGAGATTTTTGAATGGAAATGTTTGCGAAATCCGTCTTTTTGCAAGATTGGAAATTGTTATGGAAATGATTATGGAAATGGTTATGGAAATAGCTATGAAATGGTTATGAAAATAGCTATAGAAATACCTATGAAATAGCTATGGAAATGTTTATGGAAATAGCTATAGAAATAGCTATGAAATAGCTATAGAAATAGCTATAGAAATAGCTATGAAATAGCTATAGAAATAGCTATAGAAATAGCTATGAAATAGCTATAGAAATTGATCTAAGATGTTTTAAATACTTAGTTATAACCGTTTTTGATATATTTTTATGAAATTGAATCCAGGTTTCTAATAAAATTAATAACGAATTGGTCTTCCCAATCCCAGAAAATTCTCTAGTACAAATTTACAACTCAAAAGCGAACAAAAGTGCTTTATTATGCATTTGCTAAAGGTTACAATAGAAGATTCGAGTCATAGATTACTGTAGTGATAGTACTGTAGTGTAGTACTGTAGTAGTGATAGTATTGTAGTGATAGTACTGTAGTGAAGCTGATTTTTTGTTTGTTTCTCTAGGTTACTGTAGTTTGTTCGCTTCAAAATTTAACTCATTCATTTCAACTCATTCTTTTTGAGTGGATAAGTTAGACAGGTTTAGGTTTTAGGTTAGAAGATCTTTAGGAGACTCTTTATAAGATCTTTTGCAAGCTCATTATCAAGATAAACAATCAGAATCGGTTCTTGGCTTTTCGACGATCCCTCTCGAATTGATCGACGATCGCTGCACTCTCGAATCGTGTGATTCATGAGCACAAGACTTGTTCGCCCAGCTCGCCCATTCCTTTATGCACTCAGATCAAGATCCCCCGTTTCTTTTTCGAGGGAAATCGAAATGTTTTGGGAATCGATGATTGCCTTTCCCCCACATCCATTCTTAATCTTTTGAAATCAAAGAGAAATGCCATCGGATCTGTCCGGAAATCTCTTCTTTTTTTCAGCACTGTCGATTGTTTTGTCGGCGGGAGAATTTCAATGAAAATCTTCTTTTTTTCTTTCTAGAAAATGTGCTTTATCAAGAAGACAAGTGCATGTGATTCAGATGGGTTTTGGGAAATTTCCGATAGATCGCTATCGCTAAAATCGCTTTAATGGACTCGATGGTGTTCAAAGATCCCTTAAGAAATGAGGCCAAAGCCCAGCTAGGAAGCTCAGCTCAGCTTTAAGCTTTACAGCAGACTTTCAAGTACATCAGTATCTACAGTAATACGTACAATGATACAGTAGTATTACAGTACTTACAGTAGTTACAGTACTTACAGCAATACAGTAGTAAATTGAACTTTGAAGTACTCTTTTTGAAAAGAAGCACCTAAAAAGTAAAGTAGAACTTTGAAAAAGGCTTTAAAAAACAAAAAGAAATCAAAAATCACTTTAATCTTATGAAAAAGCGAAAAAGCTATTGAAATTTACAATCCATAACCGTACAATTGTACATTATACAACCCATACAATTGCACATTGTACAATCCATACAATCGATACAATCCAATTTACATTGTACAATCCATACAATCCAATTTACATTGTGCAATCCATACAATCCAATTTACATTGTACAATCCATACAATCCAATTTACATTGTACAATCCATACAATCTATACAATCCAATTTACATTGTACAATCCATAAACATACAATTTACATTGTGCACAATCCATACAATCCAATTTACATTGTACAATCCATACAATTGCACATTGTACAATCCATACAATCCATACAATCCAATTTACATTGTACAATCCATAACCATACAATTGTACATTGTACAATCCATACAATCCATACAATTCATACAATCCAATTTATAAGTAGAAAACATTACAAGATGTTTCAGGTAACTTAACAATGATAAGTTCATCGTTCTAGATTTACTTATCTATCAAATCTTATCGATATAAAAGTATCGATATCATTAAACCCATGAATTAGAAAAATTGCTCACAGTTGAAAGTCCCAGCACGAAGATGCGCTCGAATTTCAAAACCCTGGCAGATGAGCGGCTGTTCGAAGGAAAAGAGAAAGGGTTCTATCTCAACAAAAAAAAAGGGGGAAAGGGATTACGCAATCATTCGAATAGGGGATTAACCTATCCACTCAATGAGGCTAACATGCAGGGTGGAGGATTTGGAGAGTAGGGAAGAGCCAGTCCAAATAAACAATCCACGAGAAGGCAGCGGGTTTTTTTTTTTTATGTAAGACTGAAGCGGTGAAATGATAGATGTATGGCGAATTGTCACGTTGTCAAAATGTCAAAATGTCATTGTCGAATTGTCAAAAGTTCCCCAAAAAAAAGCTCCAGAATAGGCGTTCGCTTTGGAACAAAAAAAGAGTGGAATCTTTAAAAAGTTGTTTTTTTTCTTCTGGAAACATCTGGAACTTTTTTTCTGGAATCTAAGTTTATTGAAGTCTTGTTAGCTTTTTACAGGGAGATGGATGCATCAAAAAGGACAAATGCATCAAAAAGGATTAATATAATTAATACAATTAATACAATTAATACAATACAATACAATACAATACAATACAATTAATACAATACAATACAATCCTTTTAATTCATCTATTACGGTACTTTCTTTAGCATTCAACTATTAGAATCTATAAATAGCGATCATATTGGTTTGGTTTGTTTAATTGACGGTTGAGGGGTGACCAAGAAGACAAAGGGTCTTCTTAATCGAGGAATGGAATGCGAGGAATGGAATTCAAATTTCGTACCCCTTTCCCCCTCCTAGCTTCTCCTAAAGAAAAGAGAGACCAATGGGAAATAAGACGACAAAGAAATGATACAACTATAAAGATCGAAATCATTCATTGTGTTTCATGAGCTCTAGATCTTGGGTCTTGGGTTATAGTTAGTTTTAGACGAAAGTATTATAGTTATAGAGTTTTCTGTACATTCTGTATATGACATTCTCACTAAAAGCAAATTATTGGCAGAAATTCTTCAAATATTTGGTATGAATTGGTCTAGCAAATTATCGGCAATAGTAGAATTCTTTTTTTTTGCTTTTGTTTTATGTAAAAATCGATGAGGTAAATAGATTTATCAATCAATCATTTATCGTTCTGATATCTGTTTTGAACTTATAATTTTTTTTTGAACTCACCATTTGGTTTAAAGTGTGTTTTGAGTTAGGATACTTTGAGGATTCTATAACTTGTAGAATTTGTGCCAAATTACAGTCTAATTTAAGGCAAAAATTGTCCCAAAAAGGATTGAGCCCAGCGACCACACACGGCTCAGTTGCCGAAGGCTTATCTTAAGGCTAATACTAAGCCTTCGGTACCGAAGGCCTGGCTTCTCGTAGATACAGATAAAGGGATCTTTTGTGGATGAATTCTACAGCAAATCAGGTTCAAAGGGAGCACCTATCTATCGGGCGCCTGTGCCAGATCTCGAGCGATTGTGCGCGCGCACAAAGAACACCTCGCCATTCATTTACACTTTTCTTTTGCCTTGTACAAAAAGAAGATATTTTGCTGCAAAATTTGTGCCCGGGGGTTTTCGGGGTCGACGAATCGATTGCAGTTATTCATTTATTAAGTCTACTAATTGAAATTCGATTTTAATTGGTCTAAACTTTTAGAGAAACTCAAAAACAAAAACGAAAACAGAAACTCAACTTATTGGCCTAATTGTTGAAGCTATTAATAAAGCTTTTACTCATTTACAGACCCATTTACTCACAGTTCAATATAATCTATAAAAGTTCGAAGAAATCGTCAAGTTTACATGTGGTGAACTTACTGAATCTAAACCTAAATTTTCAATCTTTACTCTCTACGGACATTCAAATAAACACTCGATTTTCAGGGTTTCAAACTGTGAGATGCGAAAGTAGAGAGATTATCGAAGAGAAAGAAAAGAGAAAGAAAAGAGAAAGAAAAGAGAACACCATTATGCAACACAAAAGGGGAAAAGTAGACAGATCGAGACAGGGAAATCTCAAAGCAGACACAGACAAACAAATAAGGGGCTAGGTAGGGGGAAGTTTCGTCTATCACAAGTATTATGCGATGAAATTTTGTGAAACTGTTGTCAGCCTGTTAGTGAGGTCAGTTCAGAAGTCTAGTTTGGCCTGGCTTCTGGCAGATACAGATACAGGGATCTTTTGTGGATGAATTCTGCAGCAAATCAGGTTCAAGTCTAGTTTCTGGCTAAGCCTGGCTTCTATTTTAAGCTAAACTTGGCGCACAAAAGTTCTCCCTGGCTTACAGACTCTAGATTTGATTTGATTTGATTTTAGATCAGACGCTCTAAGCAAAGCACGCAATTCCGTGAGCCGAACCTGGCGCTTGACCTGGCTCTTGACCTGGGTTTTGGTTTGATCTAGGATCCGGTCGGAAAAGCTGATCTACATCTAGATTTAGCTGATCTATATCTAGATCTAGCTGATCTACATCTAGATCTAACTGATCTATATCTAGATCTAACTGATCTACATCTAGATCTAGCTGATCTACATCTAGATCTAGCTGATCTACATCCAGATCTAGCTGATTTACATCTAGATCTAGCTGATCAACATCTAGATTTAGTTGATCCAGTTATCTCGATAAAGCTGATGAAAAATCAAGTAGTTAGTCTATCAATGACCTTCAGTCTTAATTTCTTGTAAACTTGTTAAAAAAGTATCTTTGATCTAGCTGATCCAGTTATCTATTGGGTTGATGGAAAAGTTCCGATTTTTCCGATTTTTTGGGAGAGTACCTTAAATTTGTCCAATTTTGACGTTTTGTAGCTCATCCTAAAGCTGAATTCAAGACGGATCGATTGGTAAAAACCGTTTTGAGATATCTCTTTTCTAAAAGTTTTTACAGCTATTTTAGTAAAGGGCGGCAGAGCCAAAAAATGGCTGTTTTCACGTTTCGTTAGTTTTCCGTGCAGAAACCTCGGCTAAAAACATGTGTTGCGTGATCAGCGTCAAAAATAGCCCCTAGACACGCTGATCCAGTTATCTACAATAGAGCTTATAAAAAATCAAGTAGTTAAGTCTATCAGTCTATTTTCGTTTTGCTCTTTTGATTGAAAGATTTATATATCAAGGGTGAATTCATTTTCAATGTAGCATCAAAAAAAAAAAAAATGAAAGGCACAAAATAATAATTTCTATCCTATAAAACAAAATCATCGGTGACATTGATCATTGAGTCATGCTCGCTTTCCGCATTTAGCTCACTCTCGTAGAGCATTCCGTTGATCTGAAAATCATTTTGCGATTTTGCGATTTTCATTTAAACTTTTCAAATACCCCTTCATCCTCGATCAACTCGTAATTGTAATCTTGTCGATATGTTGGTGGGGGTCGATTGAAAGAAACGTGTTCACCGTGTTGTCTAGAAATTGTGAAATTGAAATTGAACTTGAACGTATTTATTCGAATGCTCATCGATTTTTCAATCCTCCACATGATTTAAAAGTTTCAAAATTGTTAAAAAAACTCTTTTAAACGATAGTTCTTGTTTTCTAAACATAAAAAACATGTTTAAAAGTGAAAATTTCAAAAAAATTCCTTTTATTAGAGCCAGTCATTCTATTAGAGTCATCAAATCATTATCAAAACAAAGCAATTTCTTAAGCAAATAAAGCGAAAGTTGTCCGTTTTCATAATAAGAATCTCAATTTTTGATAGATTTGATTGAAAACTTTGAATTCTCTCGAACAGACAGACGGACAGACGGACAGACAGAAAGACAGACGGGCAGACAGACAGACAGACGGACAGACAGACAGACAGACGGACAGACAGACAACAATCGAATCGATTTTTGCTTAACAATCAAATCGGTTTTTGCTTAACGAATCTTGGTCTTAATCTAGTTTTCCAATCGAAATGTTAGTTTAAAGAATTAATTACAATTAATTACATTTCTGTTATTCAAAACATTCAAAAAAAAGACTCGAGCATTGCAGAGGGTCGAACCAAGAACCCCCTCTTTGGCGCCAGACTGACACACAGCGCCTGGACCACTCGATCAGGCTCATAAGCGAAAAACGAGAAAGAGAAACCGCATTTTTACAAAAAATCGCCCATCTAACCCACAAAAGTAATTAGTTTTTTGGAAATTACACAAAATTTTAGTTATAATAGTCAAATTTTTAGACCGATTGGTTCGGTAGTTTTTTCTAAAACGGCAGAACAGACAGAGATACTCTCTCGCTTATAATCTACTATATATAAAGGGACTAAGACGTCCGTCGGTCCGTCCGTCTGTCCGTCCGTCTGTCCGTCCGTCTGTCCGTCTCTCTGTCCGTTCTTCTGTCCGTCTGTCTGTCCGTCTGTCCGTCTGTCCGTCCGTCTGTCCGTCCGTCTGTCTGTCCGTCTATCCGTATGTCTTTCCGTCTGTCCGTCCGTCTGTGCGTGCTACTCCTCAGCTCCCAGAGGACCGTTTGCAATGAATTTTGCGCCGTTGAATAGGGAATTCAATGTAGTTGTGCAACGTGCTTTTGGATTTTTTAAAAAGCACAATTCGAGTCGCACGGGGAGATCGAATCCGGATCGTATGGGCGATAGACCGGGGCGTTATCCACGGTTCCACGGCGACAAAAGCCATTCATCCCCAAAACATCCAGAAAAACCCACCATTAGGCGGGTTTCTCGGCTGGTAAGTAGAATAATTACAGTAAATGTAATTTAGTTTGCTATGAAAGCCTATTGTCTAACGTTTTCCAACAGTACAATATAAGTATTCAGTCAGAAAAAGCTAAATATTTGATAAGCTATTCTTTTCTGAAAAGAATACTTTCATTCAAGCTTACTATAGTCAGAATGATAGTTTCTTTGTAATTAGATTGTTAAAAGTTTTACTTTAAGCTAGCTTCTAAACAATTTCTCAATTCAGAAATCTCTTTTACTCACACATTCATCGGATTCCGACTTGGGCCCATCGCAAAAACGATCGTGTCCGCGAGTTGATCGGCTTCGGTTCGACCGCCCTGATAACAATTGACGTTATTTGAAAGTATTTCATTTTCAAAAACCTTATATTTCCATTCATTTGCCAGATATATCCATTTGGGTAAAGCCTCGAGTAACTCTTGATCCTCGATTAGACGAAAACGCGGAGCATTTGGGCCAAGTAACTCTGCAGAGAAAGAAATGTTTAGATAATTGTACCTTAAATATCTTTATATATAAAATCTTGAATTGAATAGAGTTTCTTATAACATCCAGAAGGTTTCTCGGCTGGCAAGTAGAATAATTACCGTAAATGTAATTTAGTTTGCTATGAAAGCCTATTGTCTAACCTTTTCCAACAGTACAATCTAAGTATTCAGTCAGAATGTAAATTCTGACTGAATATTAATATAAATTCGAAATCTGGCTATAGATTTCTCCCCACCGCGAATCTCTTCAATCGGATAATCGGCCGCGTTTTCCCCGAATTTCTCCAAAACCGCCGACACCGCCTCGATCTCTTCAGCGGTTAGACTGATTCTAAAAATTGACTAGTTGATGAAACTAGTGCCAAATAGAAAATAGAAAATAGAAAACATTATTGAGATTATTGACATAAAATCTATATTTTACCTAGCTGGAGTGATATTGTGTCCTGTATGGTAAAGACATCCTTCAACAGCGAACGGAGCTGTCTCATCTTCACCCTCACCCTTTCTCATCTAAAATAATCCTTTAAATATCTGGTAAATGGACTTATCCGATTCAAAAAAAGGACCTGTTTCAATTAAAGTTTAAATATAAAGTTCTATTTTGTTTTCCCTGTAGATCAGGTTAAAACAAAGCCAAGTTCAAGCGACCAAAGTTGAGCAGTCGTTTTATGGAGGGGAATACAAAACAAAATAGCGGAGGGATTCGAACCCGCGACCTCTAAGACGAACCCGACCGCTTACCGGGCGAACACTCTACCAATGAGCTAAACCGATAGGTATCAAATTGTCGCCAGGATAGAGCTTTATTTCTGACTCAGCGGTAAATCAGCCAAGGCTAGAAGCTAATTTCAAAGACTTTTTGTAGCCAGGAATGCAGGAAAGTTAGGCTTGAAGTTAGGCAGCCAAGACCAGAAGTCAGCTCTTGGTAAAGGTTATCAACCCTACACAAACCTTTAAATAAGCTGTACACGTTTTTCCACATTTTATCGTCATTCGCGTCGGTCGACAGAATTTCTTCGTCCGTCGCTCTTTAATGTCACCGCTTCGGGAACAGACCAAGTAGCTGAAATTTTCGATTTTTAAATCCATGGCTATTTTTAATTGTATTCTTGGCTTTTTGATCAGCTTTTTGTTAAGATTAGAATGAAATTTTTACGAGATTTTCGCTCCACTTGACCACTGTTTCGGGCCAGAGCCTGTGACGAAATCCACACAAAAAGCATCACGTACATTCTCGAGCCAACTCTGAAAAGGAAATTGATGAAATCAAAACAAAGAGATGCTTGTAGATATCTATTTAATCAAAATCACTTACCGAGAGTTCTTCTTCGGTTTGAAAGACTCTAGAAAAGGATGGTAGAGCGATGGCATGCGCTGTGCCCATATGTTTTAAAAGAAGAGCACGAGAATAAACGATTGCATCGCATTCCGAACAGCGAACCTGAAAATTAAGTTATTGATTGTTTTATTTAGATAGAGAAGACAAAAAAAAGGAATAACGGGGGGTGGGAAAAAAAAGCGACCTTTTTTTGCGGCACCCGGGATTGCGGACCTTTTTTTCCGCACCTCCCCATTAGCGCACCTTTTTCCGTTTTAAAAAGGCTATAAAAAGCTAATATTAACCAATTTCTATTCCAAATGTTGTTTTTCTAGGTAATTTGAGGGTGTCGAATTCAAATTTTGACATAACAGAGCGTGTGGAACCAATTTGAAAGACAAAACGGCTAGATCAAATTACAGAAAATTACAAATTGCCGATTTTTCTCTTTGTATAACTCCGTCCGTTTGTTTCCACAAGCTCTGATATGTCAAAATTTCGATTCTACGCCCTAAAATTACCTAGAAAAACAACTTTTGAAATAGAAATTGGTTAATATTAGCTTTTTAGAGCTTTTTTAAAACGCGAAAAAATGTGCGCTAATGGGCTAAGTGCGGAAAAAAAGGTGCGCAAATGTCCGGGTGCGCAAAAAAAAGGTCACATTTGTCCCACTCCCGGAATAACTTGTTTTATTATTTCATAGACAAAGTTTCTTTTTCAATCACTCACTCCAGATGATCGCTTTGTAGGTAAAGTCTTTTTCACCCCAAAATCGTGTGGATGTCTTTTGTGTAGATGAGAGTTAAACTCATCCTCCGAATTACCTAAATATTATATTCTTTCAAATTTTTGTTTATCTATGTTTATCTTTTTGTTTATCTTTATGTTTATGTCTAAATTTTAAACTAAAATTTAAACTAAATTTAAAAGAAACCTTTCCAAAAACAATCTTGATGTATACAATGAACTTCAAGCTGTGTGGGCACATTCCAATGAATCGTTTCGTTTGGAGCTAAACTTTCATAATTCACAGAACAAATTCGCATTCGCAACTTTTTCATTACCTGACGGTGGTATAGTCGGTGGTGATGGTAAAGAGCCGATTGGAACTCGTTTCGGAATCCTTAACACATAACGTGTTCGTGGTGAGTTTCGAAGTGGTTGAGTGAGAAGAAATGTCTCACAGGAAAGTGACTCAGGCACAGTGGGCACAATTGAAATCTGTAAAGATTCTATAAATAGATCAAGAGAATTTCAGCAAGCAAGAGAATCAAGTTCTCCTTTAAACTCACTTTTCTATCAGTAATCACTCGTTTTTTCATCTCTCTTAGCTCATCGATTCCAGGGAATTCTTTTGGTTTCACCCCGGGAAGTGGAGTGTTTATTGTGTAACGTTTCTTGCTCGGAAGGGATACTCCAACTGGCTGGAAAATTGAATTTGAATTGTTTTTTTGACACTTATTTCATAACTACAGTAGTTATAAATGAAAATTGAGTTTGTTTTATTGTTTGGCGTTAAAACTGTTTGACGTTTTAAGCGCTACTTCTTAAAGCGCTACTTCTTAAAGCGCTACTTCTTAAAGCGCTACTTCTTAAAGCGCTACTTCTTAAAGCGCTACTTCTTAAAGCGCTACTTTTTAAAGCGCTGCTTTTTAAAGCGCTACTTCTTAAAGCGCTACTTCTTAAAGCGCTACTTTTTAAAGCGCTACTTTTTAAAGCGCTACTTTTTAAAGAGCTACTTTTTAAAGCGCTAGTTCTCATTTAATCAAAATTTTGGTGTGATTTGATGAATCACAAGGCTCAGTCTAACTTGATAACTGACAATTTGATTACGGTAAAGCTAGAAAACTTTTAGAAAATACTGAAACAAAGTAAAGTATTGAAAAAAATACCTGTTACTGTTTCTCACCTGATTCAGATACGGTGTCTTGACTCTCGACTTGATCGGTATCCTTTTCACAACTCGTATTGTTCCATTCATTGATTTTTCCCTTCTTTGTGCAATTGTTGAGGGTCCCGGTCGATTCGATGTTGATGCTTCAATTTCCAAGTCGTCATCCTTTTGAAAATTTGGATTCAGATCACAGTCGTCATTTAGCATAACTGAATTTCTTTTTATTTTATTCAATCGTGAGCATTCAATCAATAAAAATCAGAAAAAGCACCAAAATTTGGTCAATGTTCAAAGCTATAAAGTCATGATTGCACATTTGATGAGATCGTTGAATCGAGATTCCCGTTGACATTATGAAATGGGAAATGAAAAATGGAAATATAGAGATATCAGAAAATATGCTAAAGTTATTGGACTCAAGAAAACGCTTTAAGATTTAATACATTAAATACAATTGACAAGGCTGACAAGTTCATTGAAATGAAATGCCTTGGATAATGTAGGATGTAGGAAGAATGCCTAGGATAATGTAGTGAGTAATAAAGTAATCTACAATAATAGAGGAATCCATAGCAATAAAGTAATATACAATAATATAATAATATATAGCAATAAAGTAATATACAATAATAGTAATCTGCAATAATATAGCAACAAAGTAATCTGCAATAATATAATACCATAGCAATAAAGTAATCTACAATAATATAGTAATACATAGCAATAAAATAACCTACAATAATATAGGAATCCATAGCAATAAACCTTTACAGAAACCTTAAGTGTTCACAAAATAACTCACAACAAACACTCGTCTTTCCATCTCCAACCTTGATTTCTACCGCTCCTTCTTTGACTCATCTCCGTCCAAATCCGACATTTCACTCATTGATTCATCACCCAAAATACTCTCGTGTTCTCCTTGAAAGTATACATCAATAGCTTCCATTGCCTCCATTGCCCATTGATTAAACAACTTGTTCTCATCATCCACTCCCAACTCTTCACCCAAATCCACACAATTCCTCAACTCTTTTGCTCCAACAATCTTCATCCTCTTATTCAATGTGACCACCGTTTTCCCGGCTTTAAACCCAAGCGCAACAAATTTAATCTCTTCAACATTCGTGTTTTTCTTCAGCTTCTTATCCGCTGCTATATCCTCTAACCAGTCTAAAAGCCAGTCCGCTTTCCCTGTGCTTTCTAAATTCTCAACGATGAAAATCACAAAACCTTTAAATTTTGTTAAAACAGAGGGCCCGATTTTGCCCAAATCGTAGACTTTCGGATTCTCTGAACTCATAGCTTCAAATAATTCTTCAGCTCTTTCTTTCGCTTTCCCCCCCGTTTTCTTGTGCCGATGCATAGATGATTGTTATCTCGGCTTTTGCCCGTTCTTCTTCCAAACGTTCAACTTCTTTTTTCTCGGCGTATCGTTGATAAACAATGTGCACTCTTCGATAGATTAAATAGACAATTCCAGGCATTACTACACCAAGAAATGCAGTGAAATAGAGAAGAAGCTCGTCTTTTTCAGCGATCGTCTCGATGAAGCCGCGGAGGCCCGTTTTCGGCTCTGTTGGCGGTTTGACGGGGCGGACTGGCTGCTGGAAGTTCATCGAATCTGGAAATCGAAAAGTTGAAGCAAGTAAATACTAAACTACTAACAATTGAAAATACTAGATTCAAAATTTTATCCAAAAATGACAATGAATGAGTTGAACAGAAAGCTTGGTTGTAAAGCTCCAAAATTTCCAACTTAACTTCTTTCAAGCAAGATTGAAAAAGATTTACGGTCTTAAAAGTCGAATTTTAAGTTCAAGCTACAATTTGGATGTTCTCGAAATGTAAATTTTTAAAAGACAAAAAAGTTCTGACGGCTTAAAGTCAAAGAAAAGTTGGGGTAGGCTACCAAATTTTTTGGGCTACAGGGTTATTTGCGCAACTCGCCACAACTTTCTTCTAAGTGAACCAATCTTTATCATTTTGGTGTCATTTTATTGCACTTAGTGAGATCTACAAAATGACACCAAAATGATAAAGATTGGTTCACTTAGAAGAAAGTTATGGCGAGTTGCGCAAACGACCCAGTTGCGCAAATGACCCTGTTGCGCAAAAAAATTTGGCGCAAAGTAGCCTACCCCTCAAACTTTAAAACGATGAAAGATGATTAAAATGAAAAATAAGATTTAAGACTTTTATTTAAAAAGATTTAAAAAGAAATAGAAAACTTATGATGAAAAAAAAAATTGAGTAGTGATTTGTGGGGAAAACGATTTCGAGAGCGTAACACAGCGAAAAAGGGGGAGCTCACTATTTGCTTTCTTCTTTTTCCTCAATTTGTTAGTAGAAAGATGGAAAGCGCTTCGGGATACGGATCGATTCGAAAACGTTTTCTCTGCAATCTCTCATTTTCCCTAAATTTCTATTCCCAACTACAAACTACAAAAAGCTTTAGCACAGATAATTGAATAGATTTCAAAAGAGCAGATATTTAATCTATTGATCAAAGAATTGAGAGAATTCAAAGCAGAAATTATTAAGGAAATAATTTCTCATGTTTATTTGATAATTTTGCTGAATTTTTTGTAAAAGAATCACTTTTAAATGCTTTTCTGATGAGTGAACGAGCCGCCGAAGATATTGATTCGAAATATTTGACCTCATTAGGTTTATTTTCTAAATTTAATTCTTTTTTTTCACTTTTCTATGTTACTAGTTTAAAAAAAACATTGAAATTTGCATTTAAATGTTAAATTTAAACAAGAAACATACCGTATTTCTTCGAATAGAAGACCGGGTAAAGAGTATCATCGCGTACTCCTGCGTAGCAGCCCTTTTTAAAATTTCTTTTCTGCATAAAAGCTTTCAATGAAGTGCTATAGGGGTGGAAAATGACTCAAAAATAGCACATGAGCTAACAGATTTTTGAGCCATTTTCCAGCTCTATAGCACTTCATTGAAAGCTTTTATGCAGAAAATAAATTTTAAAAAGGGCTGCTACGCAGGAGTACGCGATGATACTCTTTACCCGGTCTTCTATTCGAAGAAATACGGTAATCTAATCTATTAAAATTTGACATGCTTCAACTTGGCAATCTACTAAACTTGACAAAACTTTCAAACTTTCAAATTTCATTCAAAATAATCTAGAAATAAGACAATCTGTAGCTGTATTAAAAATCTAATTGACTACTAAAATGTAATATATTTTCATTTTCTTAACTTAAAACCTATTTTTCAGAAAGAAAACTCAAAGAACTCAAGGATCCGAACGGGAAAAAGGCGACCGCAAAAGCTTTCCTCAGCGATCTCGCCTCGCATAAAGATCATCAGGTAGACTGAAATATAAAATACCGTATTCTCTCTAATAGTAGTGCGCACTACTATTTTTTCAATCCTCTCCTGGACCGCAATACTATGAAAGAGTGCACTACTATTAGAGAGTGCACTACTATTAAAGAGTTTCCATCATTTACCAAAGTAAGACAGATATAAGATTTGTTCCAAAAATTCTTGCAATTCTTTCACGTACTCCTTTGGCTCCTTTGGCCCCTTTTGACATACAGTTGTGGGCCGGCGAGTTGACAATTTGTGCCTTGACAAACAACAAAAAGATGTTTTTGCACTTTGCGCAACAATTTTAGATTTTTTGCTAACTTTTTTATGTGAAGAATAGTTAATAAATGAATAAAAAAAAGCCTGACTTTTGCTTGCTTGAATAGCTTTAGAATGTCACATAAACATAAAGTCAAAAAGATTTAGATGAAAAAGAAGCACCAAAAATTCAAATTTGTCCACTACTATTTTTTCAAACCCCTCTCGGACCACAATACTATTAAAGAGTGCACTACTATTAGAGAGAATACGGTATTCAAAACCTACAGTATCTTTAGAAATTATATAATCTGAAAACTTTTCAATTTCAATCGTAAATTTAGCTCTTCCGATTGATCAGTGGTGCCGAAGGGAATCAGTTGCCGGGTCGGAACGCTTTCGACGACAATTTCGTCGACGTCCCCATTCAACCGAATTTTGTACAGCGGTTTGTTGCTTTATCAGTTCTCAATTTTAATATTAAATGCAAATTATAACTAAACTATACAATCAAAAACTATTTTTGCAGAAAAATCGCTCCTCAAACGTGCGCCATCAATAAGCAAGAAAAGTTGCGATTGTTGAAGCACGATATTGTACAAGTGAGATAAGAAATCAGATATAAAATGAAGAAAATGCAAAATGATTAAATTTAGATCCTTCACAAAGAAGTGGAAGACGAGCTGAAAGAGGAGACTGAAGATTTCGCGAAAGAGCTGAGAGAAGTTAGAGAACTTTTGGAAAAAGCCGCGATTGAGGAAGAGACAAAAGGAGAAGAGATTGGAGAAGGAGAAGAGAGGAAATGAATGTGAGTTGGAACGGGAAGATCTTCTGTCTTATTATTGAGTAGTGCTAAGTCTCTTGTTTTCATTATCTAAATAAATGAGTCTCAAACCAAATACCAAACAATTTCTTTCATTAGAAATGTTTCTCGTTTACTTTTTGTCATTTTTAAAATCATTTTTAGTATTTTACAAATAATCTCCGAGAATAAACTTCAAATTTTTACTAGAGATAAAGAACCAAATTTAGAGAGATAAGAAACCAGATTCGTAGAGATAAGGAACCAATTTTTACTTTTTACTAGTTACTAGTACTTTTAAAAATATTGAAAAAATGAGCACATAAATGGATTATTCTGAATTTTTAATTGTAGAAATAACTTTTTGTGCCCTATCTTTTTTATTTTCTCAATTAAAATAGGTTTCATTGAAAGAAACAGTCAAAATCGTATCATCGAATCATCTTTTTTGAATACTTTTAGGTTGAGTTTTTGAAGAAGAAACTTTTTACCTTAAAATACTGTAGCCTTGTTTTTTTAGTATTAGAATAATTATAAAATTAGGTTGAGTACTAAGTCTTGCACCCTTGTTTTCATTATCTAAAGTTCATTATCTTAAACTACCAAATGCCAATAAAAATAGAAACGTGAAGCTTATTCATTATCTGAGGCATATGGAGCTTTTATGTGTTCTAGAAAAATATTTGAAAGTCGGCGCTATTTCATCCTCTCCAACCCAATCCTTGATTGCTTCAAGTTTTTTTGAATTTTTACATTCAATTTTCAGATGGAATGGCGCGAGGTGGCCTTCTCGTCGACACCAAATTCCTTCCACGCATTCTCCTTGCCACAAACCTCGACTCTGGACGTTTCAGACAAAAGCAATTCATCGAATTTGCGCGCGTGTCTCATTGGTGCGACTGGGGTTTGCAGGTTTGAAAGAAAAAAGCTCAGATTTTGTCAATTTCTTTTGAATATACCGTATTTTCCATAATAGTAGTGCACCCTGAGCGTCGCCTAAATTGCTCGAAAGCTCGAGAATCACTTATCAGAACCGATCGATGTGGGGTCGGAAAATGTAGCTGACAATGAGATCTAGTGGGGGATTAGAGTGTTGAGCTTCTTGGGAAAACTTGGAAACCGTAAAATAGTCACCAACTCGGCTCGCCGGAGTGCACTACTATTAGAGAAAAGACGGTATCCGAAATTGTCTAAACAAATCTAAACAACCAGAAATTGAAAAGAACACTATGAGACAACTTAAAGTTTTTGAAAAATACCTAAACAAATATTTTTAGGATCATCAACTACAAGTCATCATCGACAAAAGTTTTCTGGCTTCGCGCGGTGATTAAAACAATAAATTTGGTGGAAATCATGAAAATTCAGGTATAGGAAGTTGAAATTTCAAAAAAATAACCTTAAATTTAGATTGATGCCACGAAATTCTTCGAGGTTAGTGATGCGAAACTTTATCGAGACGGCGATGAGACTTTGTTGTGTGTTAGGTAACGAAATTTTAAAATCACATATTCTAGAAGAAGAAGAAGAATTTGATTCATTTAAACATTAAAAAAAAGAATTTTAGTTGGGTTCAACAAGATGTGAATTGCAGTGTGCTTGAGCAATTCGTCACCTTGTTTCGAGTCATCGATGAGGGGATCGTTTTTGTGGAAAAGGTTCGTTTGCTTGATAAAATTAAAAGTTTGATAAATGGAGAATGAAAATGGAGATTGAAATAGGCTTAAAACAAAGAATTCTAATTCTGGAAACTAGAATTACCTTTTGCAGTTAGTTTTGTTTCAGTTTAAAAGTTTCAGTTTTCACTGGATAAACCATGGGCCTCAACAATGATCATCCCTTCTGCCAATCATTCACTCCTTGTACTCTTCCCACTTCGAGCTGAGCCAATGTTCTTTAAGGTAAATGTAACAATGAAACAAAAGCATTAAAAATATAAAACTTTATATATTTTTAAAATCCAATATACACACCCCCCCCACACCCCCCCCCCCCCCCCACCTCCCAAAAACCTAAAAAAAAAAAAAAAAAAAAAAAAAAAAAAATAAAAATTTATTATTTTTTTCCAAAACAAAAAAAAATAAAACCAAAAATTCCCTCCCCCCCAAAACACCTCTCCTTTTTTTTTTTTTAAAATTTTTCCTTTTTCCTATTCTTAAAAAAAAAAATATTAATGAAAAAAAAAAAAAATTTTAATTATTTATCGATAAAATTTCAGGTATCCAGTGAGAAATTGGATCGTTTCGATGCGTCAAGTGATCCAAATTTCGTGAGCCTTGCTTCGAATGTGAATAAAGGTAAGAAGTTTAGAGAAAGAAGCGGTAAAGTGAGTGAGCCGGTTTTGCCCTTTTTTTAGTGTCATTATGCCCAAATTTTTGAGAACAATTTCTCCCCCAAATTCCCCCAAATTCCCCCAAATTCAGCTGTATTTTTTACTACAAATTCAACATCCTGCGAAAGCAAAACTAGCTGAAATATTCAAGATTGAAATGACCAGCAAAACCGATTTCGTTCTTTAATACCTGATCCTTATTTTATATTATTCTTATTTTAGCATAGACGGTACATTATTGATAAACTAATTTGTGCAATACACTCAACTTCAGCTTATTTTTTATTATTCTTATTTTAGATCTGATACTCCGAAGTTCGCGTCATGTCGATCGCGATTTTGTGTGGAATGCTGTCGGAAGTGATGCTGGGATTTTGACGATTTCTCTTCACAACTCAAGTACCGAAACTTTAATTGGGAGGTTGATTGTATATATTTCTGTAATCATAAAGAAATATACCTTTTAGCCGTTCTTTCAAATTCAGCGGTATCATTTCGATTGTCGAATTTCTCGGGGCAAGTCGAGACGAGAAACTCTCACCCAAATATTCGGAAGTACGTGGGGGAAAATAGCTATTATTTAAATCAAATAATATTTATGCAAAGATAATGTTTATGTAAAGATAATATTTATGTAAAGATAATATTTTTAAATGAATACATCATTCTTACAGTCTGACACTGTTTCAGGTGCTTTTATTGGTCTCCTCTTCAGTGGGGCCGACGATGATTTGGCAGTGCTGTGTTTCGGTGAGGAAATGATTCAATGATAATGCTAAATACTATAGGATTTTTTAAAAACATAACTACCGTAAATACTGTAATAGTATCCCACATATATTTTCCATGATCTCCCGATTTCTCCGATGCATATCCACTACGTTCCGGCTTATCTGTTTCTTTGATCGTTTCTTTTGAAGCTAAAAGTTAAAAAACAAACATATTGCAACACTGACAAACTTCAAGTAAATACAAAGTGTTACTGTAAATACTGTATTAGTACCCCACCCCATTCCTCATTTGCGTCGATTTTCAGCATAATTTGCCACCCATGGGCCCACCCGGAGAACCATTGACGGTGTTGAAATTTCGAGTTCGGAAAGCTACAACGTACTGGATAAATATTGATATACCGTAAATACTGTAATAGTACCCCACCCCCCTCGTACAGTCGCGTAGCCGCAAAAGTAGTTTTTTAGTATTTCATTTTTTTCAAAGCGCCCGTACTTTGAAAAAATGCGTCTTTGGTATCAAAAAATAGCCCTGAATTTCAGCTATTTTTTGATACCTAAGCGCACATTGTAGCATAAACCAGTGTCGAGAAAAACGCGTTCAAAGCTAGACTACGCAACACTCCGCACCGTCATTATAGGGGTGGGGTACTATTACAGTATTTACGGTATGTGCTTCCTTGTGATCCCGTTAACTTTTCTAAGTTTCTCCTTTAATCATATTCATCTAGAAGCTGGAAATTTTCGGTGTGAACGTCAATAGGTGTCCAGAAAAATGCCATGTCTTGGCCAATTTTACAAATCAAGCATAAATTTTAAATCTTAACCCATTTTTTGAGTTATTTGGACCTGCTTGGGTTAACGAAATAGCGGGAATAATAGAAAATCACGATTACTATTTTAAAGTGAAGAGACTTTAGGAAACAGGAGAGTTGTCGATCGGCAAAGACGGTTGTGGGCTGCACGAAAGTACCGGCAAAGATGTAATCACTTCGGCGCTTGTCGTGAAAAATTGGATATTCGTCGGCACATATGCTGGGGTGAGTGGCGCTACCGTAAACACTAATAGAACGCCTATAATGACGGGTGTACAGTCGCGTAGTCTAACTTTGAAAGTCTCGTTCTTCGCGCTTTCTGCGCTCTGCTTTGTGGTTGTTACTCTCCCCCTTCCCCTTCTTCCCCCCTCCCCTCCCACAAAAATAGAATCCCCCCCCCCGCCCCCCCATGATGGCGGGCGGCCGCGCGCGTGCTCTATTTTACCCCCCCCCCCCCCCCCCCTTTTTTTTTTTACTTTAGGCGCTTGGGTGTCAAATGATAGTCCTTGAAATCTAGTATTTTTTGGTACCAAAAGTAGTTGGAAAAATCTAGGGACTGAGAAAAAATTATTTTCTAAAAGTTAGACTACGCAGTTGTACTGGCGTTCTATTAGAGTATTTACTGTATATTCTAATGATAAGAAGGGCTAATGATTAGCCCTTCTTCTCTAATCTCAACTCATTCTCAGATATTCCTCGTCTACCAACGTCCAAAGTTTTTCGATCTCTTGCCAGAAGTGCTCGACACAGCCTATAGTGTTCGTTTAGAATTTTTAATTTATCTTACTAGAGTACTGTAGTGCTTGATATATCTATAAAACTATATTTCTCAATTTCTCAATTTCAGGTTGACATCTCGTCTCCAATCATCTCTTTGTGTCCTTTAAGCGATGAAGGGCACATGATCGGGGTTTTAACGACCGAAGGTACTGTAATCAATTTAAATCTAAATTAAAAGCCAATATAGTAAATGCAAATTGAATAAGTGTAAGTTAAAGTTTGAATGTTAAGGTTTTCACGTGATTCACTATCAAGAGCGGGTCTCCACGACTAGTGGGCCATACAATGCACCGGTTGAGGTGAGTGCTGAAGAAATTTGGCTGGCTACATTAGCCAAAATAAACACACTTCTACTGTAGCCAATTATCGTTAAGGCTTAAGCTTAAAACAATTCATGATCCAGTACAAAGTTGGAGTTACTGGAGTACAAAAAGTCTAGGACGAGATCGAGCCGAGCGATGAGAGAGCAAAGCTGACTGAAGATCCGGTACTACCGATAGAGCCAAAATTCACACTGGGACCCGAGACCACTGTACCGAATTCACCGAATAATTTGCCAATAACAAGTCCACCAAAAGAAACTCGCTTAAATTCGAATAGCCGAAATCGTCGAGATCTTCCGAGTGGCGGAAGGCCGAGACCCGATAGTTTGGCCATTGATCGGGCCCGGCTCTGATTTACGGATCAAAATGGAAATTGTATATTTGTTTATATTAGCAATATCTTTTACTTGTCAGCAATCTCACTTAAAATATTCCTATTTCATCTTTTATCCAACTTATCAACCTTTTCCCCGGCCATTTTTCTTTTTGCCTCCTTGCCTCACTTTAATTTTCAGATTCCAACTTGTTTAGTGGTATTATTTATGTATTATCAGTGGTATTATCTATGTATTATCTATTTTTTGTATGCTCTAGAGATTTAATAAACTATTTTTAAAGATTTATTCAAAACTTTGAACGAAATTTTATTTGGAAATTTGTCCATTGATTTTTTGACAAATAGCGCCAATCCAAATCGACGCTGCCATGGCTCCTGCGTCTGGTTTTGTCTACAAATTTTAAGCATTACTCTTTTAAACATGCTTTAAAGCATCTAAAATGTTCCTAATAATAATCTAATCAATTTTACAATTGCAAAACTTTTACTTGAACAGCTTCTGCAGTGTAAGAGGCTCGGCCAGCGCTGGCCTTCATTGTTGCCGTTGACTCAGCTGCTTTCTTGGCTATCTGAATAGCTTTATTTTTTAGTATTTGTTATCTAAATAGTTATCTAAATATAGTTGTTATCTTAATCCAGCTAGATTTTTCACTTGCACTTTACCTCTCCAATCTCTTTTATTGTTTGCGAATTGGTAAATGATGACCCTCTTTTCATATAGTCGACCACAGCATGTAATGTATCTACCTGAAGTTTTAAGTTAAAAAATTTTTAGCCTTAGACTCACTATTATCAATATTTTATCAGAAAAAATCTAAAAATCTTCTTTAACTAACTGGCTGGCTAACTGGCTAACTAAAAATCTTCTTTAACTAATTACTGTTTTCACTGACCATTGTCCGATCTCCTGGCTGCGCTCTCCCGTATTCAGTTATTGCTTTTAGACCGATCTCCAATCCGTGAGACCAATTCTCTGGATGAGCTGATTCTTCAAATGACCCACTTGCTGCTTCCAGTAGTAAGGCGTAAATCTAAAATCTTGTCTTTGACATGAACACAGCTTATCTCTTACCGCTCCTCCTGTCCCTCCAACCGTTTCCTGAAAGATTGCGGCCAGTTGCGAGAGTAAACTAGCCGGATTTTGCCAGTGAAGACTTTCATTTGCTTCCAGAATACCTAGAATTTTGAAGTGTCATAGTAACTCTTTCTTACATTTTGCAGCATGTGCCATTGTTTGTCCACAATCTCCATCTCCGGCCGCTCCATCCAAATCGTTCAAAAAATCCCGTTTCTCGATGAGTGCATGACAAGCCGATTGTACGCACTTTTTAACCAAATCCGCTTCTTCTATGATAGAATAATTAACGATTAATGCTTTCTAGACTATAGTATCAGTATACCGGGCAACTAAAGTAATCGTTACTACATGCTGAGTTGAATACTTCGGTCCTTTTATGAATTGGGGCTGGGATTACAAAATATGGTCGGCGCCGGGATTCGAACCAGAGACCTCTCGCTTACTGGGCGATGGCTCTACTAATGAGCTACACCAATACGCATTCCTTTGCCGCCAGAGTAGGGCTTTATACCTTACTCATTATCTATCTTGTTACCTTTTCTCAGCGTTGCCCCTTTTCTCTCAATCATTTGCTTCTCATCCTCGACCCGATCGGGCAATCGTTGCTCAAAGCTATTGAAAGCTGATCCAGGAAATGCTCGCGGCCAAGCCTCAGCATCGGTTGCAAATTCTAAATTGTGTGAGCGTTTAAAATCTCACCTAATTACCTAGATATTTGATCACTTGATCATCGGCTCTCATAGCAGTGATGCTGATTCCTTTCCCATCGAGTGAACTCATGAAAGTCCCTTGGTAGAACAGTGAAACTTCTTGCTTTAAATCCACTAAATAAAGATTTTTCTAGGTAAAGAGAAACTTTTTCAACTGATATAGTTGACAATCTCTCCTCGCAAGATGCCCATCTCAATCTGGGAGACTGAGCCGAGGTTGTTCAAGAGGAGAATGAGGGGATGATTTTGGTGATTGGTGACCGCTTGGCTTCCAATTATTGTATCCATCATTAGAGGGATAATACCCCGAGCTGGCCTTAAGTTAGGTTTTGATAAATAGTTACCGTAAATACTGTAATAGTACCCCACCCCCTCGTACAGTCGCGTAGTCGCAAAAGTTTTTTAGTATTTCATTTTTTTCAAAGCGCCCGTACTTTGAAAAAATGCGTCTTTGGTATCATAAAATAGCCCTGAATTCCAGCTATTTTTTGATACCCAAGCGCGCATTGTAGCATAAACCAGTGTCGAGAAAAACTCGTTCAATGCTAGACTACGCAACACTCCGCACGGAGTGGGGGTGGGGTACTATTACAGTATTTACGGTAGGTTTTTTATATTTTTGATAAATATTTCCAATCACGGGTTACCTCAAATCCTCGCGACTTTTCCCCGGTTCACCGTGAATGCCGAGTCCCACCTAAAGGTCTACTATATTCACTTGAAAGTTCGCAAGTGTTTAGCTCAGAGATCAGTTTAGTATCGTTAATGTCTTACACTTGATAATACGATACTAAAGTTTGTTCAAAGTTGATTCCGTCCATGGTGTTTGACTTTTACCTCCATCTTTCCTTGCTCCAATTCGAACATCGGCGGTCTGTTGGGGAGACTGCACGGGTAGAGGGAAACACCAAGTGTTGCTAAAAAAGGACTATTATCCCTGAGATCGATTTTTTTTCTTCACTCACCACATCTCCCATTGAGCTTTTCCGCGTAATCAGCGATTTCATCAAGACTTTTCCCAGCCTCAGTCATCGCTCCAGCTACCTAAAAAGTTTATAGCATAAAAAAATTTTGAAGTCAAAATTGGGTGGCACTACGGGGGTCGAACCCGGGTCGTGCGGGTCGTAGACAAGCGCGCTTCCGACTGCGCCACGGTGACAAAAACCGTGCCCCAAAACATCCAGCCAGAAAAACTCGTCGTGAGGCTGGTCTCTGGATAAAATCCATGTGTTTCTACATCTATTCCTAGGATTAGAGACTTTGGATACCTTCATAATGAGAGTTGCTGCAGCCAATCCCCGACTTCCAATACGATTCTCGACATTTTCCAGCGCTATATCATCCGCTATCACAACCACTCGTACCTAAATCTAATTTTTAAAAATTTCTAAAGCAACCAAACTTTTCCGCCGCTTTTTTTGAATTTCTCGGCGGCTAGCCCGAAATTCAGGCGATCACCCGTGTAGTTTATCACAAAGAGCACTGTTCCTGCTAGAAATTTGGAGCATTTTTGATCAAATTTTCACCAAACCTTCTCCACGAGTTTCCTCTAATGCTGCCAGAACGTGATTACTGGGCGGTGAGGCGAAAACGTCACCACAAATCGCGCCCGTTAGCAGGCCTTTCCCGATGAAACCTTCAAATTGGATAATTTTGCATTTCAAAATTGAATCTTTCTTTCTATTTGGTGACGTTATCAATTGCCTTTTTGATGTTTTTGATTGCTGATCGATTTAATTGATAACTTTAGATGCCTCCGAAGCACACACAATCGAGAAAAGGACGTAAAAGAAAGGGAAAAGATATCGATGAAATTCACGACGATCTTAAACCGCAAAAGGCAGCAAAGTTATTAAATCAAGAGGTAGGGTTTCTGATTTTATCCATCTCGTTCATCAACTTTAGGTCGATCTCGATCTGCCCGGTGAAGGACAATTCTACTGCATAGAATGTGTACGACATTTTGCTGATGCACCAACTTTAAGCCTTCACCAAAAATCTAAGGTAACGGTGTTTTTTTCTAGATTATTCTTAATACAAGTTTAGTTGCATAAACAACAATTGCGTAGGTTGAAAGAAACCCCATATACTGTGGCAGAAGCTGAGGCGGCGGGTGGAGTTGGTGTTGTGCCACTTATAAAGGTACGTGAAGAAGCTCGAATATGTTGATAAATGTTAATAAATTTAGAATTTGACGCCCGGAGAAGTAACAAAGATCAACAAAAGAACGAGGACTCAAAAGATGGACGATGGTTCTACGTAAAACGCACTGATAAACGATTCCTATTGTTACTGTTGATTTGTTTGTTGCTATTGTTGTTTTTGTTTTTAATAAATATTAGTTTCAATTGTAAATTGTATAAAGTCAGCGACGAGTAGTCTTCTCTATGGATATTGAATTTGGTACATTTTTTTTCAAATCAAACCTATCGCAAACGGTTCGTGTCCCGAACCTCCCCCGGCTAAAAGCACAATTTTCCCGTTCGCAACGTGTTCGCCATAATCGATGCGCAAAAGGACCCTTTTACAGCTGTAAATTAACTACTTTATGAGCTCCTATTATAACACTTATCGGATGAAAGCGTAGATTTCGATTCGTTTTCACTAATCCTTGCAGCGCATCATCGACGACCGAATCCGGCTCGTTGATAAACTTCTTTGTAGCCATCTATCAATATCGAAAAAAGAGAATCGGTTTGTTTTTTTTGGTGTCCTGCAGATATGCCAAACAAGTCTCTCGTTCTTTTTGCTCTCCCCTTTTTTCCCAATCTCTCTCCTGTTATTGTTGACGTCGTGAAATTGTTTAAAAAGGAATGACTTGTTATTTGTTTTTAGGTTCTCGATTTCTTTGGCCAATGTCCAGCTTCAACATTTTTCGGCATTTACGTGAGTTTTTTTATGAGTTGTTAAAAGAGCGGGAAGATTTTCACAAAATATTAAAATTTGATTATTACGTAACGTCAAAATAAGCATCTTGTCTTTAAAAACTAAAATTTTTATAGTTTTTACCAACTTCGCGGGTAGTCCTTTAAGTCATTCATTTTGTAAGCTACTATGCTGAGTACTAAAACGTACCTATATCAAAAGTCTAATTTGATATTCGGAATCAACGATTTTTTTACATAGTTTTCCAAGTTTTCAGCCCAAACGGACAGACTTGACCGTTTATATATACTAGATATATAGGATTTTAGACGAACGAGAGAATGGAGTTCGTAAAGAGCCTCGTACAATCGATTTGGAAGACGGAGAAACAGATTCCGATCCCACCGATGAGCCGGTAGTTATCGCTTGCAAACTAGCGCAAAAAAGGTTTTGCCTGCTTGTAACATTAAGCTTTCAACTGCTTTAGAAAATCTTCGTCACTAGAATCGCTTGACGAGCCTGAAACTATGATAAAAACTACGAAAACAAATGTTCAAAGTACTTCCCCAACGGTTTGTTTTTTAAAAAGTGCGTAATTTTGTAAGTTTAGGAGATAAAAGTCGATCCGGACGTTATAACGCTTTCGGATGACGAGGATACGCCAAATCTCTGGTCAATCGATCGCTCAAGTTTCCCTTTATTTAAAGATTTTAAAACAATGAATTTCAGGAAACGAGACTTCGGAGAAAGATGTGCTTTATGTTTTACCGGTAAATTTTTCTCTTTATCTCAACGCTTATTTTCAATTCAGCCTCGTGAGAAGAAGCAATGTCGAAAAAATACAAAAACTCCAAATGAAACGACGAAATTTGTGGCCGTCTTAACAGGGACGTCTACATCTTGTGGGGCTGGAACTATGCTAAATGTTAAGGTTAGGATTTTATTTTTTCGCGGATAACGTTTTTAGGACAAGACTCTTATTTCAACGGATGATTACGTATCTGACGAATGCGCTAAATACTTTGAAGACCTAATAGTGCCGGGTTGCTCAAAAAAGACTCCGGTATGCATTTACTGTTAACGCAATTAAAAAAATGTTAATATTAGGGCGGCAAAAATCATGCTACGAAGGGTGATTACGTAGCAGATGGGTACGCTAAACATTTTGAGGATAAGAAGCCATCTTTAGTTGTTGAAGTACGTGTTTTGAAATAGATTCACTGATGACCTTTACCAACAGGGGTAGATGCAATAGATTTCTATTTGTTCTCTATTTTTGTAGCGAATGAAGTATTTTAAGACAACAACAAGTTGTGAATGGGGATTAAATATTTCGAAAAATTTCTCCATTCACGTTTGTTTATCTTGTAATTCCTATTTAAGTAAAACGTTTATGGTTTTCTAAAGATGCTTTGAGCATAACAAGATGCTTCTTTCTGTACTTGAGAGATCAAATTTTAACATCAGAACGCCGAAATATGTTGGTTTTAAAAGTACACTTCGACTAGTATGGACCAAAAAAATTGATACAAACAATACATAAATTTAATTCTCAGGTTTCATCACCCCATTTGCTCGTTTCACCAAATCATGAGAAAATTTATAAGCATGCCGACGTTGACAATTTAACTTTTGCTACCCGCAAATACCATAAAGAAGACGCGCGACGTTTCGAGTTTGCCAAGGTATATGTATTTTTTTACTATATTGAAGTTGAAGTTCTACTATTCTACTTAAAAACAATATATAAATTTTAGCCACCTCCACCCAGTGATGACTTTTCAAGGATTCGTCTGTGCTCATACAACGTTCTTTGTCAGTCGACTGCCGAATCTACGATGTATCTATATCCACATATGAAATCGTGAGTACAGTAAAGAATTTGTGAATTTATTTTATAGTGCGAAGCACCAATGGAAAATGGGGTGGGCGAATCGCTCAAAACACTTGAAAACCGAACTCGGGAAACTAAATGCTGACGTTTTTGGCTTGCAAGAGGTTTAAATGGCGTTATTTTGGCGTTGTTATTATTTTTTTGATTTAGGTCGAGGCTGACAAAATCGAGACGTTTTATGAACCGGTTTTCAAAAACCTTGGTAATAGAGTTAATGTTTACTTTGCATAATTCAAATTTTAGGATACACAATTTTCTACAAGAAGAAAACCGGAGAATTTGTGGATGGTTGTCTTTTGGCTTTTCGCACGGTTAGTATTTACTATTTACACAACTTTAGAGTTTACTTACTACTTGATATTTGTTTTCATTTTTATGTTGTAAAGTTTAGTCTCGATTCGCGATCAAGAAATACGAGGAAGTTGAATATTTTCTCGGCGAAATGATGGATCGTCATCAAATTGGTGAGTTTTATAATTTGATAGACCTTGTGCATGTATTGGGTTGGGGAGAATGAGTCGGCGCCGAAAATCAAAGAAATTTCTAAAACTTATAGCAGACTTTGTCAAATGATATGTGTTTGATATCCGTAGAAGGGGTAACTAATTCTCTACAAAATAATATTTAAAAGAGAACTCAAACAGCGCCTCAACTCAACAAAGGATCATTTTTTCACAAAATCGATAAACTGTCATCTAGAGTAAACGGTTGGAGGGATCTTCCTGAAAATTTGGCAACTTATGTAATTGAGTGTGCTCTATCTTTTTTATATAAACATCAAAGGAGGTTTATGTGGAAGAAACTGTTCAAGCAATGAGTCGGACTTTTTGTCATTTTGATTAGCTGTGTTTGGGAATCCATAAAATCCCAAAAAAGAAAAACTTTGTGGAATCTCTCAAAAGCCATTTTGTAAAGAAATAGTGGACCATTTTGATGAAACAAAACGTGTATTTAAAGAAGGTTTTATGGGTGCAAAAAGTTTCTTTAAATTTCGGCGCCGACTCATTCTCCCCAACCCAATACATTCAAATACGTCTTGCTTGTTGACTTAATTTTGTTTTTAGGGCAAATTTGCATTGTGACGGATACTCAAAGCGGCCAAGATCTTTGCTTTGCGAACACGCATTTGCTTTTTAATGAGAAGCGTGGTGATATCAAACTTGGACAATTGGCGATTCTCTTTGCGGGCATTCATAAGGTTTTTTCGTCTTATACGACGACAAATGTCTCTTTTCAGTTGATGAATGATTATGGAAAAGACGTTCCCGTTTTTATTACGGGGGATTTTAATATTCAGCCGTTGTCTCCGATTTATCGATTTATCACAAGAGCAAGGCAAGAAGAAGACATTTCTTATTTTTTTATTAAGCTTGATTCAGAGTTCATGTTGCCAACCTATCGCGTCATGAACTTTCGGGACAGGTAAGCGAAGTAGAAGCGAACATCTAGCTTGTTTACCTTTTAGATCAAATGTGGCTCCTCACCGGCTATTGCAAAGACTACGATTTTGCCAGTGTCATGTGGTGTGACGAGACACTCAACTTATGCTTCGAAAAATAGTGATTTAATGCAGTCTCTTAAAGAATGTTTTTATTAGGTCTACCTGATGGCGAGTGGGAACATCCGTTTATGCTCGCATCCGCGTACGATCACTTAGCTCCCGATGGAGAAGTAGGCAAAAATTCTTACTTGATTTACAAAATATTACTCAGGAAGCCGTTTCTACTTATCATACGGGCTCGGGCAACCCCGACTTCATTTTTTATTCGGTTGACAACGTGCAATCTATCAACGACGAGGTTTGTTTGATGGTTTTTTTGCGTATACAATCTTTTTAGAAAGTGGAAGTTAAAGAAATGGAAAAAATTCAGCTGGTTACACGACTTACTCTACCATCGAAAAATTTCTTGCAAAGGTACCTATTTTGTCACTTTGGGAGCACACCTCTGAACAAAATTATAGTAACTTTGTTAATATTAAGACATTAAACGTGATATATCATTTTTGTATATTTTTATTTTTTATTTCAGGACATTGGGCTGTTGGCCAAATCTCTACGTCCCATCGGACCACATTCCCTTGCTGGCCGAATTTGCTATCAAAAAAGTAACCGATACGTCGAGCCAATCAAATTCGCAAGATGTTTTGTATGTGCTTTGAGTGTTAGATTTGTTTTTCGAACTTTTGCTGTCTTTATCTAAAGCCTGGGTTTTTGGATCTGTGATACTTATTTTGTTCTTTGAGGTTTAGTGTATTCAGCAAAATTATTCGTTCTTTTACAAAGTTTATTTTCAAGTTGTTAAAAATAAATTTTTTTGAGTTCGAGGCAGAAACAAAAATGCAGGCATTTAGCAGGCACTTTTGGGGGAAAAGGTGAGTGACGAAAGCCTTATCTCTCGGGATTCTTATTGATCCGAAACAAATAATGGAGGCTCAGGGGGTGAAATATTCGTTCTAGCATTTTAACCTGATTTTTAAATCTATTTTATCCATCAAAAAACTTTTATTAACCTTTCTTTATCTATATTTTGATGAGCGACGGGGATCAGCGGTTAATTTTAGCCTGTATCTTTGAACGGACAAAACTTTAGAACGACTTGGGATGATAAAAAGCAGAGGATCTATCTTAGAATATGTGACTATGAAACAAAAGAATTCTCGGGCTTAACAACATATCATGGATTGGTGAGTGGGAATTAGAAATATTGGGTATCACAAAATTAGGTTCGAATCTACAACTCGAACACATGGCCATCGCGGATTTTTTGGTGTGTCGTCGTCTTGTCGTGTCTTTTTCTCTTCATGATACACGTTAGTATAACTTTTGCTGAAAAATTTTTTCTAGAAATCAATCCTCAACCAACAGTGCAAAAATCAAATTGACTTTAGGCCTTATACCGTATTTCTTCGAATAGAAGACCGGGTAAAGAGTATCATCGCATACTCCTGCGTGCACCCCTTTTTAAAATTTCTTTTCTGCATAAAAAGCTTTCAATCAAGTGCTATAGAGCTGGAAAATGGCTCAAAAATCTGTTAGCTCATGTGGTATTTTTGAGTCATTTTCCAGCCCTATAGCACTTGATTGAAAGCTTTTATGCAGAAAAGAAATTTTGAAAAGGGCTGCTACGCAGGAGTACGCGATGATACTCTTTCCCCGGTCTTCTATTCGAAGAAATACGGTATTTGTAACTTTTATTCGCAATTTGCATTTATTTCTTCAGAGTGGTTTCCTTTTACTCAACTATCATTCAAAGCCGACTCTATTTCAAGTGAATGTGATCGTTCCCGAAGAGGGTTTACTTTTTCCCGACATTACGATATGCAACAATAAACCGGTGTTCGCTGAGAAGTTAAAAGGTATGAGATTGGGAAATTTTTGATACAATGACCGTAATTATTCCAATAGACGGCCTAGGAAAAAAAATTATCATTTTGACAGATTTGTCAACTCCTAATCCGGGTTTTCAAGATTTTTTTATTTTTTGATTTAGATTTTTGGAATCGTTTTAAGTGATAGAAGTAATAGAAAGCTTAGAAAGCTTTAAGTGAAAGAAAATTTGAAAACCTTAATTCGCATCATAACCCATAGGAAATTTCGCTGTAAACACCCATTTTCAAGTTCTTAAAAATTTAGTAAAATCTCGGACTTGGTAACGGATTCAAAAAAATAGAAAATTTTCAAAAGTTTGGAAAATAGATGCTCATGGTCGTTTATTGGAAGAATTATTGGTATCTGCTTTTTTTTAGTTTAAGCAGTAAATGAGTTATTAGTTATTAGTTATTAGAAAGTTATTTCTTCTTCTTGAGTTATTAGAAATTACCGAAATTTTCATGCAACTAATGCAACTCCAATGTTTAGCCTGGAAAATGCCATCCGATGTGCTTCAGTACGTGCTTAAAGCCTACTCAAAAGATATGGAAAGTGATTTAAAAATTTTGACAAGCGAACAAGCCGAGTTTGTGGTGAGTGGGATGAAGAATGATAAATGGGAAAGCTTTTAGAAATACACAAATGACTATCGAAATGCCACCAAAAAGGTCTTCTCATTTATGGAGTTTTTCTCGAGTGTTGGGTAAATTTTTTTTTGCAATTCTTAAATGATAAATTTTTTGGAATATTTAAATACTCTGTGTGTGAGAGGGTACCGATGGGGAAATGATTATTTGATATTTATTCGGAATATAGCACAAATACTAATCTAGCGAGAAAATATTCTCGATTGATTCTATAAAATAGGTTCAGTGTTGGTTGGTTGGTTGGTTCAGTGTTTCAAAGCCAAAGAAAAGCAATACAAAGTGCTTCTCTGTCCCTTTTCTCACACAAAACGATCTTTAAAGGAAGGACTGGAGAATCAGAGATACAGTACTGGACAATGAAATATCATATTTGAAAAACGATCGTCACTTTCGCGCGTCTGTAACTTCCTTGTCTTTGAGTTTAAACTATTAGTGTCATACATTTTCTGAAAGCTCTTTTCAAGGGCTACACAATGGTAATATTAATATTTAGAAATACGGTAAAGACAAGGGAGTTACAGATGCGCGAAAGTGACGATCGTTTTTCAAATATGATATCCAGTAGTGTATTCAAAATCAAAACATTAAATAAGATTTCACAGAAAGAGCTACTTTTCTGCGCACTCTAGATTTTATTCGATTTCTAGAGCCGATTGTCACTCGATGGTCGAGTGGTGCGCGTTTGGCGGAGTGCCGTTGGACGAATGCTGTCAACAGACGCAACCAATACTGACAGACTCTGGGCTTTGCGTACGGTGGGTTACTGTTGAAAGTAGGGTTCTGTCGATTATTTAGGAGGCTTATTGTTATCTATCCGTATACCGTAGCACTGTACTGGTTATTGGACATTTGATTGGCCCCGTCCCTTTTCCCAGGCAACCTAACTTTAAGCTCAAATATTTTGGTGTTGGGTTGTTGAATTTCAATATTTTTAGTATCATTAGATGCGCCAAGTCTTTCTCTGTCGATTTTTATAAAAACTATTTAAATTGAACAACTAAACACCATGAAATTTGGGTACTTAGGGGCTATAAATCCCGCAGTCCTCATCTATGGCGATGAATCCCTCAACAACAATCGACTTCAACAATTATATGAGGGATTTTTGTGTTGAATACTTAACAGCAAAGCCTGTGCAACAAATTAATGGTACTGGATGTATTGTTGAAGTGGATGAAAGTAAGCACATATTCATATATGAGAAGTGCGAGGCCTATAATCACTAAGTACCGAAATTTGAGCTCAAATTTGGATTGCCAATGGCAAAGTGGGCGGGCGCATATCAAATTTCCCACAAACGTACTGGTGGATAGTGCTTTAGGTTTTACTCGTAAACATCATGCGAAATCTATCAATACCAAATGAAAAGCTTACTATCTTTTTACGATTCAAATAGCTATATCAATCTTTATCCAGTACGTTGTAGCTTTCCGAACTCGAAATTTCAACACCGTCAATGGTTCTCCGGGTGGGCCCACGGGTGGCAAATTATGCTGAAAATCGACGCAAATGAGGAAAATGGTGAAAAAATTGAGATTCTTTTGATACCTGAAGAAATACGGAAATTCGATTTCTATTTAAAAGTCGAATTTCAGAGAGCAACTTCTTGCCGGACGAGTTCGCTGATGAGGGAGTACGGGTGGCTGTTCATGAGGCAAATGGTAAATCTTGAAACTCTTTCGAACTTTTATAGAAAAAAAGCAAATGCTATATTCTGATGAATTTATTTTTGCTCTATCAAATGGACGATTCTAGAGTGATTTTTTTCTTTAACTTCAGCAAAAGAATGAGTCTAGAGTTCCCATCGATGAGGGCTCATTCGGTTTCTGTACCGCCGGGCACCACTCTCTACACGGGAATCGATGTGAGAAATGTAAGAGATTTCAGTGGAAATATGTATTATAAGCCTTGCGACTATAGAACTTTCTTTAGGTGACTCTATTGGCTCGTCACGATTGGGGACTCTGTCAACCGGATTGGGATCCAGCCATTCATGGAGATCTCGTTATACCTTTTGGGGTAAACTGATAAAGCTTAAATAAATGTTAAAAAGCGAAATTTGAATTAAGATCAATTAAGAGTGGTAACTTGAAACAATTCAAATTTTCCAGTACTCTTCTCGACATTGTGAGGCGAATTGTCTGATGAAGAGGTATCTGGAGATTTGTGAGTGCGTCCCTTTAGCGGTCACTTTAGCTGATCAGGTTCGTTGATGAGCTTTTGCATAGAGTGTGTTCCTCGCGAGTAAGTAAATTTGCCTGCGCGAAAAAAATATAAAAGCAATTTTTTGCGCCGGTTTTGGGGGTGGGACAAATGCGACCTTTTTTTGCGCACCTGGACATTTGCGCACCTTTTTTTTTGCTGGAAAAGGCCTTAGGAAAGGTCGTAGAGCTTCGAAAATATTTCCATATAAGAGAATCGTATGCGTAGATTCCGAATTTCGACAAATCCCCCCCCCACCTCATTTTTGGTTAAAAAAAAAAAAGCGAAAAAAAATTAATAATTTGTGTATTTTCTTTTAAATTTGACGTGTCAGCGAGGTCTGATTTGTCGAAATTCGGAATCTACGCATACGATTCTTTTATATGAAATATTTTCGAAGCTCTACGACCTTTCCTAAGGCCTTTTCCAGCAAAAAAAAGGTGCGCAAAAAAAAGTCGCATTTGTCCAACCCCCTCCTTTTTTGCAATAATTTTTTCTAAAAGTACGGTAATTTTTTTTGCCAAATGTGCGTTTTAAAAAACGCATTACTCGCGAGGAACACACTCTATTCATTAATATTTTGATATATTTCGTACAGAATTGAATTTAAATTTAATAATTTTAAATTTAGTGTACAGAATTGAATTTAAATTTAATAATGGTTTCAAATTTTCAACGCAAACAAGTTCAAAGTAAGTTCAAAGCAAACAAGTAGAGCAAACAAGTCACACTTCAAAACGTGCGGGGCTCATCATTTTTGCGTCATTTTTTGCAATAATTTTTTCCTAAAAGTACGATAATTTTTTCTCAAGTGTGCTTTTTAAAAAACGCATTACTCGCGAGAAACACAAGTAGAGACTTTTGATTGAACCGAGCAAAAATCGACAAATTTCAGTTTCCCATTTGCACTCCACTTCAACTCGCTCAATGTCAAAAGATCATTAATAGTAAGAAAAAGTTGAATTCTTCTTTTTATTTGAATTTTTCCGATTCGCAAACGTGTTTTTGTGACGTAAAATGTGAGCAACTGCAGTATGATTTGAAGACATCTTATGGGAATTTGAGAGCAAGTGATTCAAGGGTTTCGCTTGATGATGATAATGGGTGATTCTTGAGAGTTTTCGTATAACTAGTAACTCTAATAAAAACGTCTAATACTCTCTAAGTCTAAGTCTAACTCAATCTATTAGTTAACTAGAATCTATTAGTTAATTAGAATCTATTAGTTAATTAGAATCTATTAGCTAACTAGAATCCATTAGTCAACTAGAATCTATTAGTTGACTAGAATCTATTAGTTAATTAGAATCTATTAGCTAACTAGAATCTATTAGTCAACTAGAATCTATTAAATACTAGAATCTATTAGTTAACTAGAACCTATTAGCTAACTAGAATCTATTAGCTAACTAGAATCTATTAATTAACTAGAATCTATGAGTCAACTAGAATCTATTAGTTAACTAGAGTCTATTAGCTAACTAGAATCTATTAGTCAACTAGAATCTATTAGTTAATTAGAATCTATTAGCTAACTAGAATCTATTAATTAACGAGAATCTATTAATTAACTAGAATCTATTAATTAACTAGAATCTATTAGTCAACTAGAATCTATTAGTTCCAATTTACTTATAAAATCTGATAGTTGATTATCTAGTGAATGTTTTGTTAATCGTATTTATTAAAATTTATTCAAAGCAATTTCTAGAAATAAATCAACGGACAAGACTTTTAACTTTAAAAATCAAGTCTAGAAAAGAAAAGTTAGCCTTTAAGAATGAAGTTAATCTAGAAAATTCTCGCGAATCCTCGTCAATGTCTATATGAGAGAGATCTCCTACGAACGTCATGAGCAACAGAAACAAATGCAAACAGCCGATTTGTTGAGTAAGACTTTTACGAAGGAAATGTTTTCGAATCGTTTTCTTAATCACGATATCACTTTTCAGGTAACATCGCCGGTTCAATGGGTCTTTTTTTGGGCATGTCAACGGTGACTTTATTAGAGATTTTTATTTATCTCTTTAAATCCGTTTGGGGAACGATTAATAGCGATCGACAAAAGCAATTTGTTGAAGTAAGCGATTTAAAAGATTAAATTTCAAAACGAAACTTTGTAGGCAATGATTATGGAAGAGAATGAACTGCAAAGCGAGCAACAAGTGATCGTTGTTGAAGAGGAGCAGAATGAGGTAAGGATTTGATGAGCTTAAGGATTTGACGAGCTTAACTTCAAAAGCGACTTTTGAAAGTTTCTTGTTGTTTCTTTTTAGCCACTAATGTCATCTGATCAAATGCCATTATTGCACGAGAGAAAAGCGTCAAGACGGATCTCAATTGTGCCCATTTCTGCCTACAATACTGGCTCGATTGGTCAAAGAAAAGCGAGCTTAATGCCTGAGTATCTGGCTGAGGATCGACCGCCAAAGAGGTTTGTTAGCGAAGAATTTGAAAGATCTGTCTTAAAATGATTAAAATGATTTCTGTCATAGTCAGACAGAAATCATTCCTTCTCTTTCTTTCTTTCTTCTAGCTTGTCTTTCCTATTTCTTCTTGAGAAATAGCTGATAGCTCAATGGCGCTGATAGCTCAATGGCGCTGATAGCTCAATGGCGCTGATAGCTCAATGGCGCTGATAGCTCAATGGCGCTGATAGCTCAATGGCGCTGATAGCTCAATGGCGCTGATAGCTCAATGGTAGAGCATCTTCTTGAGAAAAAAAGGCGCTGATAGCTCAGTGATAGAGCATCTTCTTGGTAAGGCTTGGTTCAATTCCCTTGATTCAAAATTCTTTGTCATTCATTTTTATTTTATTAGATCAATCTCTGCGTGCGCTCCACTACTTGGATCAAGACGGGTCTCCCTTGCGAGCAATCATGATCGACGAAGGGCCAGTCATCAGGATTCAGTCGTTACAACAATCGGAATTCCGTGAGTATCAAAAAAAAAACAATAGGAAATGGGTAGAAAATTAGGAGCTCATCGACCGCGTGGAGTTCATTTTCGGCTGAGGAACCGAATCGTATCAACGTTTTCCACACCCGTCGCCACTCGGCCGTTCCAAACAAAAAACGCGGGAGTTTTCTTGATTTTTAAGAGAATAAATTCAAAATTTATTTCAATTACGCAAAAATTTTCGTTAACATGAAAGTTATCAAAATGGGGAGAAGAAATCGCGAAGCTGAGTTGATCTTTTTGCACATTTTCTTTGCATCAGAGATACAATCGCCATCTGAAACTTTTGAATATATTGTACTTTGTACATCAACCCACCAATATATTGTACTTTTTATCTCACTACAGTAAACTGGTAAATGATTCATCTGGCAAAAGCTCAATGTCTTTTTCTTTCTTTCTTTTTCCTCTTTTTTAGGAATTCTGGTTACTGTAATGAAATAATAAGCTACAGCTAATAATAAGCTATCAATTACAGTACCCTGAATAATGTGACTATGATTAGAGTATTCATAAATCCCCATAAAGTAAAAAAAAGAATTGGAGAGAAAAAGAATTTGGAAGCAAGGGGAATCGAACCCACAACCTCAACCCTCCACCCCCCCTTACAAGTCGGATGCTCTACCACTGAGCTATCGGGGCCTTTGTTTATCAAGAGATGGGAGAGGGCTAACATCACAAAGCACTCACCAATCCATCCCTGTTTGTCCATGATTTGCGGATCGATATCACAATATCCACCGATATCCTCGCAAACCGAGCGCATCACTTTCCATCGACACGTCATCGTTGAGTTGATCGAACTGGGTTTTTTTGGTTTCAATTTTCATTCAAAAATCACCCACTAGCACTCATCTTTATATCGATAATCTCCGCAATTCGCGTAATGAGTTTGATCTTGCCAATCAGCGCCCGCCCATGCGGCTCGACACCGCGTGTAGGTGTCGTCTGAAAAAATCGATGAAAGGAATGCAATTTCATTTTGTGATTTTCTATTTCTTTTCTTATATTTACAATATTTAATTTTACATCTAGTCAAGGTTTGAATTGAATTGAATTTCCTTTCGCTTTCGATTTCGAGATTTCGAGATTTCGAGCATGTTTTTGAATGATTACAAATTGAAAAGTGGGCAATGAGAAGAGTAGCTGCATAACAGAATAAAGCCAATTTGTCTATTTGTCAATTTGTTAATGAAGCCAATTTGTCTATTTGTCATTTAAAATTCTTTTTTTGCGGAATGAATTCTTTTCGCTTACATGCTGAAGCGTGATCACATCGAAGTTGCATGGCGAGAAAAAGCTGCAAATAGCTCTTCGCCTCCGCCTCGGATCCACTCGGTACAAACTAAATTTGACGAAAAACGTGCTTTATGAAGATTTTCATATGAGATTTTGACAATATCCATTTGGATGTTGCATTTGAAATTTGAAAATATTTGGAAGCAACCCTGAAAATCGTTGGTAAATCATAACAATATGATTTCAAATCGTTCAAACATGTTTTGAAGGTGTCGATGTTGCTGAAAAGAAAACATAGAAACTTGTTTGATAAAAATTGATGTCAAATTCAATTTTCCCACTCACCCGCAAGGAATATTCATCTCATTGATCTTCAACGCTGAATACGCGGGAAATTTCGTGTCTCCATTTGGGATCGTCTGCTTGTAATAGAGCAACGCTTTATAACAAGCAAAAGCTGTCTGAAAAAAAACGATTGTAAAGAAAAGTTCTTTTTTTCTTTCAAAATGTTCAATTGATCGTTGAAGCGACAAATTTTGATACTATATTGTTTGAAATTGTGTTTCAACCCACAATCAACCCCCACAATCAACCCCCACAAAATCAACCCCCACAAAATTAACCCCCACAAAATTAACCCCCACAAAATCAACCCCCACAAAATCAACCCCCACAATCAACCCCCCACAAATCAACCCCCACAAAATCAACCCCCACAAAATCAACCCCCACAAAATCAACCCCCACAATCAACCCCCCACAAAATCAACCCCCACAATCAACCCCCACAAAATCAACCCCCACAAAATCAACCCCCACAAAATCAACCCCCACAAAATCAACCCCCACAATCAACCCCCCCCACAAAATCAACCCCCCACAATCAACCCCACAAAATCAACCCCCACAAAATCAAGCCCCCCCTATATCAACCCCCCACAATCAACCCCCACAAAATCAACCCCACAATCAACCCCCACAATCAACCCCCACAATCAACCCCCACAATCAACCCCCACAAAAGTGGGACTCGAACTTGAGGGTAAAAGATGTAATGCCACAGTAGCCTAGCAGACTATCCACTAGACCACCGCAACCGTTGTCGAGAGAGCGTGTGACGGCCTCATAAGAAGCTCGAAATTCAAGGTGATTTTCTATATCAAATATCTCGCGTTTGCAAAGCGTTCTGCAGGAACGAAAAACGGATTTGAGATCCCCATGGCCGACTTTATAAGATTGACTTGATCTCGAGTCAAAAGTCAAGCTTGACTCGGTGTCTTTCCCTTGTGAAAGGATTGTACGAGTTGAGACAAGATCAGTTGGCATTCTATCAGTTGGCAGAAGTCGAAATTGCTCTTTTCCAATCCCGAGCTCACTCATACTCCTTCCACTTTAAGTAGTTCCTCTCTAACAATTTTCGTGCCTTAACGCTAGTATTTTGTAGATAAATAGTAGATCATCTACTTTGAAAAGTAAAAAATCGATAACAAATCTGAATCAACTCAATCAAATCAATTAAATCAATCGAATCAATCAACTCAATCAACTCAATCAAGCAATCAAGCAATCAAATCAAACAACTCAATCAACTCAACTCGATCAACTCGATCAACTCAATCAGCTCAATCAACTCGATCAACTCGATCAACTCGATCAACTCGATCAACTCGATCAAATCAACTCAACTCAATCAACTCAACTCAACTCGATCAACTCAATCAGCTCAATCAACTCAATCAACTCGATCAACTCGATCAAATCAACTCAACTCAATCAACTCAACTCAACTCGATCAACTCAATCAGCTCAATCAACTCAATCAACTCGATCAACTCGATCAACTCGATCAACTCGATCAAATCAACTCAACTCAATCTCTTTCTCAATCTTTCAATCTATTAATTTGTCCGATGGGGAACAGGTTGAGCTTTTTGAGCCATTTTAAGTGCCAATTTTTTCCAAAATTGAAAACACACTGTTTTCTGGCAAAATTCTTCCATTTTCCTGTGACAACATGTGAAAAAAGTGCACCAGAAAGGGTGATTTTATAATTATCAAGCAGACAAGGCAATAGATCGGAACCAGAGAAAAAAAGAGAAAAACTTTTTGTCCATTATCTGGTTTTCAAACTTATAATCTATATCATTTTTTGTTATATATTATATTAGAATGTTTAAATTAGCAATTTGCATACCGGAATACTTGTAATATTACTTCTATTACAGGTATTATGATCGATAAAGTCAATCTTTGCCCACCACAAAGTCAATTTGCTCACAACTCGACGGAGCGATGCTTCGCTCTTCGGGATTTAAAAGATCTTGTGAAAAAACTGAAAAAATTTCAAAATACAAATATTTTCTCATCACTTACCTAAATAAATAATTAATAAAAAGAATAGAAATTGTTTCATAATAAATGGAGTATTTGAATTAGAATTAGAACTTAAAAGAATAATCAGTGGAATAGTGTGCACCGACCTTTTTTGAGAGAAAGGGCACTGATCTGAATTTACCATCAAAAATGAAACAAGATAAGAAAATTTTCAGCCTTTTTCTTGCATTGTTTCAAAAAAGAAATCTACGCATTCACGCAAATTTCAGAAAAATTCTTAACCACAGAAAGATTTGAAAGGCTTTTACTCGAGTTGAGCCTATACTTGTAAAAAGCCTATACTTGTAAAAACAGTTGCAAAAACATATATTTTATGCTGAATTTTCGAAATTTATTTTTTTTACAAAATTTACAATTCATTGTAAATAAGTTAAAGAAATGTGTAAATTTTCAAAAATGTTAACAAAATGAGTAAAGTTTTTGAAAGAAATTCAGCTGAACAAGGCCGATCCTCGCACGTGTCATAGCCAAACATTCGCATCTGAAAACGAAAGAATGAAAGAAATCGCACAAATATCTAGCTAATATATTGTCAAATCAAAGTTTAAATCTAGATTTTATCATTCACAAATCGTAGCTATAAAAGTTGATTCAAAATTTTATAATATCGTTTACAAAAAAAGGAAAAGAAAAAAAGTCAGTTATAATAATGTATACCGGGGTTATCGGTGACTTATTTTGCACACAAATAATCACAATTTACAAATTAAGATCTAGGGAATATTCTATCGTTTGTGAGGATGGGACGATGTGGGAGACGATGTGGGAGACGATGTAGGAGGAGAAGGCTACCCGCTTTATATGAGCTTGCGCCTTAGACAAGTCTACCCATTTGAGATCCCTGGTTATCCCAATCCCGAGGGGTGGGGGCCTAGGGGTACCGGCTTAGGCTTAGGCTTAGGGGGACCGGATTTTGAGAATCAGTTCACCATATGGGTGCGGCTACCTACAGCACTCGGTTCAGGGAAGATTTCCCTGACTCATCTGCTAGATTCGGTCTTGGGAACCAGTTCACTATATGGGTGCGGTTACCTACGGCACTCGGTTCAGGGAAGATATCCCTGACTCATCTGCTGGATTCGAACCAGAGACTAACCGAGCTCAACGTTGCTTAAACTTGGCAGATACCGTGTTTAAACGTGGCGAGGCCGTAGCTAGTTAGAGCACTAAGATGTACTTCCTTACTTACTCTTACTCAAAACACACTCTTTCTGGGGTAATCTATCTCAGAAAAGAAACTTTATTTTTCAATGAACTCACCCTAATATTACTATACGCACAATAGGACGCTTCCACCTTTTTCCCACACTCTTTTTTAAAGAGAATGAGCTGACAACGAGCCACCGTGACCATATCTCTAAAGAAAAGTTGGAACAAACTGCTTTTGTCGTTGTACTTTGTTGTAAAAGTAGAAACACACCCTTTCTGGGTGCACCCTTCGTCACTTTTTTTTACGGTAACAAGCCAGGCAAAGTGCATCAGAAAGGATGTGTTTCGAATCGCGATCACAAAGTACCTCCAGACTTCCTAGTTCAAGCTCTTCATTTTCATTTTTCCTTTAAATTTTGGTGATTAATCTCAAATGTTAAGCTCAATATTATCTGAAAAATAAAATATCAGAAACTGACACGCATTCCGGATTATGCCAATCATCATCACAATGATTTAAAATCGCCTCATTCAACTCGTCGTCAATAATTTTTTCATGGCATTGGAAATATTGAATAACTAAATTTGTTTACTATAATTAATAAGTTAATATTTCTTTTTTTCGTCTTTAAAAGCTTATTTTCCCAAAAGTCAAACATTTTTTCGAATCACTGCAGTAGAGCTCAAAAAGTGCCAACTCTTCTGCGTAAAATGTTGCATCATCTAGAAAAAACCTGTAGATATTAATTTCCATAATACAGTAAATAGGTTTTCCTTTATGAAAAATCAATGTTTAAACTTAAGTCTTACCAAAAAAACAAACCATTTGATGCAGTGTATAAAGAAAGAGTCCGTAGCGTTAGGCAATCTTTGTATTTTGAGCCCATACACGATTCGAGACTTGAGTAGCGTCTGGAAAATGATTTAGAGGACAGAAGACATTCAATACAGAAGACATTCAAGACAGAAGAGATTCAATACAGAAGACATTCAATACAGAAGACATTCAAGACAGAAGAGATTCACTACAGAAGACATTCAAGACAGAAGAGATTCAAGACAGAAGAGATTCAATACAGAAGACATTCAATACAGAAGACATTCAAGACAGAAGAGATTCAATACAGAAGACATTCAATACAGAAGAGATTCAATACAGAAGAGATTCTAATACAGAAGACATTCTAATTCAGAAGACAGAACAATGTAAACTTTAAGATTGAAAAGATGAGATTATAAAGAAAAAGAAAAAGAAAAAGAAATAACTTTTAAACCCACTCGCACAAGTGAACCGAATCGAGGAACATTTTATCGAAAAGCTGCGTGGAAACACTTGGGAGAGTCCCGTTTTCATCGAGTGGATATCCATAAAGGGAGACAAATGCTCCAAGACATTGCTGAGTCATCTAAAAGAAAAAAAATTCTGTATGATTTCTTACTATTTCGCTTCCTCTATAACTCTATTTTCTTACTATTAGGCTCTCAAAAGTGTTCCAAAACATTTCCTAAACCCTGACAACTTTTGCAGACGATCGTAATAACTTTAATAATAATAACTTTAATAATCTGGTTTTTATTTAATTCTAGGTATCTTTTGTGACAGAACAAGACAAAAAATAGAGGTTACGGTAGTTTTGAAAATTTAGAAAACAGGAGAGAAGCTATTGCAATCTTACCGTAGCCTCATCATCATTGCAACTTCTGATGGCTGGACCGGGTTTAATGAAAATATTTCCACGATGAAAAGTTGAAACGTTGTAAGCAGACAAATTACGGTGAATGAAAAGAAGAAAGAAAACTAAAATTTCATTCTTCAGAAAAGCTCAGAACAAGCAACATTGGCAGCTGTTTGATTTATTCGTTTTTTTTAATAGATTTGGTGTTTTTATGAACAAATTTGGCTGTAAATTTGTATACTAGGGTTTTAGGGGATGGGGAATCCGAATTCGGTGTTTATTTTCATTTATAGTCACCTCAAAGACTTGAAATAGAGTAATGGCATTTTGACGAGTCTTCTACATTGAGATGAAAGAAATTTTTCTAGCTTTTAAGGGATAAAGTAAAAGGTATAAAGTAAAAGGGTTAAAGTAAAAGGGATAAAGCAAATAATGGTTTCTTCTTTTCTTCTTTCTCTTCTTCTTAATTGCCCAAATTTTTGCCCATTGAAAGACTAAACTCCGGGGCAAGATATTTAGTCTCCATGCCACAAAAGCCAGCTAATGATGGGCCGAGTTGTCCGACTTGCAAATGGAGGAAGAGCTCGCCTACCCGGCGTTTTTGCTGCTTATCGTGTAAAATTGATCAAAGTGCCTCCTTATTCGCCGGATTTGAATGTTATAGAGCATCTCTGGGCCCATTTAAAGACTAAACTCGGGGGCAAGATATTCAACACAAAGGTCGAGCTTTGGCTCTTTATCAGAAACGTTTGGCGACAAATTTCTTCGGGTAATTCTACGTGATTTGGTCGATTCAATGCCTCAACGTATTCAAGCAGTGATTTTGGCTAAAAGACCGGCAAAATGTTAATCGAGCTTTCCTTTTTCAATGGTGGGACAAGACTTTTCCACCGTATATTTTTTGATTTTAAACTTTTTGTGATTAGAATTCAAAACGAACGATAAATTTGGTTTCTCGACCATAGAAAAGCCTTTTAACATTATTGTTTTTCAAAACAAAAAACCCTATTTCTTAAACATTTAAAAACTTACCGTATAGAATGAACATCAAGAGATTATTGCAGAAATGAGGTAAACAAATATTAGGAGAATCGCTATCCAGACAATTTTCTCGTTCCTTTTCCGTCCAAAACCAACAAATGCACCAATTAAACTACAATTTATTTAATTTTTTAAAAGTATATTTATTCGACACAAATAATGAATTACAACAAAAAGGAGGAAATTTTTATTCCTAATTATTATTATTACCCTATTACCCAAATGTTGTTAAGAAAAAGAACCCATAATAATGGGAAAAAGAAGCATTCTTTCTAGCCGCCGGGATCGAACCCTACTCCACGACACCTACCCCCCGACTAGGAGGCAACTAGGAGGCGACTAGGAGGCATCCTATCTGGTCGGCTACGACGGCTTTTTCATTCATTTCATTCAAATTCATCCAAATTCATTCAAATTCATTCAATTTCATTCAAATTCATTCAATTTCATTCAATTTCATTCAAATTCATTCAATTTCATTCAAATTCATCCAAATTCATTCAAATTCATTCAAATTCACTCAAATTCATTCAAATTCATTCAAATTCATTCAAATTCATTCAAATTCATTCAAATTCATTCAAATTCATTCAATTTCATTCAAATTCATCCAAATTCATTCAAATTCATTCAAATTCATTCAATTTCATTCAAATTCATTCAAATTCATTCAAATTCATTCAAATTCATTCAAATTCAATCAAATTCAATCAAATTCATTCAAAAAAACCAATTATTTCTCTGCAAAATAACATTAAAACGAGTTTTAAATGTCTTATTTCTTGATTAAAATGTCTGGATTTTTTTTGAGAGCGTTAAATCAAGTAGTCAAAAAGGGTAGCTTGATGATACGGTTTAGACATTTTATCTAAGGAAATAGATAAAGGAAATAGATAAAAGAAATAGATTTACCTAAGGAAAATAGATAAAAGATAGAATAAAAAAATGTGAATGGTGTAAAATAGATAAAAAGTTTTGTATAAAGCTAAATTTTCAGAGAAATTCATTCAGCCAGAGCTTTTATTTTTTTAATTTTTATATAGATACTTTCTTTTTTTAGAGATTTTTATATAGATACTTTCTATGTTTATATAGATAAATTCAGAATCTGAAATAAAGTGCGCTAGATTTGCGCTTAATACACATGAAAAGCACCTTTTCTTTTGGAAAAAACATCTTTTCACTTCATAAATTTGCTTGAAAAGTGAACTGGAAATTGACTTAAAAAGAGATAAAGATATTTGATCTTTGAATAAAAAAAAACACTTTTTAAACACTTTATTTAAAGGAAATCATTCATTCATTAGTGAATTTGTTATTTTTTTTTTAAACAAAAGTATGAAAAGAAATGAAAAGAAATGAAAAGATTTTCTCGATAGCTTAATATTTAAAGTGAAGTTCGCTGGACTTTTGACGAAATCACCTCAATTTTTTTTCTTCTTCTTCTTCTTCTTTTTTGGCTTTAAGAAGCGGTGAGAAGAAAAGAAACCCATAAACAATCAAATTTAGTGATTTTTCTTTTGATAAAAGATTGAATCGACAAAAAAAACTGGTCATTAAATAACTCTAAATTCACAGCGAGAATTTTGTCAAAAAGTTTTGTGATTCGGGTTTAGAGCGAGTGCATTTAAAAAGTGATTGCATTTAAAAAGTAATTGCATTTAAAAGTGAGTACATTTAAAAGTGAGTACATTTTTGAGTAATCAATCTGTAAATGTAGTGAGACGTAGCTATTATTTAACCTCGACAATATCTTTAAGATCACACTTCTCAAGATAAACTTTAATCCAAAGAATAGACAAAGAATAGACTTTTAAATCGACCTACCTTCGGAGGAATCGAAATTATAAGAAATTCTGTAACAATGTTATCGATTAGAGCAATCGATTAGATTAGAGCTATTCAATTGAATCATTAAGAGCTATGCAATCGATTAGAGGCATCCAATTGAATCATTTAGAGCTATGCAATCGATTAGAGGTATTCAATTGAATCGTTTAGAGCTATGCAATCGATTAGAGCTATTCAATTGAATCGTTTAGAGCTATGCAATCGATTAGAGCTATTCAATTGAATCGTTTAGAGCTATGCAATCGATTAGAGCTATTCAATTGAATCGTTTAGAGCTATGCAATCGATTAGAGCTATTCAATTGAATCAATTTACCAATCTTGCCATGTTTTATTCAAATTTTTCCAAACAAAAAACTTTTCTCTTTTCTCTTTGAACTTTTGAATGTAAATAAAGCTTGACACCAAACAAATAGAATTCAATGGCTATGTGCATAAAGGAATACCCTAAAAATGACTCATCAAAGAAACCTCAAAATTTCTCATGTATTTTCTTTTCTTCATTGTCATTATTGTTTCGATCATTATCTTGCTGGTTTTTGTTTTTCTTCAATTGACGAGCCTCGACGATTCGCTGGGGAACGATTTTGATTCGCTCGACAGTGTGCAATTGAGTGAAACCAATAGAAATCTGGAAATAATCTTGTTTTTACTAGGGAAAGTCGCCAACTTCAGATGGAATTTGAAAACTAGACCTATCCTATCCTATCTTGTTCAGCTTTTAGTTTTCAGAATTCAGTTTAGCTTTTAGTTTCTTTAGTTCAGTTCAGGCTTCCGAATCCGCTTTTAGTTTTTCCTGAATGGCTTTCAAACGCAAGGAATTTGTCTTTAAAGTTTTAGCTATTTCTTTTTGAGGCTTCCTCGCTTGTCGCTTGTCCCTGTGGCCAAGAGGTAGGGCTTTTGGTTACAAAGTTTTCCCCCTACAAAGTTTTCCCCTTCGAGGGAAAGCTCGATTCCCTCGCTGGAGGAGACTCGACTCGAAGTTCGACTCCCTCCCTAGTTAGTATCAAATATATTTGGGTATTAAGGCTAAAATCTGCTAAATAAACTGTATTATATAGCTGGGCTTTGCCAGACGGAAATTTTTCGAATCAAGCCAGCTGGTGTGGGTTTTAAAACTGTCAATAGTTTAGAGTCAAAGTCGAGGCCATGTTAAGCTAGACTCAGACTCAAGAAATTGAGAAAGTTGACACGTTTTAGAAAAAGCAATAATCGAGAGGAACTCGACAAAACCATAAATATTAATCCCATCCTAAGCCAAACCACCGGCCCGATCTAACAAGTCTAGATTGGGCTACAAACCAGATCTGGGCTAGGCTACAAACCAGAGCTAGGCTATAAACCAGAGCTAGGCTACAAACCAGAGCTAGGCTATAAACCAGAGCTAGGCTACAAACCAGAACTGGGCTAGGCTATAAACCAGACCTGGGCTAGGCTACAAACCAGACCTGGGTTAGGCTACAAACAAGAGCTAGGCTACAAACCGACTCTTAAGCCAATGCCCATACCATAGCTAGATTCGTGTGGCATTTGAAACTTGTTCATAGTTCAGAGTCGAACCACGAGCCCAGTTTAGGCCAGTTTAGGCCATATGTCCTAGCTCAAAATAAGTGTCCACAAGCCAAGGACTAGCCCAATCGGACACAAACTTGTTTAACTGATCCAAGATCAATTTGATTTTGACAGAATAACTTTTTATTGTCTAGTCTCTTTTTTCCGAACTCACCTTCAACTCCGGAAACTCCCAATAAGCCAAGAAATGAAACAACGAGTTGTATCCAACCAAAAGATATTCAGCTATCGAAAAGGCGTAATAAGCTGGAAAACTTTCATAAAAACTTAAAAATTGAATTTTTTTTACCGTAAACATTGCAACTGTTCATGAAAATTGGATAACTAACGGCTGTTGAGAGGGAAAGAGTGAGACCGGTTAAAAGAAGGAATAATTTGATTCTCCAGGTGATCTCATGCTAGATTTGGAAATGATTTCGATATGATTTCATGGAAATTTTCTCTACCGTATCATTGCTGGCTCGTATTCGACTGAAATGATGCAAAATGACATTGAAGAGCATATTGAAATTAAATGGAATCAGCCAGAGAGCATAGGAGAAAGCGTGCAGCTCTGGAAAAGGGTCATAGGTTTCGAGTAATTAAGCATAGAAGAAAGCGTGCTCAAAAATTGAACAAAAGATTGGGCTCTTTCCCTGAATCGTTGTCTTTTGAAAGATCTTTTCGGGATCGGGGAATCGATTGGAGATATTCATCTATCAATCTCTTGCCTGCCTGGCCCTTTAGTCAATCTCTGGCGCTTTCCCTGAATCGTTGTCTTTTGAAAGTTTCGTGGTCTTTGTTCAAAAAAAAGTCAGTTTCGTGGTCTTTTGCAATTTTTTGTTTTTTCTTTACCAAAAAGTCTTTTGAAATTGTTTTAACATATTTTATTAAATTCCACATGCACATTTAATCAGAATTTAAAGAACAATCGTAAGAACAACAATTTTAGTCGCCCAGCAAAACGCAAGGCTTGGCACGCCTTGCGTTTCCTCGGACACGCAAATTTTTATGAAGCTGGCCTTCACATACAACCAAGACAAACATCTTTGCCAACTTGATGATATCCCGTTCCTGTCATGTTGAGAACACGAGGAATTCTGTGTGATGTCGCCCAATGTCGGCCCCCTGAAGTAGCCACGGCACAAACGGGAGGTTTTCTCTTTGTGAGTGGATGTTGTGGATTTTGACTGTGTCTCCTGAATCCAGGGCTGAAAGTCGCTGAATTCGAAAAGAGTCGGCAAGACGAAAACAAAAAACGATCAAAAGAACGTGTACAAACATTTTAAGTCGCATTGATAATTTATCAACCATTTAACCCTTTTATATAATCTAAGAGTAAATCTGTTTGCTTTTTGAGCTGAGACACCATAAATGTTTTCCTCGATAATCCGCATTTTTATTGGCCCGATACTCCTTGCCTCTTCAACTCGAGCCATGGGTGAATGACATTTTCGGCTCAGGCCGCTCGTCTCAATGTTTGCATTGTTGCCGGTAATTCCTTTTTGGTGGTGACGGCCAATTGGTGACTCGACGCCTGTTCACCATACGACGCCAATCGAGGCAGGTTAAACTGGGTTTACTTATTACGACTTTGTTGTGCCGTCCTGTCGTGTTCGTCTCCCTTTCGATCAGGCTTTCAGTCCTGGATTCAGGAGACCAATCCAACCCCAAGAGAAAACCTCTCGTTTGTCCCGTGGCTACTTCAGGGGGCCGACATTGGGCGACATCACACAGAATTCCTCGTGGTCTCAACAGGATATCATCAAGTTGGCAAAGATGTCTGTCTTGGTTGTATGTGAAGGCCAGCTGCATACTGCGAAGATGTGTCTTCGTGGCCCAGTGGTAGGTGCGCCCTTAGGCCCTCAAACCAGTCGCTGGGTTTTTGATCCTGGTTCGAGCCCGGACTCGGGTAACTTTTGCTTTTTCCCTAGTTTTTCCCTAAAAAACGATCCCTAGTCACGTAAAAACTCACCAAATAGTGTGATATCAAGAACGGAGACTGACAACAAGCCGATCGGTTCCAACCACAATGTGACCAAATAACATTTCAAAATGCAACCATATGATGGATGTCGGGGAGAATTCCCAAGAAATAGCCGTCGATATAGCTGAAATATTCGAGTAAGACGAATTTCAGATCAAAACCCGACCACAATGAAGATAATCCGTGCAGGGAAATGAAAGGTGACGATGAACATCCAGATGTACTTTTGCGGCATCCAATAGCCGATTGTATAGGAAACAGGAGGCACCCAACTGAAGATCTTTTTTTCGTCAAGTTTACGGTAGGATTTTAAAAAAGGCAAAAAAAGGGTAGAAAACGCAGCAACTTCCCCTCACCTATGCGTTTGTTCGCATCCGATTGTCGTGAAATTCCTGACAACATCTAGCTGAAAGACATACGCCCAAGCAACACAAAAATAACAGCCAACACCCGGCAATAATGCTCCCAATAACATCATTGATCTCACTGAAAATGTTAATGAAAAACTAAGCAAGAAGAGTCTCTACAAGAAGATATAAAACCCCTTTTCGAACCCCTCTGCCCCCTATCGTCATGGCCTAGTGGCTAAGAGCCTTGTGTTCCAGTCGGGCGGTCTCGCTCCAGGTCCTGGTTCGATCCCGTTGCTCATCTTTTTGTTGAGTTTTTTCCCTACATTTAGGGCTTACGGGTTGTTTATATCACATGATTCGTGTGAATAAATCGATTTTCTTCCAATGTTCTTCCAATTTTGTAAATGTAAATTTTGTGGGACTCATAAGCAGCTCATACTCCTCGACTCACATTTGATATTCTTCGCCAATACATCTTCCTGTGTCATAACAAGTTCTCTGCTTGATCCATTCTCCGAATTCTCAAGTGAACAAGCGCTTGATGTTTTCTCCAAAGAATATGGGGCGCTCATTGCTGGAAAAAAAACGTTTGAAAGTCAAAATAAAAGAAAAGCAATCAAGCAAAAATTAAACAGCAATAAAATGGAAAGCAATTCACAAAGCAATTCGAAAACCAAGATTTAAATAAGTATAACTAGCGTATAAAGTAAATATAAAAATGTTTAAATTATCAAATAACATTTGATAAAATTGCTTAAGCTTTTTATTTCAAATAAAAATTTATAGATTTATAGATAAAAATTTATTTAAGTTTTTTGGAAAGTAAAGAGTTTGCAATCAGTTTTTTGTGAAAATTATTAGAAAACCTTGATTGAATTGAAAGAAAAAAAAAATAAATCCAACAAAATAGCGATTGGAGAAAGTGTTTTTAGAAATAGAGTAGGTAAGTGAGAGAAAACGACTCTTTAGCTTCATTCACTCGATGTCTACACTATTTTCAAGTTATGCAAGAAAAAGTTTTAGATATGTTTTTCATATAAAACCAGGCTAAATAGATAGATTGGATAAAATTGGAGACAAGGAGATAACCCGGAAAGTTCACATGTTTTAGAAAATGCAATTGAATCGAGAGAAGCACAACAAATCCATAAATACCATAACATGTGACGTATAAACAAAATATTATGACAAAAGTTGTATGGTGGATAGGAGATTGATCACCGTTTTTTCTCCATTACGTACACCGCAACCTTTCCATTTTAAAAGACTACCTCGAAATCTCTTTTCTCGAACACAAAGTTCTTCCCATTTTCCCTTTTTTCAAGATCTCAAATCGGTCAAAAACATTGTTTGAAATTGGGCAACTTGAAGATTTTTAAAGACTTTTTTCTTTGAACTTATTCTTCTTGTTCAAAGATTATTTAGTGTCTAGTTTTTCTTTAAAGAAATTTAACGATGATCGTAAAGTAACGTGAAAAGTAACGTAAAACGTAACGTATTAGTAAACATAACGTATTAATAAACGTAACGTAAAACGTAAAACGTAACGAACGTAACGATGATCAAATGTTTTTGCTAACAAATTTAAGATTTCTTCAAATTAATAAACCTTTCAGAGTTTAAAAAGTTTAACAGTTTAAAAAGTTCTTTAAAGTTTTTTGATATTGAAAATTTACATGTATCAGTTTTTTTCTTTAAAAAACGATTGGAAAATTTGTTTTGTTTTCTTTGTCAATATGTTATTTTCCTAAAAACTAATCATATCTATTGCGCAAAATTTAGTGATAAACAACAAACAACGATGATTTTGATAAGGGAAATGAGCAGAGTTTATTGAATGAGAGAAAACGACTTTTTAGCCTTTAGCTCCATTCCACTCGATGTCTACACTATTTTCAGCGCTCAATAGTGAGCTTTAAGTGGAAATAGTCATATATTTGATCTAACTATTCGATTCCTTTCAGTTTCAACAACTCGCTCACTATAAGGTCCACAGCCAGCAAAAGCAAAAGCCAGCAAAAGAAACTAGCTTAAAAGTTAAAATATAGCAGGATACGATAGCTTTTATAAACAAATAAAAACTAGCTTTAACTAGCTTTAAGAAACCGAGCATACTTCAGAAAACAAACTAGCGGAACATAGAGCTACAGTAAGAGCTACAGTATGTCAATCAGCAAAACGTACAGATACTATCAGTTAAAATATAAGAATTGTCAAATGTTTCAATTTCTTTAAAAAGATATCTCTTTGAACTAGTAGTTAAACAGTTTTATTTAACACTTTGAATGGATCAAGGTCAACGGAGAAATAAGGATGGAGAGAATCTAGACTGGTCAAATTGAGAGGAAATTGGAAGCACATATCCCGTATTCTCTCTAATAGTAGTGCACCCTGAGCGTTGCCTAACTTCCTCGAAATCTCGAGAGCCGCTTATCAGAACCTATCGATGTGGGGTCGGGAAATGTAGCTGACGATGAGATCTTGTGGGGGATGCGAGTGTTGAGCTTCTGCAAAAGCTTGGAAACCGTAAAATCGTCACCAACTCGGCTCGCCGGGGTGCACTACTATTAGAGAGAATACGATAAATTGAATGTCGTACTTTCTACCGTAATCCATTTCCGATTCAGCACTTGTCCAGTTAGACATCGACAATTTAGTAATAGAGATCATAAAAATTGATTACTTATTGATTAGCTAAAAACTGAAATGTCGTACTTTCTACCGTAATTAGCTACAGTATGTCAATCGGCAAAAAATAGAGATACTCAGAGATAGAGATAGAGATGATCATTTAAAAATCAACTGATGATCACTGAATTTTTTTTCACTTAAATCTCATGAAAATCTAATTATTTAATAAAAATGCTTTCAAAAACCTAAAGTGATAATGAGGGGAAACAAAAAGAATCGAAAAGCTTTTGAAACGCTATTCGGAAGAAAAGAAAATAAAGTGAAAAGAAAGGAAAAGAAAAGAAAAGAAAGAAAAACTGAAATCATTGACAACCATCAATAGACAACGATTATCGGTTATCACGAAAAAAAGAGAAAGAAAGGGAAAAGTTGAGAACAACATTTCTCTAAATCACAGAAAACTCATTTACACATTTATTCACATTCAGACTTCAGCTCATTCAAAATTTAAATCTAAAATAATACCTTGATTAGGTGATTATTCTATTCAAACTTTTTACTGTCTTGGCCATCATCAAAGCTCTGGATTTAAAACAGTGCGTAAAGTTTTATACTTTGTGCTGAAATATAAACATCTAAGCACTTCTCTTCTGGTGTACTTAATTCTTCATTGACCAAGTGTTACAAGAAAAAGCAAGAAAAGCGAGTGTGTCAGAAAGTGAACATAACTGCTTTAGGAGTAAAAAAGTTAAAAAAGTTCACTGAAAATAGGATTCCGAAATCTTTCTAATACAAAACTTTAAGAGAAATCAGAAATGGAAAGGAGTAGAGATACCGTAAATACTGTAATAGTACCCCAGCCCGATAATGACGGTGCGGAGTGTTGCGTAGTCTAGCTTTGAACGAGTTTTTCTCGACACTGGTTTATGCTACAATGTGCGCTTAGGTATCAAAAAATAGCCCTGAATTTCAGCTATTTTTTGATACCAAAGACGCATTTTTTGAAAGTACGGACGCTTTGAAAAAAAATGAAATACTAAAAAACTTTTGCGACTACGCGACTGTACGAGGGGGGTGGAGTACTATTACAGTATTTACGGTAATTACTCTAGCTTTACTAAACAGCTTAGTACTAAATAGCTGCATTAAATAGTTAGTTTTCTATTTTACATTAATAAGCAATACTATATAGTCTTAATAATAAGCTAAAATAGTTCTACATTTCGATAAACAAACAAATAATACTATGTAAAATAGTACTACAAAGTACTTTTCCCCTACTACAAAGTACTTTTGTAGTACTTGGAAGTGGGGTACTATTACATTATTTACGGTAGGTAATTGATTTCTGTGTTCTCAAAATATAAAACCTGCCGACCCTGAGGCTTTGTTTTCTCCCTTTTCCCCCTTTTCTTTCCCCTCAGATCCCAAAAACGATAACTGTTCTTCACACGCTTTCCTTTCTTGACTTGAAAAAAAACGAAAAAACTTGTTCAATTCGCTGGCAATTGAAAACAGGAAAACCGAGAAATTTTGAGTTTGATTTTCAAAAGCTTGCGTTTTCTAAAATCTAGCGGTGGGACATTTGCGCACCTTTTTTTTCGCTTGAAAAAGCCTTAGGAAACGTCGTAAAGCTTCAAAAATGTTTTTATATTAGGGAATCGTATGCGTAAATTCCGAATTTCGACAAATCAGACCTTGTTGACACGTCAAATTTGTCGAAATTCGGAATCTACGCATACGATTCCCTAATATAAAAACATTTTTGAAGATCTTATAAAATAAGATCAACAGTATCATTCTAAAGTAAAAAAAAAATTTTGATTTAAAATCGTTCAAATAAATCTTAAAAGCCGAGGGGAAAGGCCGAGGAATTTGGCAAAAAGTTGATGAGCATTTTTTGTCGACTTTTTGTCGATTTCATTTGGAAATGAGAGGGAAATTCAAAGAGTTTTTAGAACAAAATTGGTCAAATTGAGATGAAGAATGAAAAAAAAGGGATATAAAAAAGGGGTTGAAGGTCAATTATTTGAGAGAAATCCGTTTTTTCTCTCAAATGAGAACAGACCGATCTTTTTCTTTTTTGTATGCTTCGAGGAGATCACTGAAATGTTCGGTAAACTTTTCAATGGTAAAGCTTCAATGTTTTCCGGGATCCAGGTTGATCAATTTGGAGGAAATTTGACGAATTCGGTCAACGAGACTCTTGTGAGCGTAAAAGTGTGAAGAACAAAAAGTGTCACTTTGATTTTTGAGCGGATTACGAAAAATGCTAGCTACAGTGCTCCATCTAAAGTACCACTACAGTACTGTAGATGGATCCTAAAACTGTAGAGTACTCTAAAGCTAAGACTAAAGCTAAGACTAAAACTAAAACTAAAACCAAAACCAAAACCAAAACCAAAACCAAAACCAAAACCAAAACCAAAACCAAAACTAAAACTAAAACTACAGTATCCCTATTCCCTAAAACTATCTTTACAGCGTCACTACAGCAATTTACACAGTGTTTTGCAGTCACAAGATTCTCTGAAGCAACTAAAATTTATTTATGCCAATAACAAGTAGCATCGAGTTTTTGAATTCGAATTTACAAGCAGAATTTCGATAAATTCAAAACTGGTCTCTGAAGCATCTCTAAATGAAGCATCTCTAAAAATCGACAAAAAAAAAGTGAGAGATCAAATTGCTTATTTTGAGTAAAGAAACGATCAAAAATAAAACGAAAATACAAGAAAATTCTGGAAATTCTCCTATTTTATACTCTTAAAAGAATAAAAATGTGATTTCGATGAACAAAAATCGGGTAAATTTGAAGTGGTCACTTAAAGTGGGGGAAAAAAAGAAAAGAAGAAAAGGACGATCCTCTATCGGTCGAAATGGTCAAGAGAAAGGGAAGAACCCCTTGAACTTCGGCTCATTCTCTTTTTTTGTTTCAAAACTTTATCCATACTTTCAACATTGTCGAATTGCTTGGTTTCAAAGCAAGTGTCCGAAAGTCTCAAGTTTATAACACTTGACATTTGGCATTGAACTTCTTGAGCTTGTTTTAAGTATATTTTTGAAATTCTGGCTCACCACAGGAAAAATCGACTTACAATTAGAAGCGATGTATCTTTACTTACAAGGAGGATCTTGTGACTGCAGAACACCGTGCAAATTGCTGTAGTGACGCTGTAAAGATAGTTTGAGGGATAGGGTATGTAGTTTTAGTTTTTACTCTAAGTTTTAGGTCCTCTAGTAGTGGTACTTTAGATCGAGCACGGTAGCTAGCATTTTTAAGTAAAGGAGGTCACAAGGCTAAAAAAGATGTCATAATACTTATTTTAAACTTAAAATAGAGCGAGTTCTAGTGGTTAAACATCAAAATAAAATGAAAACAAGAGGAAGGGATCGAACCCGACAAAAGTCTTGATGGCCCCTTTCGGATACAAGACTCTTATCCACTACACCCCAAGCTAAAAGTTCCAGGTGGTGAAAAAAGCCTTATATAGGGGCTGATTTAATTTGATTCGACCTCTAATTTGACCTCAAACTTGTTCAGGTTCCTAGCGTTTCAGGGTCATTTTGTAAAAACGGATAGCATCATCGGAATCAGCGTAAAATTCTGCGTCGTATGGTATAGGGCGCATGTCATTTGGCCTCCTCAACCTTGTGATCTTCTCTTGTAAATAAAGTCAACCTTATGGATGTACTCTGTGCTTAAATCTGTAAACACACCCCTTCTGGTGTACTCGATTCTTCCAGGAAAGATAACTAAGTTTTTGTACAAGTAGACAAATTGAGTACGCCAGTGTGTTTCCAATTTCCAAGTCAAAAAGTGTACACCGGGATCCCATTTGCTCACACTTTATTGGACAAAAACTGACTATGAGCTTTACTATGAGTTTTACAAGTTTTAAAAGCACACGTGAATACAAATTCCGTTCAGATAACCAGTTCTCTTCAGCAATGACCCTATCAAACAGCTGTGAAAGGTGAAAGGGAGAAGAGAAAACGCAGAGAACGCACAAAAATTCGTAACATATCGGAGGCAATTTCCTGTCGTCAACGCCACTTTAAGTGAAACGAACCCGAAAAAATTTCACTCATTCCAACCAAATCATTTCGTTTTATCGTTTTGTACGAATGTTTTGAAGCCAGAAACAGATTCAATCTGAAATTTAAACCATTTCTATTATTTGGCGCGAACCCGGTTTCTAAATTTTTTTGTTCAGTTATTACTTTACCCTTTCTTTGTCTCTAAATTTTATTAAATTTGCATATCAAATCTAATATTCGCTTTTTAGATGAGATAACGAAGTACTAGAAATCAAAAAACAATGAACATCTCAACGATCTCGAGCTTGAGCGGCACACGACCGTTTGTGGGCCGAAGAAATAAGTCAGTTTATTAAAAAAAATGGCGTAATAAAACTTATAAATGATGAAAAATGGTTTAATGAAACTTATAAATGAACTTAAATCTTCTATTAGATAGGATTGAATTTTTTTCATACACCAAATCAAGCCCCGGGTTCTAGAGCTGTAATAAAGTAAAATTAGGAATGATAAAGAAAGATCTCCGGAGGGGATTGAACCCTCAACCTTTTTCGCTTTCTGGGCAGATGCTCTAACCACTGAGCTATTCAGTGTCTCTTGGCTAGATAAGAAAGAGGAAATATAAGGGGGAAGAGGAAGGAGCAGCTTCTGGTCCTGGCCCTGGTCCTCTGGCCCCGGTTTAGCTTGCAGCCTAGAAAATTAGCTTTTGAATAGCCAATGATACCAATAAATATCTACATAAACAAACTCTTTTCTAAAAAGTGGACAGAGAGAAAACGAAAAAACTGAATGACAATTCCTTCCAGAATGACAGCGGCCGATGTTCGCCGGCACATCATGGCTGGGAGTTTAATCGGCCATCCAGCTGCGGCACAACACGAACAAACTGATGGAAACACTCAATCGACGGTAGATTTTAATTTAGGACAATACTTAAAACATAGTTATATAATTAGTCACCATTTAAATTTACCAAATACCTTTTTACTCTCCTTTTTCTAAAATAATTAGACACAAGACTCAAGAAGAATGCGCCGATATGATTAGTGAGATTTTGTGCGTTCTAGTTGAAAAAGAATTGGTTAAGTTAAGTTTATACGGCACAAAAAGATTCAAAGACAATGGAGTAGAAGGAAGCCGAGAGAAACGAAACAAAATCATTTTAGAAATTTAAACAGGAAATATGGGCTAAAGAATATAACAGGGAGGGAATTTGGGGAGACAGATAAAATAATTATTAACAAGATAACATGGCAATTAAACCGCACTACAAAAAGAAGAATAGATTTTACAGAAAGGGGAAAACTTATGCGGGACTTGGCATAAAAACTGGGCAACATTCACGATGGAATGAAAAAAATGAAAAAGAATGGCAAAAAGGGGATTTTATGTGGGGTACGGTAGCGCATCCAGACTTTAGAAAGGCGCTTCGCTTTTACGTCGGTGCCTTAAAACCGCGCGTCAATAGGAATCTAACTATATCCAAAGCTTTCTATTTCCAAATAGGTTGTTAGATTAAATTGTAGGTGGTTTTATTGGATGTGGTTGATCCAGTGGATGTTGAAGAGGTGTTGAGCCATCGAAAGACGAGCTCTCTCTATGACACAACATCAACGGCTAGCCCGAGGAAGTGAGTTGGATTACATAAAAATTGGTACTTTTTACTATTTTCAACGATACTTTTCAACTATAACTGAAAAAATATGGCCAAAAATATAACAAGTACCCTTACATGAGTAACAAGTACGCTATAGCTATAGAGTAACAAGTACGCTATGGCTATAGAGTAACAAGTACGCTATAGCTATGCAGTAACAAGTACCTTACAGGCAAAAAGGCTGAAAGTATCTATCCAAGCTTGGATAAAACCAATTTATTGCAAATATTCACTTAAAAAGCTGATAGAATGTTACTATTTTCGAATAAATTTTACATTTCTTCACAAAAGTTATTTGTGATAGTATGAAAAGAAAAAATGCAAATTATGGCCAAAAATAGTAACAAGTACCTAAAAATATATCCAAAATTCTTATCTAGCTATATTTTATGGTTTAATTTACATATTATCCTATGTTAAGTGGAGCTTTTCAATTGATGAAAGTGCGGAGGTAAGGGAAAAGATCCAATAGATAATTTTGTTGATCAAAAGTCAAATGTTTCTAGATATATAGCTTTTTAGATATAGATTTTCAGTTATAAAACCTGATTTCCCAGCTAATTAGCATTAAAAATTCAAACCCTTATAGGGTCAGTGAATTCCCGGCAGACGATGTCGAGGTGCGAATCGTGGCTCGAGAACAGCCGACGCTTGACCCGCCCGTCAATGTTGATCTCAATTTGTAAGTGAAAGATAAACAAATAATAGATAAATCTAGTTTTCTAGATATCCTATTGTGCAATCTATCATCAAAATTCAACAAAATTTCTAGAGAGACAGTGGATCCACATGTGCGCGATGTGGCGACAGCGTTGAGCGACTCTTTCTCCCTCGTTCAAAGGAGGTAATGCCTTAAGGATTTCAAATTTTTTAAATTAGATAATAGAAATGCGAATTTTATATGTTAATCTGTAAATTTGAGATATCAACAATTCGGCAGCGGTGACGCTTATGTACGCATGTTGATCGAGAGACCGATCGTCGCCCGGAATGCACCAATGCACAATTTTGAAGTAAGTTAAGATATAAATCTAATATATATGTCGTATGCCGTCGTTATGTCAGCCGCTTACGAATATTCGTAATCGAGCCGCTAACGAATGATTCGTTTAGTGGAATCATTAATGTTAAGCGCTGAATTTCGTAAGCGGCTACGACATTCTAAAATTAAATAAATTAAAAAAAAAAAAAAAAAAAAAAAAAAAAAAAAAACCTGAAAAAAGAAACACTTTTTTCAAATATGATATTTCATTGTCCAGTAGTGTACATATTTAGATCTTAACTTAATCCATTTTATCTACTATAAATGTTTTAAATAATAATTTTAGAATGAAAGCATCTTGAGTGATCGTTTAACGAGAAGCGCAAGTTTGGTGGAAACCGAAGAGTCAAAGAGACACTCATACGCATCAACTATTTCATCGAGTACAATGGGTAAGCAGAAATTCAATAAGATTTGCTTTGTTCCTAAAGTGTTTCCTAAAAGACACCGATTTGAAGAAAAATCATATTGTCAGTTTATTGATCAGGCTCAAATTTTGGTACCAGAGCTTTTGTGATTCAAAATCGGCCCAATTTTGTAATAGCTGACTGCTTGATTGATAGTAATAGCTGTTTAAACTGTAATAGCTGTTTAAACTAGGTGCCTTTTAAAAACAAGGAACACACTCTAATGCAAAAAAAGGAAAAACTTGGACCGAATCGAAGTGTTAATTGAACCAAGAGAGATTGAACCCGTGGGGAAAGATAGCATAGCCTTTGCAACCTAGCACACTATCCTGCCTCTACCTCTGCTCTTCCTGCTTGTCGGCATAGGGCCCTCTTATAGGTGAGGGAGTTGTTTGAGGTGGTTGTTTGCCAAAAATTGCTGCAACTCTGGGCATGTTTTTCTCGAAAGCTAGGGCCTATGGGGAAAAAAATAAAAATCTACGGGGGCGTTTTGTAGCTAGGTTCGGTTTTGAAAGGTAAGTTGAAACAGTTGAAACAGTTTCCTAGAAAGATTTACCCATCAATATTTTTAGCAAGCGGTGATGCACAAGTCGAATCGCGTCTCAACCTCTCGCAACCGGATCCTGTTATCCCCAGTAAGTTGAATAGGCTTTGTCGGTACGGTATTGATTTTTATAATCGTTAAAGTACGGTAAATGCTGGTATAATTGCTGGAAAGCAAAGGCTAGCAAGTCCACTGGTGCTTGGCACTTTAACACGTTGACGACATTGTCACCTGATGCTGTCTGACACATATTCGTTCGCCTGGGACATTGTTTGTGCGTTGTCGTCAACGTGTTAACACCAAAATCTTAACGATGCCGATATTGTAAGCCAAGTCTAGGAAATAATATACAAAAAATCTTAAAGTTTTTATAGCCTGTACTTATTTCTGCAATAAGACATATTTCTATAATTTAGATATCACTCAACGATTAACGCCCGGTCAAATGGATGCGTCGAATGAGGCGAGGCGATTGACGGGTCGACAACAGCAAAATCTCGTCAATCTTTTACCGCCACAAGATGAAGTAAAACTATAGAAATGCTTATTATCTTATTATCTGTAATGGATAAAATGTAAATATTTTTTTTAGAACGATGTGATCGAGAAAAGAAGCTCTCCCCCGTTTCCCGAGGAGCGCGGCTCGCACAAATTGATTATCAAAGTTGTTAAGGTTGGGGATTTTATTAATGCCTGTCGAAAAGTTATATATTAGAATAATTAAATCTAGATTTCATTTCTTTACTATCAATAACTTTCCAGCTTCACATCGAGCCCTCATTCGAACCAATCTTCGGCTCAATTGCTCTCTACGATGCGAAAATGAAAAGAAAGGTTTGTGAGTGGAAAAGAAAAACTTATATAAACTTATATAAACTTATATAAACATAAGATGATACTATTTAGTACGTACGAAACGTAGTGTTACGTAGCATTACGTATCTTATGTATATGTCGCAGCCGATTATGAATGAGTGGGTCTAGGAGCGTCCAACCATCAAGTATTTGGTATCATTTAACGCAGAATCATTAATAATTATGTTAAATTTTTTTAAAATTAGAAAGATTGGATAAAAAGAAAAAAAATTATGGGGCCTCAAAGTTTCCTCTTGAACAAACAGTTTTTTTGCTCTAATTTTTTTTCTTTTTATCAAATCTTTCTAATTTAAAAAATTTAACATAATTATTAATGATTCTGCGTTAAATGATACCAAATACTTGATGGTTGGACGCTCCTAGACCCACTCATTCATAATCGGCTAAAATTCATAATCGGCGACGACATATATATTACGTAGGTGACGGAGAATTTCCTATTTACTATTTAGTACGTACGAAACGTAGTGTTACGTAGCATTACGTATCTTATGTATCTATTACGTAGGTGACGGAGAATTTCCACTTCGACGTCAACCCACCGCATCTTCGAGCGATGATGACTCAATACCCGGCCGATCCCGCTTTCCCATTTCTCACCACTGATGAAGCAATTGAAAAATGTTACCAAGCCGCTTTTCATCTAAACACATCACTTCATGATCTTTTCATCGTTGTCAGGGTGAGTAAATGGCAATTGTACTGCTCAGCAAGCAAAGGTCATGTGTTGGGTGACGTTTTTAACTTGTATTAAGCATTTTCAAAGTAGATCAAGATAAGATTCAAGTCAATATCTATCATCTCTTTTTCAGCTCGAAAAAGTCCTCCAAGCTTGCGATGTTTTCGATGCATCTGAGCCTTATGCAAATGGGATTCGAGATGAGAAAGCGAGAGAGAAAATGGCTGCAATGGCGAGGAATAACTGCCAGAGATTGGGTAAATTCTTTATATTTCTATCGATAACTTCTTTAGGTTCTTATCGAATGCCTCTTGGTTTTCTCGTGATCGATTTGTGGCGAACGTTTTGTGATTCAGAGAGAGGCTTTGAGAGTCTTGAAAGAGAAGAAAGACTTGTGGCAGGTGAGGGGAATCGGTTGCTTATTAGGGTTGGGTTGCTTCAAGATTCGAATGCTTCAAGATTTAGAGGCTAATGATCAACTTGGATCATTTGATTAGATCAGCTTCATCTTGAATACTATTTTTATCAATTTCAGAATCCGATTTGGCACCGTTGGCATCACTGGCTGGAGAGACTGAAAGTATTGTTAGTGCTGGTAAGGAAAACAAAAAGAAACACTGGCGCAAACAGAAACAGAAAGAGAAACAGAAAGAGAAAGAGAAACAGATTTTTGGTTCTTAGTTTCAAGTTAAAGGAGCTTTAAAGGAGCTAAATAGGAACTATAAAGGAACTATAAAGGAGCTGAAAGGAGCTTTAAAAGAACTAAACAGGAACTATCAAGGAACTATAAAGGAGCTTTAAAGGAGCTTTAAAGGAGCTTTAAAGGAGAAAGAGATCTGAATCTGAGATCGTTCAGATTCAGATTCATTTTGCCAGAAAGTGTGTTTCATTTTGAGCAAATGAAAAGAGTCAGCTCTAGACTTTTGAAAAGGATCAACTTTTAAAAGGATCAACTTTTAAAAAGGATCAACTTTTGAAAACCTTACCGTAACTTATTCAATTTATTCATTTGTTACAGTTATACAATTGATTTCAATTGCAGACCGTATCTCCATCTCGACCGCCTCAACTTTCCGTCGAATGGGCTCAGGCACGTCGGCGAGCACCGTACTCAACCGCGTGCGGACTCCACTTCAACGGTAATCATTTTCTATTTCATAAATCCTTCTACCGTAATCTTTTCTCCAGTTCAATGACCACTAGGAGTCCGCTGTTACGGTAATCCACACACTTTCTTTTCAACTAACATTTTCGCTTTTTTCTTTCCCCGTTTATAACTCTAAACCTTATAGCTTTTTGAGCACTGCTTATTTGAGAATTCTATCAAAAGTTATGACTTGCTTTTTGGTGTGTCAAGGAAATTTTAGAAGATTCAGGAAAGCTTCAGGAAAGCTTCAGGAAAGCTCTGAGTTACAATATCCCTATATTACAGTATTCTGACTTTAACTGAACTGAACTTTAATTAAATATTGAGAAGCTTTTCAATAAGAGCACTTTATATTCAAATATACTGTAACGGAGCATACTGTAGTGAGGCCAACTGTACAAGGTGTCCGAAAAAGAAAAGTCACTTTGCGTCAAATTTCTAAAAAAACTCTAAGTGGCTCAGAATGTGGTGCAAAAATTATTTTTTGAGGTCGGGAAATTTTGATCTTTTGCCATGACTTTTACCATACCATGATCCCCTACACAAGAAATTTCTGACAATTACTGAGCCACCACGATCACCACCACCATATAGGCCACCATCATGAGACTTTTGCCATAAAATTAAAACTTTCTACTGGCATCGTGGTGTCATATTAGAGTTACAATATAAACTAAGATTTTTAGCCAAAAGTTTTATTCATCTTCATTATATGATAATCCGTCATACATAATAGATTTTCAATTCGCCTTTTTTAAAGAAGTGTCCCGTTTTTTCAAGGAAACGCTGAGCAATAAAGTGTATAGTTTAAATTTGTAGTTATCCTAATAGCGTTTATTATGCACCACGATGCCAGTAGAAAGTTTTAATTTTATGGCAAAAGTCTCATGATGGTAGCCTATATGGTGGTGGTAACCATGGTGGTTCAGAAATTGTCAGAAATTTCTTGTATTGGGGATCATGGTATGGCAAAAGAGCAAAAATTTCCATGGTAGCTCAGAAATTTCTTGTATTGGGAGTTATGATATGGTGAAAATCATGAAAAACACCAAAACAATCATTTTTGCACCATACCTACCACTTTGAGCCACTTAAAGTTCTTTAGAAATTTGACACAAAGTGACTTTTTCTTTTTCGGACACCCTGTAGGCATACCGATCATTACGACGTCTAGCAACCAATTTTTGAACAAAAATTTTATCCATGACACATCAATGGCCAAGTCTAAGCTATTTACTTTTTTTAAAGAGTCAACTTTAGACGAAAATTTCTGGGTGGAAGCGAAGATCTCGAAAGCCAATCTGCCTCGATTCATCCCGTTTCAAAACCGGAACCCTCAATCGCGAATTTGCAACCATTTCACCGAACCTATACTCATTTTTATAGACAAGTGAGTGAATTTTAGAAAATTACACAATTTCTTTTACTGATTTCTGATACTTTGAAATCTTTTTTGATTCTAAAAGCTTAACTGACTTAACTGCTTACTCTTGAAGCTCTCTAAAGCTTCTTTTACGCTTGAAGCTCCCTAAAGCTTCTTTTACGCTTGAAGCTCTATAAAGCTTCTTTTACTCTTGAAGCTCTCTAAAGCTTCTTTTACTCTTGAAGGCAATCATGAATTCTTGTGATTCATGATTGTCCAATGATAAGATAAAGAATTTTTATCGTAAATTAATCTAAAACTATGATATTTCTATAATAGATTTAATGTTTAACAGATAATATTCGATTTTTATATCTTTTCTTGTTATAGAGATCTTTTTTATATCAAGATATTCATCTTTTCTTTCAGGAATCTGATCGAATCTCTGACGAGGAGCTATTCCGTTTATTAGCCGAGGCTCGCAAAAGTGGTGGAAAGTTGGGGTGAGGGGAATTTGAATTTAAAGAATCTAAACACTTTTCACTAAATAAAATCTAAATAAAATCTAAATTTTATTTCCTTTTAGCAAACTTAAAACCTTCCCATGCGTGTTGACATTGGAATATCGAGGTCAAAGCGCCGAGGATCTCCTCACGAGGCTTAGCCCCGAAATGCTCAGGTTTTTTATTAATTTTTCATTCTGAAATCTAAATTTTGCAAGTTACAATAGCATTTATTCAAAGAAAAAAAATTCCAGAATCAATCCATTTTTGGGCGGACAGGGCGCAGAGTTGACAAAGGACATCCTCGAGTTTCCTAGCAAAGGGCAATACGCGGTGAACTCTGGATATAGGTGAGTTTAGGTTTTTATCTAGATATCAATTAACTAGATAACTAGCTAAATCTATTCTCAAGCTTTAGAAATCTTCTCTACATTTATCCGAAATCGGTGAATCTGAGCGGCCGACCAGGCACCGCGAGAAATATCGCCATAAAAATCGAGTTGATGAATGAAAAGGAAGAACCACAAAGGTGAAAAAAAAGTGAAATCTAAAACTTATTCTAAAAATAGATTACTAGAATAGTTAGAGAGTAGTTAAAGTTTTCTAGACTTTCTTTTGATTTCTTTTGATTTCTTTTGACTTACAGAGTTTTCTTCAACAATGCAGCCGATATTCGAATGAGTACTCAAGTCTTCACAACAGTCATCTATCACAATAAGTTTGTGCTCTGAGCTGTGCTTTGAATTGATTATCCGATTGATTATAGAACCCCCGAATTATCCGATGAGATCAAGATCGCAATCCCTTGGGATCTCTCTGATGGACATCATCTCTTATTCACTTTTTATCATGTCTCGTGTAAATGGCAACAAGGACAAGAGGAACAAGTCGATTTCCCGATCGGGTATACGGTAAGTAGTTAGAGGCTTTTAAAACTGAATCTACAAAATTTGTCAGAACAATGGATTTCCGAAAAGAAACGATTTTAAAATGCTACCGTTATCGCACTGTTCTCCTAGTGAGACAAAAGTCTCAACTCGAATTGCATTGTTCTCTTAATTTAGAATTTAGCTACTGTTTGAATGACAAGGAATTTCGATCTAGCTCTAGAAATGCCAGCGGGATTCGTGGTGCTCCACGAATCCTGCTTCCAAATAAGTACAAATTTAAGGCAAAAATTGAGCATAGTATTGTCCAAAACGGGATAAACGGCCCAGTCTCTGCCGCCCAAACAAAACTAGCTCCAGCTCCTCAACCCAAAAGGGAACAGCTATCCATCGGGGCCGTATGCCAGATGAAACGCGATTGTGCGCGCGCACAAAGAGCACTTTTTACAAAGGGGAATTTTTCTTTTACTCTTTCTCCGTATGTGATTTGTGGCTAAAAATCTGTACCCGGGGGTTTTTTGGGGTTGGCGAATCAATTAGCGTTATTCATTTTGTCTATTAATTGAAACTCGAGTTGTAACCGTAATCAAACCGCCATTTTCCATTCAATCAGCCCAATTTTGGTCTCACTGACTGGATTCCGCACCGAATGATACAAAAATTGAGCTAATTAAATGAAAAACTTGGTTTGATTAGGGTTGTTTTCTCAAATAGGTGCTTTTTAGAAAACGAATACACTCAAAAAAATTTAGTGGATCCCGTTGTGCCGTCAGGGGAGTCTCTCGTGTTCGGATTTCACTCTGCCCATCTCGATGGACAAACTTCCGCAATGCTACGGGTTAGTCACGTTTTTAGCTTTGATTAGAGCTTTAAAAAATACTAATAATACCAATAATACTAATAGATATAAAGAAATATGTTCAGCTACCTCTCACCAGATGTAGCACTGCCGAATATTCGCTGGGTCGAGCAGCATAAACCTCTCTTTCACGTGAATCTCGTCGCCGTTAGCACTGTGCACACTCAGGCTTGTTTTCATTTTTAAACTTTAACTTTAAGCATAAACCTTCACTTTCAGGATGCGCATCTCGAGAAATTTTGCCTTTCGTTTGCCTCATTGGCCTCGACGAATCCCAAGCAACCGCCTGTCAACGAGACTCAACTCATAGAAGCTATTCAGGTTGGGGAAATTATGGAAACAAATTTGAAAAATTCGAAAAATAGATTTATATCAGTCTTATGTAAATTGTAGATAATATTTTATCCTTTTTTATCTCTTTAATATCCTTTAGGGAGTGATCAAAGCTCGTCCAGAGCCGATGGTTTCTTTCCTTTATAGTATTCTTGACAAGTTGCTCTTCTTAATTGCCAATCCGCCATACAGTGGTCAGTTTTTTTTTTAAAAGCTTAGTTTAGAAACTTTTAAAGCCTTTTTAGAACAAGTATCCACTGTTTCCTTTGAAACTCTCGGGCAATTGGTGAAAATCTGCACGATGTTGTTAGACGGTTTCTGTGATCGACACAAGAGAAGCTCTCTCCTCACCACATACATTCATTATTTTAAAATCTCAATGAAAGGTAAAATGTGATTGGTGTTAAATGAATCTTGAAGACAATCATGAATCACAAGAATTCATCATTGTCTTTAAGAGTAAAAGAAGCTTTATAGAGCTTCAAGATTAAAAGAAGCTTTATAGAGCTTCAAGAGTAATAGAAGCTTTATAGAGCTTCAAGTGTAAAAGAAGCTTTAGAGAGCTTCAAGAGTAAAAGAAGCTTTAGAGAGCTTCAAGAGTAAAAGAAGCTTTAGAGAGCTTCAAGAGTAAAAGAAGCTTTAGAGAGCTTCAAGGTAAAAGAAGCTTTAGAGAGCTCTAGTAAAGAAGCTTTAGAGAGCTTCAAGAGTAATAGAAGCTTTAGAGAGCTTCAAGAGTAAAAGAAGCTTTAGAGAGCTTCAAGATTAAAAGAAGCTTTAGAGAGCTTCAAGAGTAATAGAAGCTTTATAGAGCTTCAAGAGTAAAAGAAGCTTTATAGAGCTTCAAGTGTAAAAGAAGCTTTATAGAGCTTCAAGTGTAAAAGAAGCTTTACAGAGCACCGCTCACACTCCGCGTTGTGTCGACAAATCTTTGAAGGTGGCATCAAACAGCCCGGATCACCGGAAACACAAAAGTTATTTCATCTCATTGAGGGAATGGAGAGATCGCAAACCGGGCAGAAAAGCAAAAATCGTTTTGTTGATTTACCGTCTGGACCAACGACTAACAACAAGGTAACCTAAAATTACAATATTTTTACTGATTACGTAGTTAGATTACGCTAGCTTTTTGTTATATATTGGGTTGGTGAATTGAAAACTGCCGGCTAGTGTCATATGTGAAAGTTTGAGCACTTTCTTCAAAAGAAACCCATTTTGGTGTCAATGAAAAAGTTGTAGAGAATCAAAAATCAAGCTTATATCCAAATTTTCAGAGCGATTCAAAAACTGGTTTTCAAGAAGTGCCAAATTTCCGAATTTTCACAAAACTTGCATTTTAAGCGAAACTACTAAGTGTACCTTTTTGGAAATTTGGATATAAGCTTGATTTTTGATTCTCTACAACTTTTCTATTGACACCAAAATGGGTTTCTTTTGAAGAAAGTGCTCAAACTGGGACATCTTCAGTCCTCCATTTTTGAGTCTCACACTTGTCTCACACACGAACCAAAATCCTACTACGAAAGAGGAATCCGCAAATTGTCTGTAAAATGGGCACAAGTCGTCAATAATAATGGAAATTATTTGGAATGATAGCAAGACGATCGTTAATGCAATCAAATACAGTGAACAGTTGGGAAAGGTGAATGAACCCCCAAAGAAGCATAGGCCCTCCAAGTCAAAGATCGTTCTCATCCACGACAGCGCGCGCCCTCATGTTGCAAAACTGACTCGCTCTAAAATAAATAGCCTTGCTTGGGAACTTTTGGCGCATTCCCCATACAGTCCGGACCTCGCCCCTTTTGATTACTATTTATTCCGGATCATGAGACATCTCCAGTCCTCCATTTTTGAGTCTCACACTTGTCTCACACACGAACCAAAATCCTACTACGAAAGAGGAATCCGCAAATTGTCTGTAAAATGGGCAGAAGTCGTCAATAGTAATGGAAATTATTTCGAATGAATTCATGATTTTATGTTCAATAATTTTAGTTCAAAGTCCGGCAGTTTTCAATTCACCAACCCCCAATAAAAGATAACAATTCATTCAAACTAGACTCTTTTGATTAAACTATTTTCTCTGCTCAATAAAGCTACCATACTTCTATTTTTTGGTTAACAAGGTATGGTAAAATACGTGGAAAACGGTGAATGTAGAATTACAGCCGTTTCAAAAAGGTACTCTTTTAGAAAACGTTGCTCAGCAGTACTTTTAATGTTTTAAAATAGTTAGATTACTGTAGCGAGGTTAGATATACTAACCTTATCACTAAAACTTTTCAGGCTCTTCACGAAGAAATCCTTTCTTTATGGATTCAAAGCATTGGCTCAGCGAGAGAGATGGCTTACCTCAACGCATGGTTTTTCCTCGAGCTTTTGGTAATTGAAAAATCATTTCAATCATCAAACATCAATCTATTGGATTGATTTCAATATTTCAGATCAAATCGATCGCTGAATATCTGTCAATGACCGGCAGACTGTATTTGAATCGGAAATCCCGATTCTCGGAAAGGTGAAACTGAATTTTTCTAGTCGTTTACAAGTTCAGAATCTTCTTTAGATTCATAAAATGTGTGGATACTCTTTCGACATCGATCTGTGAACAAGTTTGTTGAATTTTTGAGATTTGAAAAACGAAAAAGCCTTTATGGAAAACTCCAAAAGAGCATTGGTTAATCTACATTAAAATCTTTAAATTTGGCGCTGTTTTGAACGGCGCTGTTTTGGCGGCGCTATTTTGACTAGGTCCCAAAAAAATTTCTAGGTTGTTCAACGAGTCACTCAACAACCAACTCAGGCAGCTTCTCTCGCCAACAGTTGGGCATTTTTCTTGAGGTAAAATATCTATTTAATAACATTAACAAGACTGAACCAAAAATATTACAAAAATTCTATGCTTTTTTTTTTCAGAGACTCTTTTTCGTTGATGGATCGAAGCTATGTGCTGAGTTTGGTTCGTGATTTCAACAAGGTGCTCACAACGAAAATCAGGTAAAGAAGAATCAAGCTCAGGTCAGATGTAGTAGATCAAATCAAGCTTTGAAACATTCTTCTGTCCGTCCTATACTATTTGATTTTAAAAATACATTTATTCACACAAATAATGTGATACAAACAATCCACAAGCACAACCAGTAAGCCCTAAAAGTAGAAAAGGAAAAAAGTCCGGAGTGGAAACAAAGCTTTGGCCGCCGGTATTGAACCCTCGACCTCCCCAATGAGATACACGGTACTTAGCCACTTGGCTTCTCCAGTGCCACTTGGCCACGGAGGCATTTGCAGATCCAATCAAAAACATCTTTTAGTGGCTCCTCTGAAGCCGCTTCTCCAGTGCTTTTGTCAATCAAATTGGACACATTACGAATCATTTCTTCACATGAGCATTTTCTCGTCTTGAATCTTCCACTTGGAATGCCATCGAATGGATCGAATCCATCATTTATTCCACCCTCAACATTGCCCACACAAAGTGAGTTGATTTTCGAAAAAAACGCAGCTAACAAACAATAATGGCTTTCAGATACTTCCGGTTTGCAAGCAATGCCGCCAAGCCCCGGTGGATCGAGTTTGAGCAGTCGGTGAGTTGCTTTTAAAAGATCAAACCTATATCTCATGTACATTTCATTGATATTTTTAGTATATCAAAAGATATTCACAAGGGATGATCAACAGACCCAGCTCACCAAATGAGCTGGGTCTGTTGACCATCGGATGCAGAATTTTACGCTGAGCGAAATTCAGCAGCTACTCAGTATCCTAACTCACTATCCACTACACCACGAAGCCATTCCCCAGCTTTATAAAGAGAGGCCAAAAACTTGTTTGCCAAATTGCGCGCGATTCAGAATCATTTTGCAAGAACGAATCAGATATTAGAAATCAGCGTAAAATTCTGCGTCAGAATGTCTATGGCTCATTTCATTTAGTGAGCTGGATCTGTTGACCGTCCCTTGTCAGTTCATAACATGTGAAATCATACCTCTTCTTTCAGCGGCTCGTCATCTCATGCCGGTGACTCTCTCTCGGTTTCCTCGTCGATCTCCCTTTGTCCGTCATTAAGTCAAGCTTTCCGTTCGCGACATTATCTCATCGGATTGATTCTCTCCGATCTTGCCGCCGTTCTCGATTCATGTCATAATCGAGTTTTACACGCAAAGTTTGAGACTTTATCTTTCCAGAAAAAAAAAATTTAGAGCAATCGGTGTGGTGAGGAATCTTCTCGCAGCTCACGAAGCTGATTCAAGGCTGAGTGAGCCGACTATTAGATCTCGAATTGCTACTCTATATCTACCATTGATTGATATTATTCTTGATGCTTTACCGCAACTACATGATCCGTATGCTGGAAGAGAGGCTTCAAGGCAGAGGTTGGGTGCTAAAAACTTTAGTTTTACTTTAGAAGTGACAAGTCTACGTTTGTTTAGGCTGGCTTTTCTATTCTAAAGCCAATCTTGCATCACAAAATTTCAGTCGAGTCTTGAGTGCGGATCACGATGAAATGAATGTCGCAAATGATGTAGCTCTCGCAATAGCCGGTATTGGATCAACAGCGATCACACGAGAAAGGGATAGCACTCATACACAAATCCTTCAACCACACAAAAGTCCCCTCAGCGCTGAGCTCACCTCACAGGTGATTAAGAGAAAAATCAATATGATTCAAAAACGATTTAGCTTCTTTGTTGTCTCTGCTGGGTGTTGAGGAATGTCGAGAAAACATCGCTTCGCTCATTTTTGAGAGAAATGCCGCCGACAAGGTTGTCCGGATTGTTGGATGCGCTTCAATTAGCTGTTTCCTCATTCGAGTATAGAACAACGCCGGTAAGTGGGGTGAAAGCTGATTTGAATTGATTTGAAAATTGAATTGGACAGTTTGTAAAAAGCAAAACGTTTTCTCCCCGGCCGGGAATTGAACCCGGGTCTCGCATGTGACAGACGCGGATACTAACCACTATACTACCGAGGAATTGTTTTCCTTGATTAAAATTAAGATTTTAGATAGCCTGAACAAAGAATAAAGAAAATTTGATTAGTTCAGTGATTGAGTAATCTTTTAGGACGATTTAATGGGCGACTCACAAATGATCGACAATGAAGAGAATGTCGAGAAGAAATATGGAGTCAAGATGAGAAAAGAGAAATCCTCGCATCGAGACAATGACGAGAAAGCGTTGAGAGCGCTGGCTTGTTCGGAAGTTGTGCTCACCGCATTGGACACTATTGAAATGGTGAGATTTGAAGAATTAGGATTTGTCAACAAAAACATCGATTCCAGATCGTGAAAGTTGTCTCAATGCCCGGCTCGGATCATCTCACTTTCGCTCTACCGATTGTCCTCCGTGTGTTGGTTCGTTCGCAAAGAAAAATTTGCATATATTTATTGTTTTTTTTTTCAGTTACACATGCTCTCATGTGAGCAATCGGTTCAAACGCTTGAATGCGTTTTCGCATCACAACGAGCGCTTGTCACAAAGTTTCCCGAAATGATTTTTGAACAGGTTAAACACTCAATCATTTTTTTTTTGTTTTTACTAAAGTTTTTAAAGTTTAAAGTTTACAAATTCATTCATTAACTAAACTAAATTAACTTTAATTAAACTTTTACCTTTTAAATTGATTCGATAACTGATTTGATAACTGATTTGATAACTGATTCGATAACTGATTTGAACTGATTCTTTTTTAGGAAACCGAGCAATGTGCCGAGTTGACTTTGCAACTCTTGCGTCACTGTGCTTTCCGCTTGCCGATCATACGATCACAGGTTGAACTACAGTATCAATTACAGTAATCTTTCTACAGTATCAATTACAGTAATCCAAAACCTATAGTACCCTTTATCAATTACTGTAAATTTTCTAAATTCATAACCTCAACTTTTCTCTTTAGCTAAAAATTTTCCCCTTTCAGGCAGCTGCCAGCATTTTCCAGCTGTTCCGAGAGGCATGGGAATCAGGTGAGTTTTTTATTTAAAGAAATTAATGTATCGTATTTCTTCGAATAGAAGACCGGGTAAAGAGCATCATCGCGTACCCTGCGCAGCCCTTTGTGGCCCTTTCTTCTCTGCATAAAAGCTTTCAATGAAGTGCTATAGGGCTGGAAAATGACTCAAAAATACGACATGAACTAACAGATTTTTAAGCCATTTTCCAGCTCTATAGCACTTGATTGAAAGCTTTTATGCAGAAAAGAAATTTTAAAAAGGGCTGCTACGCAGGACTACGAGTACGCGATGATACTTTTACCCGGGCCTTCTATTCGAAGAAATACGGTAAGCACTGGAGATTTACTAGAATCTACTCTCAAAATTTACTTAGGTTGTTTAAGAATGAAGCAATGATTACAGCGTTTTTCTAAACCAAAATCAGCTCCTTATTTGTTTAAATAAATTACATTAGAAAAAAAATCTTCAGGTGAAAGCTTGGCTCGTGTGAAAATGCACGTGACCATGTCCCTCTCAACTCTTGTCTCAAATGGAACAAGGTATTCATTTATGCAAAAGAAAATGATTGATTTAAAAAGAATCATCGTCATACTGTATACTGTGATAAAGTCGTTAAATGAAGTCGTTAAATGAAATCATTAAATGAAATCATTAAATGAATTGTAAAGTTTTGTTAATTTCACTAGATTGAACAGTTATCTCCTGGAGAAAGCAATGATTGCAGTGTTTTTCTAAACCAAAATCAGCTACTTAATCAACAATTTGAAAGATTTACAAATAATTTCTAGATTGGGAGTTTGGTTGAACGAGGAATGCCTTCGCCGTAGTCTCAAAACGGTTCTCCTTTACGCTGATCAGGAAAACGCCGACCCATACACTAGGACTGGAACGAGTTTCCGCGAGCAGGTGGGCGTGGCCGAGTGGCTAACGGCTTTCTTTTCCAAACGCCACTCCCGGGTTCGATCCCCACTAAAGCCAATCAAGAAACAAAAAAAGCCAAATGATTACAGTTTATTTGCTACTCTAGAAGAAATGATGTTGAGAAAGACATTAATGATGGCTTTTATTCTATTTTGCTTTTAGGTGAAAGACTTGATCTTCAATTTGCACATGATTCTATCGGATACGGTGAAAATGAAAGAGTTCGCGAACGATTTTCACATGACGATCGATTTGATGTACCGAGTGGCAAAAGGCTATCAGAATAACCCGGATTTAAGGCAGGATTTAAGGCGGATCATTTTCGAGGATTTTATGGGAAATTTTCAGAGTGACCTGGTTGCTGAATATGGCGTCAAGACAAGCCGATGCTGGCCTTCATGCTGGTGGGATCTTTTTGAACATAAAGTTACTGATACATCTAAATTGGTAAATATACGTCTTATATTAACCGACTAATATTAACCGACTTATATTAACCTAAACTTTTCAGAGTCGGCTCTTTGCATCATTCACGCAGCTGCTCTGGTGGCTGAGTATCTAGCGATGACGAATATTGAAGAGTTCGTTGAGAAAAAGTTTAAGAATAGAAAAAGTTTAAGAAAAGATTATTTTATGAGTTTATTGCTTTAAGATTTGATAAATATTTGTATAAGTAATGCTTATAATTGCTTTTTTTTAGATACTATCCAAAAGGAGCCGTTGATTTCGGGGAAATCAGTGAGAATATACTGGAGGAGAGTGCCGTTTCTGATGATGTTGTGAGGTAAAATGAAAGAAAAAAAACATCAATTGTCAATTCTAGTTCGATTTTGCAAGGTTTAGAATGTTAAATTGATCGTATAGTGTATAGTTTTGCAAGGTTTAGAATAAGAAATTACTCAAAAATTAGTCATCTTCAAGATATTCAAGATATTCAGTTAATTTTGTCTACTTATTCTTAGTGATTTTGCCCACCTTTATTCCATAACTTTTGTAATTTAGTAATTTGAATTTAAAATAAGCTTTTGAACTTGTGCTTTGATACAAGTAGAATATAGGTTTGTTTTTTGCGATGGAAATGTAAATTGAGGCCAAACTTAATAGCCTGATGTTAAAAAATTTCTACATTCTTTATTATAATTCCATTAGCTTATTAGACTAAACAGCTACAATTTAAACTTTAAAATACTTCTTTTCAAATCCTAATTTAGTCCCGAAGTGGAGGGCATTTGTGAGTCGCGGCATTTCTCCGCCGAAGGACTTGTTCATTTGGTGGAAAGAGGAGCGAATCTCTTGGAGAAAGCTGGAATGTACGAGGCTTTACCACATCTGTATAAGGTTTGAAAATAAAAGAAAAGAAAAGAAAATAAAAGACAAGGAAATAAAGAAACAAGTAAAAATGTATTCTATTAAAAGACTTCAGGTAATCGAGCCAATCGTTTGGGAGTGGAGAGATTTTCAACGGCTCGCCGCCATTCATTTGAGACTTTCGAGTGGGTTTTTGACGGATTTTCAAATGAATTTATAGATTTTTTTGAAAACGAATAGATATTCAGTATGTATATCATTTTAAAATTAGAATATTTCAGCTTCTTTATCGAAAATCGAGCCCTCTATTTGTGTGCTGGATAACGCGGCCGATATGTGGGGAAGCCCGTTGGCTAGGTAGAAATATTAGCATTTAGAAGTGTTAAATGATTGAAAACTAATCAATAACGTATAAAATGCATAATATAGCGTAATATTTTCATTTTAGTGCCGATAAACGTTGCTTTGGCACGTATTTCCGCGTGGGTTTCTATGGAGAGAAATTTGGGGATCTCGATGGAGAGGAATACATTTACAAGGTGGGCTTGGAATCGATAATCTGAATTGAATCTGAATATAAAGATGTTTTGAAATTATGCAAATTTTAGGAGCCACCATTTACAAAGTTATCTGAGATCTCGTCTCGTTTGGAGGCTTTCTATTCGGATCGTTTCGGGCATGGAACGGTTGAAGTGATCAAGGATAGCAATAATGTATGAGAGATTCGGAAATGATAGAAAATGACACAATTATTGCTGATATATTATGGCTATACTTTAAAGAACTAAGCAAAACTGGTAGATAAAAGTGGATACGGCGTAGTTATTTATACTGTAAACTAGCTACTATTAAGACCGTAAGCTTATTAGCTTAACCTAACAGCGGGATTTTCTGGCTGGATGGCTTAAAAACGGGTTTTTTTGGCAGGCGTTTGGGCTCGCCGTGATGGAGTCGAGAGCGTGCTTGTCTGCAGGCCACACGGTCTGGGTTCGATCCGGTCCGGGCCCCGTATTGGCACTTAATCATGACTTTTTAAAGCTTTTATTTGAATGTCACAACTATATTAGATTTTGAGACTTTTTAAAGAATTTCAGTGTTTTTGGCCTAAAGATGGCTGAGAAAAAGCCCGTACAGACGGACGGATAGACATTGCTCTTTTATATAGTATTTATATTGTAGCTAAAGTTACCGTAATCTATTCAGGTCGTCCGTACTGCTCACAGCTCGTCGAAAGCCTACCTCCAGATCACCTATGTCGAGCCATACTTTGAGAAATGGGAGAAACGACGTCGACCCACACATTATGAAAGAAGTCACAATGTGAAGAGGTAGCAAAAGAAATCGACTTGTAACTGAATCAATTATTTCCAGATTCATCTTTGCCACTCCGTTTACTCGAGATGGAAAAGCGCACGGAGATCTGAAAGATCAATACAAAAGGAGAACCATTCTCACAACACAAAATGCGTATGTAAAATTTGTATGAAAAAGTACAACGAATTTTAGATTCCCATACGTGAAGTCGAGAATTCGAGTCGTCCAAAAGGAGCAAAAAGTTCTCACGCCGATTGAAGTCGCAATTGAAGACATTGAAAGAAAGGTGATTAGAGATTCGACTCGTGATAATCAAATCAAGCATTGAGCCTTTTAGACTCGAGAACTCTGCGCGGCAATGTCACAATCGCCACCAGATGCAAAAATGCTCCAAATGGTGGTGCAAGGTTGCATTGGCACCCAAGTGAATCAAGGGCCAATCCAGGTATTGAACAAAACGATGAACATGGACACTACAAACTACAAGGTCAGACTATAAACCCTTGTAGAAACGTTCAGAATGAATATTTTTGAAAACTTTTTTACCAAGGAATTGGGCAAACTGTAGGCTTTCGAATGACACCAAAATCAGGCCAAATCATGTTCTTGACACTGAGATATGAAGTTTTTCCAGGGTAGACTACAAATAGCTATAAATGGTTTGTTCTCAGAGTAAAAATTATGAATTTTCTTGGTTTTAGTGTCATTCGAATGCCAAAAGATGGCAAAGTTTTTAAAAATATCTATTCTACGTAATTCTACAAGGGTTTATAGTTTGACCTTGTAGTTTTTAGCGTCCATGTCTAGTATCTAGTAGATTAACCAATAATTAAACGATATCTAGGTGGCCAACGTGTTCCTCGTCAATTGTGCATTGGATGAACGGGGCAAACCCGTTGATCGACTGCAAAACAAGCTCCGGCTTTGCTTCAAAGATTTTAGGTATTGCAATGTAACTGTAAAGTTCATAATCCATTAAAGCTTGGGTTTGACTAGCTGATTTCAAGTCAACACCCGATCTTCACAAATAAGCCATTCAAAATTCTTTTGGATCAACAAATAGAGCTAGGGAACACTCATAGTTACAGTTAACGATACCAGCAATTGGTTGATCAAATAACATCAAATAACAATGCAAAATTTCAGCAAGAAATGCTGTGACGCTTTGATGTTAAACAAGCAACTCATCCAACCCGATCAATTGGCCTATCAGGTGCTTGAGTGAAAACATTCATAAACAAATCCCACTTTAGAACGAGTTGCAACGAAACTATGACGAGTTCAGCAAGCGAATGGCGCCCATTTTGGGGACGCCGATTCGCACTCGAGACCGCAACAGTGAAAGGGATCTCCCGAATTCGGTGAGGTTTCAAAAGAAAATAGACCGGAAACCAATTTGAATCCATTTCCAGCGCCTTTCCACAATATCCGTATAGTAGGTTTGATGTAGTTGGATATAGAATAGTGGCTACTTGTGGCTAAACTCTATCACAACTTTCAAAAACAACAATTCCAGGGACAAAACGAAGTTTTTCTCTTCGCCAGTGATCTCGGACTGGCTACGAATGTTTAAAATACGTTTTTTGCCTCCTAAAAAGTGCTCTATTGTGAATTGCTCTATTTTATTGCGAAAGTACGGTAAATTGCAGCCTTTTAGCTGAATATCTTTTGAGTCTCTATTTAGAATGTTGAAATTTGCGTTACTTGCTTATCAGTGAGAAGTTATCACTTTCTTTATTTTGTGCAAGTTTTGAAATGTGCAACTTTCGGAGCTTTTCTACTTTGTTCTCAAGACATCTCTTGTAAATATTGCTTTAAGAAATCTATTTATTAGAGCTCGGGTCAGCTGTATTTGTGTTGATCGTTCTCAAAAGGCATTATCCCCCTTAAAATTTGTCATAAAACAATTTTTCTGGTGCTATTTTGATTCATAATAAACTTTGAAAAGAAAAGAACTAGATCCGCTAATTGCTTTTTCATTTTCATCTCTTGAAAGTTGACTATTGACTTTACAAAGCTCTTTCTTTTAGAGAACTTTAACAAAATGGTTTTCCTGCCACCACACAACGATGTTTCTCTTCAGGATGAAGGTATTAACTTTGAAATTTGTTAAAAAGTCTTTGGATTTTGGGTTCGATGTTTTCCTCGGCTTTGCTTTCTTCAACGCTTACTGGTGATGTTCCGGAAGGATTTGTTGTTCGTCCACTCAACATCGGAGATTACGACAAGGGGTCAGTTTTATTTGAATTAAAAGATTGAAAAACTGAAGAGACTTTTTAGATTTCTTTCCCTGCTCTCTCAGTTGACACGGGTTGGTGATGTGACTCGGGAAAACTTCGTTACGCGTTTCCGCACCATGGCTGACACTCGTCCCACCTCTTACTACGTTGTCGTGATTGAAGAGACGAGGTATCTTGTCTTTGGATTTGCTAAGAAACTAACCGTTAAGTTTTTTTCTAGCACTCATCAACTTGTCGGTTCGGCAACTCTCGTTCTTGAATGGAAGTTCATTCATGCAGCTGGTGCACGTGCTCGAATTGAAGACGTTGTGAGTTTATTTTTTCTTTGTTTTACCTTTTCAATATAAACAATATTAGGTTATTCGGCATGATATGCGAGGCCGTAAACTTGGAGCCTTGCTAAATCGAGTTCTCGTGTCGCTCGCTAAGCTGGTAACGTTTTTGCTTTCCAGTTGTTATTATTTACTTTATTATTAGTTTGGCGTTTACAAGATCTCATTGGAGTGCAAGGATTCTCTCATTCCTTTCTATGAGCTTAACGGTTTCAAGAAAGACGAAGGAAACAATTTCCTTGTTCAAAGGTAGCTTTATCTTTGTTTTTCTTATACTTAAAGTGCTTAGGTTTGACAAGGATATTACCATTTCACCGACCAATGATACACTCGAGACAGCCCCAGAAGTTGAGCAAAGCAAAATTTAAAATAAAGTACTATAGATTGCAGCCATTAGAATTCTTTTGTAGTTTCTTTAAGATTTTTATGTTGTTTGATTTGAATCCTCCTGTGTGCCTTCATTCCCAGCATAATGTGATACCCTTTGCTTATGCTTATGCATAATACTTTTCCAGTTATAATTGAATAAAAATTTTGACTAATTATTCAAATCAGCTTATCAGTTAAATGGTCAAAAGTATTTGTCTCTTGTGAATGGAAATTTGTCCATTTTAACTTGTTTTTAGATTCTCCGTCAGTTAGATGAGCCTTGATCAAAAAGTAGATTCGCATATTCAGGTAGTCGTTGTTATTGTCGTTTATGCAAAATTCTTGAATTTAGTGGAACCACGTGTTTGGCTACATCGATTCGGAGTGGATTACTCATAAATTGCCAAAGGTAAATTATTTGTTAAAGTTTGTATTCAGTGTTTTTTTCAGGAGGTGATTCCAATCCCGCGAGAGCACGTTCCCGATCCGGACGCGGACGCCCTCCCGGCAACTTTGGCCAACAAGGTGGGTAATTTTTTTACAATTATACAGCTTGTTTAATTGAGGCAGATTTTCTTCTTTTAGGAGAACGCTATTGAAGCCGCTCAAAAGTGGACTGACGCTGCGATCGAACGCATCCATCTCGGAGGACCAGTTTCTCATTAAATTTTTCAAACAGGTAAGCAACAACTCTTTTCTGTTTTAATTTTTCAATTATGCTAGGCATATTCATTGCGCAACAATGGGTAATGAACAATCAGCGTCTGGTCCTTCAAACTCTACTCAACCATCCACTTCTACTTTTTCATTTCTATCAAATCGAGGTAAGCGTAATTTTTGAGACAATTTGGAGATTGTTCTTTAGCAAGCGTCAAGAAAGTCGGCGGCATAGTCAAGGTTTCCGATGGGCAATCAAAGCTAATCGATCCAAATGATGATCCCGATTATAAGAGATTAATGGTATGTTGCAGTATTTTAGATGTAATCAGTTAAAACGTTTTGTAGGACATTCCCCGTTTTCTACCAATATTGCGAGACACGGTTCCTGCTGGTAGAAGACTTGCACAGGATAATCAAAATCTTTTCTCTTATCGGTGGGTTCATTTTTCAAACATTCAATTTTTATATGTATACTTTTAACTTTTAGACCACTTTGGCGTTTGTCCGTAAGGCTGCAATCACATCTGCACGGTCAGGCTCAGGGGATTGCACAAGAACAGGGAAGAATAACTCAACTCATCAAAACGGTCAGTAATTATTTTGAAATCAAAACCTTGTTATTGATTTTAGGTTGATGTTACCTCGGCTGGTATTGCTGCAAAGTTATTGGAGCGACGTAAAAAGTAAATCCTTATTTTCTTCACGATATCATCACAGTTTTAATTTAGATACGACCGGCTTAGGGGTGCCCTTGCTCATGTTACACAATTACGAGACGAAGTTGTGCGAATACAGGTTGGGTTTAAATGATTGTTAGTTATAGCTGAGTTGTTTTAGCTTTTACTCGAAGAAATTGTGCCAACCGTGGATACGCTCAATGAGTTGCTTACTCCATCGTCTCGACTACCTCCGCTTGACCTCAAAACAATTCTCAACAAAAAGGACGATGATTTAGGTAAAATTATTTCTTTTTAATGAGACTTACCAGGTTTTAGCATCGCATATCTTTCACCAAGTGCCGGTTGAAGAGACCCAAGTTGTCGACGCTTAAAACTTCATTCCCGTGTCTTTTTTATTTGCCATATCTTTGAGTGAAATAATTTCAACCTTTGTTCTGTAATTTCGATTTCAGGCTGAATAAATTGTAAACAGCATTCTCTGTTTATGGTCCCATTATGTTAAACATTATACACACTAAACAGAAAATGCTGTTTTAAGAACCTTGAGTTGGCTCCATTGTTCACTCCTTTGTTGCGAGAGTAAGGGGTCACTCGCTCCATATTGTTTTACTCCCATTCATTGCATGACCTCGTTGACTCTAGTCGTACATAGTGGCCGACACCACTCACGTCACAAGTAGATTTGTTACGTTTATGTACTCGAAAGTTTATTTGTAAAACAAAGCACAGAAATAACGAGAGGTCGAAAATTGTGAAAAGTGAAAAGTAAAGATAACCAGGAACGTACAACACGACCAAATAGATATTATAACTAAGTTTACTAAAGATCATAAACAATGTTAAAAAAATTTCGACCAAAGTATCTACATAAATTAAATGTTGGGTCTAGGCGTTATCATTTGAAACTCTTTGGATGATTGAACCGCAAGTGTTGATTGAGATGGAGAGAGGGAGGAGTTTGTCTTTCGTCGTCTGTTCACTTGATACCAGTCATAATCAAAATCCTCCTAAACTCAGTAGAAGCGTACACAACAATAGTTCGGTGCAAAAACAACCTAACAGTACAGTAAAATATAAAACATTTGTAAAACAACAACAAACCTTCATGTTCTGACTGAGAAAGTAGTTTCTGAAAATTTGTCGACAATGCCCGTAATCCGGATTTTGATGATAACCAAGGCCGCGAACATAAGCGAGGTACTCTTGATAACATGGTGGAAGACCGACGCATAGCTTCTCAAGTGAAATCGATATTTTCTAAAACCATCCTACAAAATTTAGTTATTAAATTATATTTTACCACTGCACCAATCCTCTTATTTCGGCGTTTCTTGGATCGTGTAACGACTCCCATCCACGGTAGAGAACCGGTGCTAAATTGGACGAGGATATAGCCGAGAGCTTCTAGATCGTCTCTAAATACATACTCTTGCTATTTAAATGAAAACTGAAAACTAACCTTCTAGCTTGTTCGACACCTAGATGCGTGTTTAAAGAGACGTAGCGCGTAGTTCCGATAAAACGTTTGTATTCATGATAATTGATGTGACCGGTGAACGGATTTTTGCGATATCTGAAAAAAGAACAAGAGTAAAACAGGGAGCTAGTAAGCGGAATTCCAAAAAACGTATGCATTTTAAAATCAAGAGATAAAACAATCCCTCTATCTTGTTTTTGGTGCAGTAACAAAGTTTACACAAAAACTAACCTCTTTGCTAAGCCGAAATCGATGAGATGTACTCGATTACAACTCTGACCGTTACCCATCAAAAAATTGGCGGGTTTTATATCTCGATGAACATAGTTTTGTTCATGTAAGTATTGAATGCGCATAATCATCTGATCTGCCAACATTAGAACCGTTTTTTGAGTGAATTGTCCTCCGCAATAGTTGAGAAGATCCTCCAATGACGGCCCGAGCAAGTCGAGAACGAGAAATCGGTAGCCATATTGAGTACCCAACCCAAATCAAAAGTTATATTTGTGAGTGGCATTGTCAACACTTACCATTTCATCTTTGGGACTGCTGGGCCACCCTTGAGCCGCTTGTAGAGTCGAGCTTCATGGGGGAGTTGTGGGTGTCGAAGCTAAAGGAACAATGTTGAAAAGACATTTCGAACTTTAACCCAAACGCCAATGTCTTTGAAAGGAAGGTGCCACTACACCAAGATGGGGCCACTAAGAAATTTACATTTAATAAAGTCAAAAATCAAAAAAGCCGTAAATTTTTTTCTTTTTTTTTTGGAAAAATCACAACAAATGACTGCTTTGAATAGTCTTTTGCTCAAGAACCTTTCAAATATTAAAACTTATCCGTGCCAGTAATTTTTTTAAGTTAAGTATCACCTATTTGTTATGTTATTGTTATGTTATCTTTGTTTAGTTTTGTTAATTTAGAAAATTGGAAATAGTCAATGGAGTAAAGAAAGAAATCTACACCAACGGAAGTTGAATATAAATGCAAATTTCCTCGTGGCCCCATCCTTGCATAGCAGCACCGAAATGAAACCTTACTTCCGCTTTCTCAACTTTTATTGCCACTTCTTTCGCTTTCCGCACATCAATTGCAATGTAGATTTCACCGAAGGACCCCGAGCCGATCTTTTGGACGAGCAGATACCTTTTTGCAATCAACTTCAAATTGCCTAAAAAACTTATCACTAATGGTTTCAAAGATAAGCATAATAATTTTTTTTACTGATAAAACAAAACCTACATTCTTCTACAAGATCAAATTGTTGTTTCATCAAGTGCCTCAGAGTGTACTGAAATCAAAGTTTCATGTTTGTTTTTGAAAAAAACAGAATTCTGTTTAAAACATGTTCAAACCACGACCGAAGTGGCAAGAGAGACAAATAAAAACCCAGTAAATGTTTAAGTAGGATTTTGAACCCATGCATCCAAATTAACAACGATAAAAAAAGCTTTATTACACCAAATTCACCCAAACTAATAGCACTCTATTAATACATTAAAATTCTTTATCGTTTCCCCCATTTAGAAGCCAAAATTGTTCACGCTATTTGTTATCCAAGTAACCTGAATAAAAAGAAAATGTGCGATTAGTAAAAAACCTTACCGCTTTTTTTAGATTTTCTTTACAGACATTCGTAGTCTAAAATAAACCGTCAGATCGTAACGCTGGTTAATGGTACCTTTGCAAGATAGTTTGACAGTTCTTCATCGTCCTCTTCATCATCTTCTTCAACGCTCACTTGATGATACGGATGTCTCCGCCGATATTCAACCCATGCCTTTTGCCATTTTTTTCTCACCGCGAACTCCTCAGCCGAACGTCTCAACAGGCGGCAATCGGATTTCTAGATAAAAACAATATAAAATTAATCCAATTTTTTATAGCATATATGCTGTTTCGTACAATATATTATTTCTTTCTATTTCATCAAAAACTACCTTAACTCGTCGCTGAAATGGGTGTTCCTGTGAGACAAGGTTTGCAGCTGATAAAATAAACGCCATCTCATCCATCTCGCAGAATCGACAAAGAACCTTTTCTAAACGATAAATTATTATTTAAAAGGTCCTCAAAAATAAAGAAGTTGGACTAAATGATAACTTACCCAACAACATTCAAATCGATTTCTAACAGTCGAACGATACCAAAGGTGGTATCATCAGAACACATAGACGATGCGCTTCCTGAACCTAAACAGAAACATAATCATTTGGTTGCATCTATCCCAAACATTCAATCGTATACGCATTTTTGACAACTCGATGCTTAAATAGTCAAAAGATTGGTACTAATCAACTTCTGGGGACCACTTTGACCCGACTTGGTCAGACCCTATTCTAGGCGTGTTTTTTCTAGTCTTGCCTTGCTTTGCTTTTTCTGGGGTAATCAAATACGTTTAATCGATTGACAATATTTTTAGAATATTTTCAACAAGTTATCATAAAACTCCATCTAGCTTATCAAAATATCAATAAAGATTGTTCAAAACTTTCTAAAAATATTATCAATAGATTCATCATGTTTGATTACCCCAGAAAAAGTAAAATAACAAACAGGCAAAAAAATACATTCCGACCGAGTCGGGCCAAAGTGGGCTCCCCGAAGTTTATTAGTGTCAAAAGATTTGTTACCCGGCGTCGAATTGGTCCAATTCCTATCGCCGCGGTTATCCTCCTCGTCGTAGTCATCGGGATGAGAGACCGGGGAGTTGAAATTGAAGTTGATCTGTCGTATTCCTCAGAATCCGTTGCATCTCTAAAAAGAAACATTAGTATGAATTTAGACTTGAAACAAGGCTAAAACTGACGAGTCCCAGATGAGCTCCGCCGATCGTCTCGAGGAACTTCTCACGAGAGGACCCGGCACTCTCATGTTTTCCGGATACCATTTGTAGCCTAAAAAATTAATCCATTACTGGAACAATAAACTCAACAAAGTATTATTACAAGAAATGCATCAAATAAAACAAAACCTGTGAATGGCCGACGTTTGGAAGAGCTTTTCTCACCTTCATCGCAAGACGTTTCTAAAAAGCAAACATTTTATTAGCAAATAGCAAAAAAATATTATTTTGCATAAAAACAATTAGAAATTTTGCGTTTCAGTGAAAAGATCTAGTAGAATTTGTCAATGTTATTAGATAAAGTGCTTATAAAATCTTAAAGCCATAAAAACATGTAAAAGAAGCTCACCAAATAATTTCGTAATTTAAAGTTGCTGCGCGAATCACCCATACAACGATCCTCAGATGATCACCGACCAAATCATAAAAACGTATAGAAAAATGAGCGAAACGGAGGCGCATTTGACAAAGAAATGACGGGAAATCGCTTTTAAACGCAAATTTTTAATTACAACCTATTAGTCCAGGTAAAAGAAAAAATTAGGTAGCAGCAAAAAACTTTAAAACTTATATTTAGAGTAGATAGAATTGTGTTTTGCCAAATGAAAACTAAACTCGTGCAATGAGGATATTGTATATTGTAGAGCTAATGTAATGTTAAAAGTGTGTTTTCTCAAAAAAAATGTCAGTAAAAGCTACCGCAATCTTCTTTAGAGTCTCATTTTATTTATCAGATAACACTGGAATTTCTTTTAATTGAAATTTCTTTCTTTTACTGGAATTTCGCATGTCTCCTTTATCAAGCGGTTTATATAATAAGGGTGTTTCCATTAGTCATCTTCAATCACTCGAATGAGTATGTCAAGTAGCCGGCTGTCCGGTGAGATCTCTCAAAAGGAGATAGGAAGAGAGAGAAAGGAGTTGAATAGTGATCTCACTCTGGAATCTTTCCTCTTTTCTCTCCATTCCACTCTTCATTCACCCAATCGACCTCCCGTCATGCACCCAAGCGAGTGACCTGCCAATCAAGGCGTGACTCCTTCGTCCAAAAATCTCTCTTCTCTTTTACTTGTCTTTTGTGTGTGAGACTCCCCTCTCACTCATACTTTGATACTCCTTTGTCTTTGTTTCGAGTCAGAGTCGACTAGAGTCATTTAGTTGGGTCCTCTTCATCTTACCTTACTCATTCGCTTACCTATTTCATCTATGACAATCTGTTTTCAATTAGCTTTGTTTCATAGAGATCGTATCCTAGATGAAATTGAGTTATAGATCCAGACAATTTGATTGCATTAGACATTAGAATTTGACAGTTACATTGTGTACTTTCAAACAATACGCCAAACAAGTTCTAAACATCTCCGCGAAAATTCTCCTCCTTAAAACACCTCAAGTTACAGCAGTATTGTTGTGCCTCTTTTGTTAGAAAGGGTTGGTGAAAGGAGTTTTCTTGTTGCAAGAAGTACCCACCACATAGAACATCGAATGGATAGCTGTCTGGCTATGATTGAGAGAAAGGGAAAGGGATGTTTGGCTCGTATTTCGCGGCTCCCTGTAACGGAATCCCCCTTCACCGGACTCGCGTCCTAGAGTTAGCCCCCATCTCACAAGAAGCACACATCTTTTCTTTTCGGAAAACCTCTTGTACTTTTTCCCAATGCTGTAAGGTCTACGAAATTTTGGTTTTTGGTGCACGTGGAATATGCCTAATGTATTAGATTTGTGTTTTTAAACACAGTTTTATCAAATTCGCTTTTTTGTGCTCAGGTTTAAAGTCTTGTCTCAATTTTAAGCTTGTAACGCTTTGTACTGCTGATTTGTTTCGATCCAACTAGCTTCATTTTTGGAACTTGAGAACTGTGATACATTATTTTTTGAATACCTAGCAGCTTGAAATGCCAACTACCATAGATGTTAGTTAGAATTATTCAAAGCTAAATTTGAATTTGATAAGTAGTACCGATTTCGTTCATTCATTGATTTCAGTGATTTCGGTACTTGAATCTAGGAGAACAAATGCTAAAAATCAATGGTTAATCAAAACGCTAAAGATCAATTTGCATACTAACTTACTAGCGGTAAGTCCTGGCCTATAAATACCAAATTAATATGCAAATTGATGAATCCTGTGAAAGAACTCACACTTAATAAACTCTATCAATGGGTAAATCTCGTGTGTAACCAATCCTAAAACATCCCCTTACTCAGTGCACTAGGGGGTCAAATTTCAAATGCGTTTTTACAGAAATCTAGAGCGTTTAGGCAAATACTAAAAACGCCATCGTGTTGCCCGTGTCCGACTTGCGCAAGTCATATAGCTTTGGTTCGGAGTCGCGCTTGCGAAATCTGGTCGTTTCCTAGTAAGATACAGGGCTCTTAGCCAGTCGGCCATCTTAGCCATCTCAAAAAAGTGCAGTGTATAAACACAAATCAACCTCGCTGTCACTTCTCGACCGCGCCCCTGTCTATCGCATTTCTCTAATTACCGCTAAACAATGCTGACAACCATGTTTCTTCTCGATTTCTTGTCCTTTTTCTTTCCCTCATTTCTCTTTCCATTTCCTTCATTCCTTTCATCATATAATTAGATCTCAGATTTTTCCAATGAGTGATCTGATTTGATTTTGCTTCTATTGTGAATTTTTTTTGCTTTGAAAATCCGATAAACCAAGAGAATTTTAGGATTTTTCAGGGAAAAGGGAAAAGTTACAAGAGTACAAGATTCTTTAGATTAAACATATTAGACACAAATTTTTTAGGTCATAACTTTTTCATAAATATCATAATAAACTAAAAGGGAACTTGAATAAACTAAAAGGGAAATTGCGCTTTACTTGCGTACTCTGTGGTGCTTAAAACTGTAAGCAAATCCTTTCTAGTGCACTGAATTCTTCATTTTGCTCGAAAAATGAAACCACTGCTTCGAAATGAGGCCTAAAGTTTACCAGAAATTCACGAGCACAAAGTACATTTACAACTAGCAAATGACCATTTTCCGACTAAAGAAAAGGATGACTTTTTGGATGGTTGTTCATTCACACGGCTGGGTAATCTCACTCTTTTGGAATCTGCTCTCAAAAAAGTGGAGAGACAAACTGAATTGCTCACTCACACGCACCACACCATTCTCCCATCATTCATCCATTTTTTCAGATATTTATCCGATAATATCGAATTGATATTATTATCTAGATATCTATTTTCTGGATTCAACACTTTCGTTGTCTTTCGTCTTTCGTTTGTCTTTCGTTAAGTCCTTTAGATTCTTTTATACAGGGTGGCTGAAAATTACGTGCGCCAAAGAAAACGCCATAATTTAATTTTCTTTCAAAGAACATGTAAAAATATTTATTTATATAATAGTTGTAACAAAAGCATTTAATAATTACAAGAAATTTTCGAAGTGGCCTCCATCCGCTTTGGCTTTAATTCAACAAAGGCTTTAATTCAATAAAGGCTTTAATTCAATAAAGGCTTTAATTCAATAAAGGCTTTAATTCAACAAAGGCTTTAATTCAACAAAGGCTTTAATTCAATAAAGGCTTTAATTCAATAAAGGCTTTAATTCAATAAAGGCTTTAATTCAACAAAGGCTTTAATTCGCTTCTTTACATAATCGACGGTGAAGATAATTTGTAGATATCGTTATAGATAAGATTCGTTTCTAAAAAGTGAATAACTTGGAAAGCTGTAAAGCTGTAAACGTAAGAAAGCTGTAAACTTTTAGATTTTTAGATAAGATTTAGCTCACTCTGGTTCCTTTATCCATTTCAGCACTTGAGGAATCAATTTGTGCATTTTTCATATCTAACCAGAAGCCTATTTGATATTTTTAGTAAGCCTCGTTGAGCGAATAACTCTGCCCAACTTTGCCTTTGCTTTCCCCCATCTCTTTCCCATTTCGGATTCAGTACTCAAAAATTCGAGAGTTTTCTCTTCTTTGGGATCTCCATTCTCCTCTCCTTTTCTCCCTTCACTTATTCAATTCAACTCTCACTCACATAAAGCTTTTTCCCCCCATCCGAATCATCGTCATCACTTTTAAATATCCAAATTTTCGGAAGTTGATTTACTGATAGTTTCATCTTGCTTTTATTAGGTTTATATTTAAAATGAGCTTTATCCAAAGCTATCCAAAGCTATCCAAAGCTATTCAAAGCTATCCAAAGCTATCCAAAGCTATTCAAAGCTATCCAAAGCTATTCAAAGCTATCCAAAGCTATCCAAAGCTATTGAAAGCTATCCAAAGCTATTCAAAGCCTACAGTACTTTTATAATTCAAAAAATTTATCTCAAGCTGAAACTTTAGACTCATTATCAGTTGAGATTCATTGCCAGACTCATAACTTTTCAATTCATTTCAGTTCCAGTTTTTCGGGCCATTCTTTCCCTAACACAATCCTAATTACGAATCAAATCGAGATCTCGTTCAAGTCATATTGGAGCGTCATTTGTTGTGACCTCTTCTTGGATTGGAGTGAGGAAGAGAGAGGACAACCGCTAATTTGTCCCCTCCCCACTGCACGCTCATTGAGATAGGGTAACATTTGTTTTTCTTTCTACAAGATGAAAATAAAACCCTAATCTTTACTGACTAATCCTATTTCTCTTTTTAGATACGTTTTCCAAATCCTTTTTTGTCAAAAGAGTTTTGAAATTTATCGAATTTTTATAATGATCACGAATTTATAACGTTTAACACCGTTGAACTTTTACTACGATTTTCTTGAACTTACTTATAGTTACAGCTTTTGATAGATAGAAATTAATTAAATCAAGCAGGATTCAAGTCTATAATGTCTTTAGAATCTTACTACAATTACTCAATTCATTGCTTGCATTTCTCCGTTTGCTTTGTTTTGCTTTGCTTTGCTTTCCCAAGCCTTTCCTGGCCTTAGGCAATGGCTCTCTAAAAGTTTGAAAGTTTTCAATTTGCGACAAACGAAAAAAAAAGGGAGCGCAAAGCCGAAAATGAGGAGCGAAAATGGAAAAAACCGTGGGGGGCAATGTAAACAACTGGGATTAGGAGAAGGGGATGCTAGATGCTATGAACGGAAAGGAGGAGACAATGACACAATGTTTTCATTTCATTTTAAAGACCTCGATTATTTTGTATGATTTAGACTAATTTGGCTTTTCTTTTTTAAGAGAATCGGCATCCTCTTGTGTTATTTAATAACAACAAAACAAAATAAACTTTTTGAACTCTTATTTAATGCAATGATAAGAATTTCTCTTTGATCCAGGCTCACCAATTGGCTTAGACTAGCCTGACTTATATCTAGATCCACAAAATAATAAAAACTTGAAGCAGATCATTATGCCAATCTTCAAGTCTGCCCACTGTTCGCTTATCTTCATTATATTTGCAGTAAGCCTGATCTACTTATGTCTAGAAGTCTGCTTGCCTACAGGCTTGTCTCATACAGATAAAAGTACCAATTGTCAGCTGATAAGATTGAATAGCTGATGGATAGTGTTGCAAAAAGTGTTGCAAAGCTTTCTGTCCAAAAATTTTCCACAAAAACTTGAGTTCCTAGATTCTGAAGAATTCCCAATGATATTCATCTCTTCATTCAACATTTCCATCTCTTGATTTATGCGATTTGATCTCAAAATCATGCGACTCCGATCAAATCTTTGATACAAGAATGATTCCTACAAGAATTTTCTTTTCCCAATCATCATTTTCATCGTCTCCTTTTCATCTAATCCCTAGCAGAATTTCTCGTAATCCTTTCGCGACACGACTCTTAATCGGTCCCACTTTCACCAAAACAATCATCATTTCACTCTGTCTTTTATTTAAGCTCAACTAATTGGACTTTAAAAAAAAGTTATCCATAAAATTTTTGAACTCTTATTTATGATAAGAATTTATGCAATGATAAGAATTTCTCCTTCATCCAAGCTCATCAATTGGCTTAGACTAGCCTGACTTATATCTAGATCCACAAAATAATAAAATCTTGAAGCAGATCTGAAAACATTACTCTTAATT